CACCGATCATTCGATTGTTCGCAACTGCCTCTCAGAAAGGAACGAGTAACTTTTTAAAGAGCGCAATTTTAAAGTAAAATTCATTCTTTCCGTTTTTATGATTCAGGGCTCACATTTATAATAATTTCGAGTTGTTCCATCCGAATATTTTCTACGAAGAACAGAAGCTGCAAGACGCCTTTCATTTCATATTAACATTTTTTCTTTCTTTAAATTAGTCAGTTTTTTGCTGAAAAATCGGTGTGAGATCTGGCGACCTCGCATTGCATATTCAAAAACTGGCATAGCCTCTTCCATGACAACGATTCGGATTTTCAGTGGCTCGCGAGGTCCATCCATCTCTCCAAAGTTGCCGAATTGTTTGATAAAATGCGCATATTTTATTTGGAGTTATACGAGGTGAAATAGGTGCCTTCATCGTGGGTTAATGGTCATTGCGGACTGATAATTGAAATTGATAGACAACGCTATAGACAAAGATGACATAGGGAGTATGGAGCGATCCTATTGATTGAAACAGGTGGTTTTCATAGACTAAGGGGGATAATGATGGACTAACTGTCGGGTCTCTTGTCGGTTGCCGTTAGTAGTCTATTACTTACCTCCTTTGTCCATTGCAACCACACGCTTCTACCAATAGGATCCCACGATATCTTTTTTGTTTTCATTGTCTATAGCTTTGTCTATCAATTTCAATAACAGGCCCGCAAAGTTGGCTCCACCATATCCATAGAGCTCCTAGGAACCAAAGCAGTGGCGGACGCCGCATGAAGATAATTCAAAATGATAGAAATGGGCCTAATTGATGAATTAAATCGATATGCGTATTAATTCAGTTCTAGAGCCAAATTCGCACATTATTCACGTTTGAAAAACTCGTTCCAACTTAGACCCCTACCATAACAAGATGGGCTACGAGCATGGGAGGTTCTACGGGGGTGCCAGTGGGTGCCGGGCACCCCCAAGCAAAAATTAAGTACGGTTACCGGAACTGTGAAAGAGGCTTTTGGGCAAGTAAAAACGTCGAGAAAAAAATCGTATTATGAAATCGAAAATTGAAGTGCACAAATAAATATAATTACCTTCACTTCTATCGTACATTTTCATCTTCTACCTTCACCTCTATTTATTGCTTTTTAACCAGTACAGAATTTAATATAAAAAAGACCTTCTGCTTCTAAAGATTCTGTATTCGCTCACACTGAGAAAAAATCCCAGACATTAATTGAAAATGTTTTAAACAAAATTAATATTGAAAGCCGTGTTTTACAAAGATTCTACTGTTTTTTATGGTAAGATTGTAGTTTTGATGGACAGTTTTTCTAAAAATTGTCTACATTGAATTTATAGGTATTTAAGTAGAAATGAAGGAGAGAAAAAGAGAAAGGAGGGTAGGAAAGGGATAAAACTTGAGGGCCGAAACTTAGGCCTCCCCTGAGCGACCGTCCCCTTCGGGGCCGGTCTCCGACATTTTCCACCTCTGCGCACCCCCAAGCATGAAGGTCTAGAACCGCCTATGGCTACGAGTGCAGCAAGTGATAACAGTGGCGTGGCGTGCTTTGCGATAAATCGATTGTTGTGACATTTAAACCTATGGCAAATAATCGATTATAAAGGTGGTCGCTGCAAACACCCTGTTCATCGATCATTTTCCATAGGTTTAAATGGCGTAACAATCGATATATCGCAAAGCACGCCACGCCACTGAGTGATAACGCCACGGGTTGGCAGCAACCCCCTCCAATCAAGAGTCATCACCATTTTTTGGGGTCCTTGAGGGTCTCCATGAGACCAATTCTGCCGTGCTAAGGAAGAACGCCGTATGAGCCCTCAGGCGTTGTCAAATTTCCTTTGATATAACTCGAATTTCCTAGTGAACTTATGAATATTTTTCTTCCGATTTCTCAGATAATATTTTTCACAATTTCACCTAAAGTTCCTGAAAGTTACAAGGAAAAACATGGGTGCCTTTTCTCAAAAATAATAATTTAACCAGAGGAAATTTGGCAACTCTCAAATGTTCATACGGCGTATTTCCTTAGCACGGCAGAATCGTCCATACTCTCCCCGGAAAAATGGATCTCCTCGTGGGAAAATGGATGATTTTCTGCAAAGCTCGGCAACCGCCCATCTCTCTCCTCACCCGCGCCTGTTCGTTAGAGATGGACAAAATCCAGGGCAGGAAAATGATGGATATTCAAATGAGATAGGCCGCGTATCTCGCCTAACGATCATAATTTTACATTACTATTAATTTCTCTATCGATTTGAATACTCAGCTCCGAAAAGGCTCGGGCCACCGGGAGGAGGGGGGGGGTGCTGGGAATCCGTCAAGGGGGTGAAACTCGCAAAGTCGCGGTTCAAATATAAGGCCTCAAATTGGAAGACGATCACTCTTGCAACCAACTTCGGTAGTGTGGGTTCGGGCGCGAGGTTCGGGTTTCCGGGTGGATCGAAGGAGTGCCAACGCGACGTTAGGATCGGAAAAGCCAGCCGTGCTTACAGCCGTGATTACAAGGTAAGAGACAAAATTCGGGGTTAATATTGCCCCCTTTAAAATAAATCCACATAGCGATCAGTGCTCTCATTCCCCGGAACTAGTCCCGAATTCCGGAGCTTTTGAGATTTCCCTGAATTTTTAGCGGAACTTTTGAAATGGAAATGTTGCATGCGGGAGGGATTTGCGATTTGACCATTGATTCTCATGTAAAAGTTCGCAAGAAACACGATGGTGCCACTGGGTTTCTCTGAAATCATCTCTCAAGCTCAAAAAAAGCTCTCAAAGTGAGGCCAAAATGGAGGAGATATCCCACCCTACCCTGAGAGTCCACCTCTACATCAAGACAAACTCACCATGCAAAGATAGGGAGCAAATACATTGGCAGGGTTGCCACTTTATTTGGGGACTTCAAAACTGAAAACACGGCATCACTGCTAATGTATTTGCTCCCTATCTTTGCATGGAGAGTTTGTTTTGACGTAGAGGTGGACTCTCAGGGTAGGGTGGGATATCCCCTCCATTTTGGCCTCAACTTGAGAGCTTTTCTTTGAGCTTGGGAGATGATTTCAGAGAAAACCAGTGGCATCATCGTGTTTCTCGCGAACTTATACATAAGAATCAATGGTCAGATCGCAAATCCCTCACTTATGCAACATCTCCATTCCCGAAATGTTCCGGATCTTTTGCATTTTCCGGAACTTTTTTGGAATTTGTGAAAAAATCTAAAAGAAATCCCGGAACTTTTGACGGTCATGAAGTGGGAGTCATTGCAACAAAAAGTTCCGAATCCCGGATATATGATAGCGATGGTGAAACTGCAAAAATGAGGTGCTAAAAAAACTGCATCTCGGTTGCGGTGTTTCAAAATCACCGCCCTTATTTTAATTTTTAAAAGGAGTATAAACTAACATCATGGCTCAAAATTTTCATAGAATATTCCTCACAAAGAAGAAAAATAAATCGCCGAAAGTTTTCAAGAAATGACATTTAGTGGTTTTCCGTGTAAAAAATAAAGCATGACGGGAAATCTGTAACGCCGCATACTGATGTACACATTTCTGCAGTTTCACCATCGATTCGCCTTGTCCCACGGGACGTTTTATATGGGATTTGTCCCAAGTTCGAATCGCTGGAATGAAACTTCTGCGGACTTTTTCCCCGTTATAAAAACGATAAAATTTCTTCGTCTTCTTCTCTCCGAGTCGCTCTTAGGACTCCATGAAGACTCTGCTTGGTACTGAGTTCATTATTGATTAACTTAATATTTTTTCCAACTTTGCAAGTGAGATTTTTCCTTGGAACAAATCCAATGAAACGTTTCATGGAGACGAGGCAATAGTTAGTGAGCAAACATCGAAATATCGAACAAATTTTGCTGAAATACGGGTTTAAACTTTGACATAGTGACTGAAAGTATTCACTACCAATGGAAAAGAGGTTGAATCCACATTTCTTCAAATAAACACCCTGATAGGACACCTTATATAAAACTCGAAGTAAATTGTAAAACAGGTCATTTTTACGAGTTCGGAAGTTGTACGCAAAGAAACATGGAAAGAAGTCGTAAATGTCGGAATTCAAGAATTTCACGTAAAAAATTTGTGATCATTGAGGTAACGTACGGTAATTCGTACCATTTACGTATTTTTCTCGTAAAAATTAGTAAGTACATCGGCATTTCGTTTTTGGTGCATTTAATCACTCCTCCCATGTGCTTTTTAATACCTATTTCCTTTCGTAAATTTTACGTTATGTGCAAATAGGGTGTACTTAAGTTAACTTTGGAACGGAGGAAAACCTCACAGTAAATTTAATAAAATAAAAAAATTGAAAGTTTTCCAAAACGTTTTCCAACTTCAAGAGAACGACAATAGCTTATTTTACTTATCGTAAATTTTACGTTATGTGCAACTAGGGTGTAACTAAGTTAACTTTGGAACGGAGGAAAACCTCACAGTAAATTTTAAAAAATAAAAAAATTGAAAGTTTTCCAAAACGTTTTCAAACTTCAAGAGAACGGCGATAGCTTATTTTATTTATCGTAAATTTTACGTTATGTGCTACTTGGGTGTAACTAATTTAACTTTGGAACGGAGGAAAACCTCACAGTAAATTTTAAAAAATAAAAAAAGTTTTCCGAAACGTTTTCAAACTTCAAGAGAACGACGATAGCTTATTTTATTTATCGTAAATTTTACGTTATGTGCTACTTGGGTGTAACTAATTTAACTTTGGAACGGAGGAAAACCTCACAGTAAATTTTAAAAAATAAAAAAAGTTTTCCGAAACGTTTTCAAACTTCAAGAGAACGACGATAGCTTAATTTATTTTTCGTAAATTTTACGTTATGTGCAACTAGGGTGTAACCAAGTTAACTTTGGAACGGAGGAAAACCTCACAGTAAAGGGGGGGGGGGTTGAAAGTTTTCCAAAACGTGTTCCAACATCAAGAGAACAACGATAGCTTATTTTCTGTAAAAAGTATAATTTTATTCTTTCAGATGGGCGTCCAGTCAGACTGCAACGAGAACCACCTGCCGGAGGCGCCGAGACGACGGGCGCCGACCGCGCGGCCTCCGTTCACGCTGGCCGACCTGAAGCGGGCCGTCCCGGCGCACTGCTTCGAGCGCTCCCTCCCGCGCTCGGCCGCCCACGTGCTCGCCGACGTGGGCGCCTACGTCCTGCTGGGCGTCGCCGGGGGCGCCCTCATCCCGGCGCTGCCGTGGTGGGGCGCCCTCCTGGCCTGGCCGCTCCACTGGTTCCTGCAAGGCACCCTCATGATCGGCCTCTGGGTCTTGGCCCACGAGTGCGGGCACCACGCCTTCAGCCGCTACAAGCGCGTCAACGACGCCGTCGGCTTCGCCATCCACACCTCGCTCCTCGTCCCCTACTTCTCGCTCCAGGTCTCGCATGCCCGCCATCACGCCAACACCGGATCCGCTGAACACGATGAGGTTCGTACTTAAGTGTGCATGTACGGGAAGAGCACGGACAAGAAGATAATTTGGAGGTTAGGTTATGGAACCCAAAGGTATGCTCTTCCCATAGAGTGCATAGAGTCGTAATAAATGGGAGAGCTGGCGCCATGTTCTGCTCGACGAGTTCCGAGCCCGGTGTGCGCCAGGTTCGGGTCACTTTTTCGATACATGTTCGATCCAAAATGGCGGTGTGGAATACGTGGTAATTCCTTTCTCCTTTGTTGTTGTCATCGGATGGCCGGGTACCCGTGTATCGCAAACAATCGATTATGTATCGAAAAAGTGACCCGGCGTCACACAGGAGTCTCGGAATTCGGGACATGGAAAATGCTTAAAAGTGGCGCCAGCTCTCCCACTTACATTACGACTCTATGTACTCTATGGCTCTCCCGACCCTTCCGGCTCCCGCCGCTAGAGTTGTGGCGCGAAGTTTAAATTTCAACAGTTTTGCAGTTTTGGCCGAAAACAAACAGACCGCCTGCTGTTGATAAAAATCAGCCAGTTGATAAAAATGCAGCCAAGACTGCAAAATTATTGAAATTCAAACTTCGCGCCACAGCTCTAGCGGCGGGAGCCGAAAGCCGAGTCTTGGCCGGAAGGGTCGGGGAGAGCATACCTTCTTCGTTTCACTTACCATGCCCAAAGGGCAGCCAAACTATGAATTGCAACTATCCAAAATGATTCATCATTTCAATTGAGGGGCTTGAAAGACAAGTGGGATAGGTGCAGATTTTGAACTAATTGAGATATTAATAATTTCAACTAAAACTATAGTATAAATTTATAATCTGTGAAAAATTCACCTCGAAAATCCAATTTTTAAGCATCAAAAAGTGAGTTCGAACTTTCTTGCCGCCATAAGGCTCCATGCAATTTTGAAATTTTAAACGCGTATTTATTGAAGGGGCAAAAACTTCACTTATGCGCCCTGTCCGCCAAGCCCCTCAATTCTGCCGTGCTAAGGAAGAACGCCGTATGAGCCTTCAGACGTTGCCAAATTTCCTTTGATAAAATATACATTTTCAGGAAATTCTGTGAACATTTTTCTTTGAATTTTTTAGAGATTTTCATTCACGACTAGATTTAAATCATCTGAAAACTTCAAGAGAAAATATTCATAACTATCCTAAAAAAAATTAACATTTTTGAGGAGGAAAGGCAACTCTCTAATGTTCATACTGCGTTTTTCCTTAGCACGGCGGAATTGTTACGACCCCTCGTTTGTAAAGCACGGATTTGATATACTTTTGGCATACATTTACTAATTTTTGCGAGAGAACTCTCATTTACTAGCATTTTTATCCGTCTTGGGTTGATATTGGAATCTGAAGATTGACAGTGGCATTTTTCTAGTGTTTAACGTGTTCGCCGGTTAGCTGCCATTTTGGTCCCTAAGATCTCCATATTTCGACATATCTTTACTATTCTCATACAGGTACTTCAGTGTGTAACAAAAACTATCATGAAAGCTCCAAAAATTCCAAAATCTATGGTCTCCCTCTCTGCTCAGCTGCTGTCTCAGCTGCTGTCTCAGCTAAGGAAAAATGTCATATGAACATTCAGGGAGTTGCCAAATTTCCTCCGATCAAATGTTTATTTTTGAAGAGAGTTATGAAGATTTTCTCCCAAGAGTTTCAAATCATTTACACCTGATCTAGAATACAATTATCTGAAAATTTCGAAGAATAATATTCACAGACTATAGCAATTAATCTCTGCTAAAATCAAAATTCTGCTGCTTGTCGCGTGGAGCGCAATTACAGGCGCTGATATAAACGCGCTTTAATCCGATGGCAAAACAGTTAGAGCCACCCGGGGGCTGAAAACTTTTTACCATACATATGAGTCAATCACTTCACGTTTTGAGCCTGGACAAATTGAGAACGAGAAATACGTTTCACCATAGAAGTGCTACAAATTGTTTGTGGTCCTCTGGAGACTTAAACGCAAGGCTAGAAAAGTTAGATAAGTGATTTTTGCCATAAGGGGCCAATCGTGAAATACGTAACGTTAAACTTCGAATTTTTCGACCAAAAACACGCATGTTTATGCATGCACGTGCCATACACATTATTAGCACTTCTTCGGAGACTTAAACGCAAAGCCAGAGAAAAGTTAGGGAAGTAATTTTTGATTTCAGGGGCCGTTCATTAAAGACGTAACGCTAAATTTTGGATTTTTCAACCCCCCCTCATCCATCGACGCTTTTATGGCGTAAGTCTTAATCATCCAACACGTAACATCGAAATGGCGTAACGTTATTTTCGACTATCCCTAGAGTGTCACGTATTTCATGAACGACCCCTAATCTGCCGTGCTAAGGAAAAACGCCGTATGAACCTTCAGGCGCTGCCAAATTTCTGTTGGTAAATCACGAATTAAATATTTTTCCGCCAATTTTTCAGATAATTTTGTTCGCAATTTCACCTAAAGTTCTTGAAAATTTCCCGGAAAAATATTCATAACTTTCCTCATAAATTAACTTTTTATCGAAGGAAATTCGGCAACTCCCGAATGTTCATGCGGCGTTTCACCGTAGCAGGGCAGTAATGACGGCACGATTTATGGTATAATATTGGCGATTCTCAGCAATCTCTCCATGTATTTTCAATTTCACCGTATACTCCTTCTGCACAAGGGACCAATCAAGCTACTGCGCTTAGTTCTCAACTCCTCAAGAAGCGCTCATCCAATATCTTTTCGAGCCAACTTGTATTCTCATTGTCCCAATAGAACTCTTTGTTACGACAACCATCATACCTACACGGACGTGCTGGGAAAGTTTTCCTCGTGCCTTTTCAAACACTGATAATTTAACTCTCCATGCAGTGACACAATGGCTAAATCTTCTTGTTGCCTTCCATCGTATCAGGGTCAGATTAGCGCTCCGAAGCCGGAGTGCATGTCATTAGGGGCCCCGAATTCTAAAATTTAAAAGCCGCATTATACCCAAAATTTCAATCTTAGGACCTCTTCAAATCCGTATTTTAAAATTCAGAGACCCTTATGGATGATCTAGAATAATAATAAAAATCGCTCAGGGGGTCCGTGGGGCAGGGGGCCTGGGGTGCTACAGGACCCCTACCAGTCCGGCCCTGCATCGCACATAATACTCCTCTCTGACTATGCCGATTATATCAATAGCTCTGAGACACCTTCAAATTTAATCATTTGTATTTTCATTTCCAGTTATTCTGCCCGAAGCAAAGGTCCGGTCTGGGGACGCTGCACAGGCTGACGGAGAACCCTGCCGGTCGGATCCTCAAGTCTGTGCTCTCTATGGCCGCCGGGTGGCCCCTTTACTTGGCCATCAACATCACCGGCCGCAGCTACGAGGGCCTCGCCTCCCACTTCGATCCCTTCAGCCCAATTTTCCGCGACTCGCACCGCCTCAAGGTCCTTCTTTCCGATTTAGGTAAGTACCCGTCTCCACCTCTCCTCCAGAAACAAAGAGACATTGCACTGGCCTTTCGGAGACAGGCGGAATGGAAATCAGGGCCGGATTAAGGGGGTGGCCACATGGGCCGCGGCCCATGGCGGCAAAAGGGGGTGGCAAATTTTGCAATTTTTTTAAATGTAGGTATGAAAAAAGTCGGATTCAGAAAAAAAATTATCAATGAGAAAAGATGACAAAATCTCTCCTTCCTGAGAGCATTGTAATGTCTAATTTTATCGTTTTTCGGTGATAAAAGAGACAGCATCTTTAATTAGTCGAGTTAAGAGAGGAACTAAACACGCAATTTGGCTTAGTCGGATTAGTCCTCTGATAACCTGCGGAAATCAACAAAATTTTTCACGAGGATGCGGAGTCATACTGCCGTGCTAAGGAAAAACGCCATATGAACATTCGAGAGTTGCCAAATTTCCACCGATAAAATGTTTAATTTGTAAGTAAGTTATACATATATTGGTACTTGGAATTTTCAGGTATTTTAGAATAAACTGCGAACAATATTGTGTGAAAATCTGCGAGAAAAATATCCATAACTTTCCCGATAAATTCGTATTTTATCAAAGGAAATTTGGCAAAGCCTGAAGGCTCATACGGCGTTCCTCCTTAGTACGGCAGCATATTTCTTTACGAAATTGAATTATTCGAGTAACTTATGCAACCTTGGAATAGGGTTACGTTCCTTCGTCTGGGGAGCGACGACTTATGACGCATGCACCAGGGATTTTCGATCTGAACCGTCCAATAATTCGTGCAATTTGTTGTGTTTCGTTTAACATTTTTTCGTTTCAATGCCCAACGAGCAACATGTAATGTAGGTATAAGCATAGTATGCTTCGTATAATCCAGTAAATTTGCGAGCTTTTTTGAGCATTGGAATTGGTTATAACAAAAACCCGGTATAGCATCATTATGGGGTTTGCAGAATTTTTAAAATAACTTACATTCGTTATATCGAGAATTCTTATCGCAGGCAAAATTTACCTTGTATAGCGGGAAATAATCAAACTTTTTCTCGAGCAATAGAATAAAAATTGATTGGAGTATAATAGCTAATTCAATTGAAGATTTGGATACAGCTTTTTGTCATGAATTCTGGGTAGAATTCGTGGAGAATTTTCGGTGGTACCAACTTTTGAATGAATATTTAGAGCCATCAACTATACTTTTTTCGGGTCAACCCTGATCGGGACTGGACTTAAACAAAACACATAGCGTCATAATAATCGAGACAGAATTTAGTTGTTTATTTGCGTTTTATCTTTGAAAACATCCTATGCCTCGTTGTTCGAGGACACGAACGTACAACGAACTCTGCTCCGCGATGGGCACTGCAAAAAGCTGTATAAGCAATTATTCGAACTTTGAAGTGTGTTTCTTGCCTACTCTCCATGATTGAAGGCGTTTTGACTGGCTGTTGGAGTCATGCGCACTTTTGAGCACTTTTTAAACATCATTATATAAAACATTTAGGGAATAAAATGCCTTACAAACTAAGAGGGTGTTTAACCCCTCGAAAAAAGCGTTAACTTCCCGCAGTCTTCCAATAGTTCTCTTAATTTCAGTGGAAGATTATTGAAGAACCTGATGGCAGAATGTGCGACACTGACTGTTCAGTGACTTTCAGATGAACAATTTCAAAATTTATGAAGGGATTTCTAGTGTATATTTATCTATCTGTGTGTATGTGTATCTATCTATCTGTCAGTGGCGTGGCGTGAATTGCGATGTATCGATTGATATGCCATTTAAACCTATGGTAAAGAATCGATTATTAAGGTGTTCGCTGCGAACACGCTGTTTATCGATCCTTTTCCATAGGTTTAAATGGCATAACAATCGATATTTCACAGAGCACGCCACGCCACTGCTATCTGTGTGTATATAATATATCTATCATTTGAGGGGCTTGGAGGACAAGGCGCATAAGTGCAATTTTTACGATTTCGAGAAATACGTGTTAGAAGTTTCGAAATTACATAGATCCTTATGGCGGAAAGAACGTTCAAAATGACTTTTTAATACTTAAAAATTCGAATTTGGGAGTGAATTTTTCACAGAATATGCATTAAGACTAATTTAACTTGAAATCAATGACATTTCAATTTTTTCAAAAACTGCACTCAAAAAAAAGTATATATGACTCTGAGACCCATAAAAAATGGCTTGGAGATCCATAATTTCCAACTAAAGTGACTCACCGTGTACAGTATGGCTTTCTGAACCATACTCTATTGGTCGTGAACCTATAAGCATGGCTCCACGAACTATATTTCATGGCTTTATGATCCATAACTCGGCCGGTAAGTCACTCTTCCCACAATTGTTTTTTGAGTGTGCACTCATGCGCCTCGTCCTCCAAGCCCCTCATTTATTCATCTTTAAAATTCCATGAAATTTGAATTTCAGGTATCGTGACCATGATCGGGGCCCTGTACTACCTGGGCGCGACTTTCGGTCTGTGGTGGTTGACCTGTCACTACCTGATGCCGTTCGTGTTCCTCAACGGGTGGCTGGTGGTGGTGGCCTACCTGAACCACACGCACCCGGCCCTCCCGCGCTACGCCTCCCAGGAGTGGGACTGGCTCCGCGGCGCCCTCTCCACCGTCGACCGCGACTACTGGGTCTTCAACCACCTCCTCCACCACATCACCGACACACACGTCATGCACCATCTCCTCCCCACCATCCCCCACTACCACGCCGTCGAGGCTTCCGAGGCCATCAAACCTGTCCTGGGTAAGCTAAATTCACATGCTGAGATACAATGAAGACGTTGCGCGCAAATTTTTTTATTGCTTCATCTGAAAGTGCTTGAAGAGCTGATTTCCCAGTATTTTTTATAATTTGTTTCTGATATGGGAAACGGTATAAAAATATATTTAAAAGTGAGAAAATGCACCGCCCAGTGACGTCAATTTTTTATTGCTTCACCTGAAAGTGCTTGAAGAGCTGATTTCCCAGTATTTTTTATAATTTGTTTCTGATATGGGAAACGGTATAAAAATATATTTAAAAGTGAGAAAATGCACCGCCCAGTGACGTCATCTGGCGGCATTTCCCCTTTAAACGCATGTATTTTAGTAGATTAGGTCATTTAGTCATATCCTCTCCAATAATTGTTCAATTCATGAACCAAGCGTATCCTCGTGTTCAGTTCACTCAGTAGTTTCCACTCAAACACGAAATTCATCAAATTTCAGACACCTGCAACTTCTCTATTTTCACCCTCCACGCATGCATTAGGGATAGCGATTTTCAATCGATTTTTTGCGCGATTAAAACGCATCGATTTTTCGAGGTGATTCGAAATCGGAATCGATTTTGCGAGCCGAAATCGAATTATCGAACAAAAATCGAAATTTCCGACGTTGATGCGTCACATAAGGCCTAGGTATAGCTTCACTTCGATTCATCATTTCTGGGCACCAATCCTGTCTAAAGATCTACGTAGAACCCCCTATCAATGCTGTTTTGGAACTCAATTAAGGATTCAATTTTAAATTTTTGTGAATACTTCGATTCCTATATCTGGGAAGTGTGAAAGCTCGCAAATCCTTAGACTTGGAAATGTTACCTTTTCGTAGCAGTTTTGGTTGATTTAATTGAATTTTTGAATACCTACTTTGAATAGCTATCCTTCTATAAGCAAATGTTACCTCCTAAAAGGCTGTAGCTACAGAGGCACTGGGCATTGGTAAAAAAGCCTATTTTTATAAATTGAATTTATCATAAATAATCGATTCTGTTGTTAATAAGGCAGTCTACATTGCTAAGTAAATCGATTTCATTACAAACTTACTTTGAAATGAACGTAAGATATATCGGCAATACACCCAGGTATTATATCGAGTATCCCAAGTAGCAGTGATCGTGACAAACAGAGATTTTATCGGAGGCAATTTATCGCAATATTATCGAATAAAAAAATGCGATTCATGGCGATTAAATCGCTGTGCATCGCAATTTTTTGTTCGGTGAAATCGCGATCAATTTTTATCGATAAAATCGAGATTAAATCGCCATATATCGCGATTTTATTGCAACAAGATCGAGGATAATCGCTCAGATGTTGATAATCCTACCGATTTTATCGCCGATAAAATCGCAACATATCGCGATTCTTCCGTTGAAAAATCCTACTTGGGACAGGTTTCTTCCCGCGCGTTCAAGTCTCCAAGATAATGTTAATCAATCGTTATATGGTTAGGTAGGTTTTTCCCCCCTTTCGTCCAAAAAAAGCAACAGAGTTAATGAAATACCTAATTAACCTAGTTCAGGTTTCTTACCGCGCGTTTAAGTCTCCAAGATAATGTTAATCAACCGTTGTATGGTTAGGTAGATTTTTCCCCCTTTCGTCCAAAAAAAGAAACGGAGTTAATGAAATACCTAATTAACCTAGTTTAGGTTTCTTACCGCGCGTTTAAGTCTCCACGAGAGTCATTCGTGGGGATCCTAAGGGATGCGAGTAACTCGCTACGTATTGGACTCGACCACCAAAGCACGATCACTTGACGTGCAACTTTAATCCGTTAGGTATCTCATTTTAGGAAACCATTAAGTTTGACCCTAAATTTCTGATTCCAGGCGCCTACTACAACTACGACTCGACGCCGATCCTGAAGGCCTTCCTCCGGGAGTCCATCGAGTGTCTCTTCATCGAACCCCAGTCCGAAGGCGACGGGGTCCTCTGGTTCAGCGGCCGCTTCCACCACGATGGCTTCTTCACCGAGTTCAAGAACTTCCTCGTCAACCTCGCCCGGCCCAGCTTTTACGGCCCTCTAGTTTCACTTCTCGCTACCATCGGCGCCACCGTCGCTCGCGCCCTCGCCAACCTCGTCATCGTCCTCCTCAGCCCCAGCTACTATTTGGAAACCGTCCCGCGCGCCCTCCTCAGCCTGGGAAAATCCATCGCAGAACTCCTCACTCCCATCCTGGAAAGCATCGCACCCCTAGCTAGTTCCAAATTCTACCGCGAAACGCTCCCCAGCGCTGCCGTCGCACCTCTCACCGCCAGTTTCTACCGCGAGGTCTGGCACATCCTGGCGGCGGTCTGGGACTACTCCTTCATGGCAGCTGAGAACTTCTTATCTATTATGAGCGCGTTTGCGCAAGTTTACCTGCTCGTCGGAGAGACGGTTAAGAACCTCGTTCTAGGGCTTTTGAATACGAGGATCTCGATCAATGTTAGCTATTCCCACGATACCGTTAGGAATTTGCTGGCCAGCCCGTTGAAAGGAAAAGTTATGCCCAATTTCGCCCCGCAGGAAAAACTGACCTCGATGCTCTCCAAGGTAGATGCTTTCAGGAGCACGGTCGGGCCGCGAGGTTATCTCAATCTAAGAGAGAAACTATGCTAGCTTCAGGGGAACGTTAATCAACATTGCCGGGGAAAGTTTCCCCTAGAATAGATACTTGGAACTCTGCGAAATGGTGCCTTGGCAAGGTACTGCCATGCTAGGGAAGAACGCCGTATGAGCCTTCAGGCGTTGCCAAATTGTCTTCGATAAAACACCGATTCCCTGGTAAACTTATGAACATTTTTCTTCCAATTTTTCAGAAAATTTTGTTCGCATTTTGATCTGAGGTTCCTGAAAATTTCAAGGAAAAATATTTATGACTTTCCTCAAAAATAAACGTTTTATCAAAGGAAATTTGGCAACTCTCGAATGTTCATACGGCGTTCTTCCTTAGCACGGCAGGGTAGCTCCTTGGCTCGAGGTGGGAACTCTTTGGAGCGACGGTAACGCCTCTTTTCTATATGGATTCTATATCGTTCCAGGGAGATTTCACATCGCAGCGGATATAGCGGAATTCTTGTAGTTGTTCTCGCACACTTAATAGGAAGATTGAGTCAAAAGATCCAAGACTCGAGATGCAAAAAAAAAAAAACTCCCTTAGAAAATCCTAGGTAAAAATTGACCGTAGGTTTTTGCTCCGAGTACCTTAGGAGCCGTCTCTAAATTACGTGACTTTAAATTTGCGGTTTTTCGACCCCCCCTCACCCCTCCTTCAAGCAAAATGATATTCGGCTCGCTCAGAAAAGCTTTTATCTACGTAGGGAAACCGATGACACATACGCTGTTTCCAAAATATGTCCGATACATTGCCGTGATACCTACGGTAAAGAGCCATTCCCTGGTAAAAATTGGCAGTAGAATCGGTGTTCCAAAATACCATAGACCTAAAGCCGGCTGTAAGATTTTCAATAGCTTCTACAGCCGGCTGCATGATTTATTATAGCCTTTTATAGCCGATGGAGATTGAGCAACAGCCAGGCGATAAAGTGTATGCAACATGTTACTAATTACGGATGCTAGGACTTAGTGAGTTTTTGGACTACCGCTTTACTTTTGGGCCGTAGTATCTTGATTTATTTTGCGCGGAAAGCTCCGTACTTTTGAAGGATGCCTGCCATTCCTAATATGTTGGAGCGCCTTCAATTTCGTATGATACTGTGCAATACCTCTGGTGTGAAATAGTTGCTTCAAGCGCCGCGGCACGCTGCGGCGCGGCGGGCGGGCAGCCAGCGCGAAAAGCGCCTTAGCGCCTACAAACCTAACAGGGATACTTCACGCATTGCGCCATGCGTGAAGTATCCCAGTTAGGTTTGTAGGCGCCAGTGCGCCGCCACTCCGCTTTGTGTTAGGCTCTAATATTTAATCTCGTGGAGTCAGCGTTTTTCAACTCATGACTTTGAAATGTTTGCACACTCATTATGGATTATTCTCATTTTAATTGATGAAAAAAAAATATGTATTAAAGGAAAATATAATGTGTGTTTTGTGAATATTATGTTGGCTCCGTATCAAACTTAATGATTTCCAAAGCACACGAATGTCTACACAATTTCTTACAGTCTTTTATAACCGATGGCGATAAAGTGTAAAGCCCGGCGACAGGAACTATAGCTCAGCTGCATACTTTTTTATCGCTTCGTATAGCCCGGCTATATGATTTGCTCCGCTTTCTACAGCCAGCTATATGATTTTCTATTGCCTTCTTTAGCCGGCTTTAAGAATTCCTGTGGTATTTTGAAACGCAGCTCCTATCGCCAATTTTTACCAGGGTTATTGCCTTCTGGTATGAGCCTTGAGGCAAAGGAGCATGAGTGCTAACCGTTGCTCATACAGAAATGCTTTTACTGCTCTATTTCGCAACCCGGTAGTGCAGTGACTCCTTTTTGGATATCCATGGCTAGAGTGCGAAACCACCTATCTCCGTTTACAACGTTGCAGACTTCCAGTCAAGAAACATCATTTCAGGTCAAGATAAACAGCGCTTTTTCTCTATTCTTTCCTTGAGAAGAATTGAGCAAAAATCAGAGATTTTAAGGTAAATTCATCTGAATGTGGCAGACACCTAATCGAGAGAATTGGACCGCGTTTAACAGAAAAGGAACCAAGCCACATCAGCTACTGCCAAAAACAGGGCAATTTAATTTTGTACGTGAGAACGTTTGTGCGGATTCCGTTGAAAGGAATTTGCTTCGCACTACGGAAAAAATTCACTGAAATTTGCACTAAAATCCGCACAACCGTTTTCACGTATAAAATTAAATTGCCGAATTAAATTTAGCAATAGCTGATGTGGCTTGGTTCCTTTCTGTTAAACGCGGTCCAAATCGCGCAGAGATCGGAACTACCAGCTAAGTCGGCTCACCGAAGTATCGATATCAGTGGCGTGGTGTGCTTTGCGATTTATCGATTGTTATGCCATTTAAACCTATGGTAAAGAATCGATTATTAAGGTGTTCACTGCGAACACCCTGTTTATCGACCCTTTTCCATAGGTTCAAATGGACTGAGTTTAACAGAAAGGAACCAAGCCACATCAGCTGTTGCCAAGTTTAACTCGGCAATTAAATTTTTTATGAGAGAACGTTTGTTCAGATTTCTTTGAAAATTTTAAGGATTTTGCTTCGTACCATGGAGAATTTTCACTGAAATTTGCACGAAAATCCGCACAACCGTTTTCATGTAAAAAATTAAATTGCCCAATTAAATTTGGCAATAGCTGATGTGGCTTGGTTCCTTTCTGTTTAACGCGGTCCAAATGGCATAACAATCGATATATCGCAAAGCACGCCACTCCGCTGATCGATATCCACACCGGATACTTATCTCCCATGACGATTCCGCTTCTTGCACGACACTTGCACAAATATCAGCCCTAAAATCCTAAGTGAGACACTATTACATATAAATTGTAAATTGTTCAATTTTTAATGCACAATTTTTTTTTTGTATTTTTCATATTTCACTGACTTCAATTTTTATTCTTTTTACTACAACCTAAAAAAAAAGGGGATAAAAACGTTATAAATACATACCGACGGTGAAACTACCAAACCACGTATCTCGTTTGCGGTGTTTAAAAATCTACGCTCATATTTTATTTTTTTGAAGTAGACCAAATCAATATCATTCCTTGAAATTTTCACGGAATTTTCTCCACACAAAGAGGAAAAATCACAGAAATTCTCAAGACTGGGTGTTAAGTAGTTTTTCATTTAAAAAATAAAGTACGACAGGAAGTCTGCGACGTCGCAAACCGAGATACGTGGTTTGGTAGTTTCACCGTCGATACGTGTTGTATAGCTATGTAGGTACCCAAAAATACATGCTTTGTATGTTACATACTGCTAAAGTTACCGGTTTCATAGGAGGATTGCTTCTGCATGGTGGCCTCAACCAGCCGTTGACCTGAAGAACCGATGGGTTTTAGTAGATGTTTAATTTCAGTTTACCTAGTTTAAGCACTTTTATTTCTTTTCTTTTTATTTCTCGTCCCTTTAATGTTTTATGCGCTGTTGCGAAAAATTTTACAGAATGTATAAATTGACCCACCAATAAAATTTTTAATCGACTTGATTTCGTACTATGCTCCAATTTATTTACAGCCCCCTATCAAAAACTATCGTCTGACCATGGAAATTTCCCAGATTTTTTTCTCTCGTAGGAGAAATATTCTGCAATAATTCCAGGTCATGATGTCGATTCGTTCTTCTTAAAAAAATAAAATTGGAACGTAGATTATTATTATTAGGCACCGCAAACGGGAACGATACACGCATTTATTGCATGAGAGATTTCAGTCCATATTTTTTCCTCTCTCCTATTTTTATCATTGTCAATAAGAGATTTGTTAGAGCCACAAATTAAGAACGATTAGTGCGCTTAGGTTACCTAATTACTCTCGATTTGTTTGTTAAGACGGAGTGCGTATTAGAGCAGTGGTTTCAGCTTTGACATCCCCCTCCCGCCTTACGTCTTAGTTCCCGCCAAAATTTATATGAGCGCTATCTCTACTGCAATCCTGTGAATTACGTATTCCCGCTTAAATATTGACGAATGAGAGCATAACAAATAAAAAAAAACAGGGTTCTGATTGGCCAGCGCTCCTTGTTTCCGGCGTTCCATGTTTATTTACACTTTTTTGAGGAATTCTAGCTTCGATAGATTATCACATGCTGCATTGCTACTTTCATGTTTGTTTTCAAGGCTAAAATTAATCAATTTCAAGAAACTCAATCCATTCTTAATACATTTGATCCATTTTAATTTCTGGAAAAATGAATTGTGTTCACTATCTATGCAATTCAGAAAATTTAAATTGGGTTTACTGAGCACCAGACCTCTTGAGCCAATAAGGAATATGAAATTCCGAGGTTTAAGGAGACTGGATAATTTTGTTTATTTCACTCTGCAATCGATGGAACAGGAGATATTTGCATGATGATTGGGTGAAAGAGAACAACTTGAGGCAATAATCTTCATACAGTAGACTGTAGAGAATAGGTAAATTTTTTTTCTTTGCATATTCGTGCACACCCTCAAAAAATTAAACTAAATTGACATTTATAATACTTACATATTAGGTGCTCAGTATTTATTCAGATTATGATACCACTAATTCGGTTCTCTATAAAATGAAACGCTGGGTGCAGAAAGGACAATTCTCAGTTGCAGTGTCTCAGAATCTCTGCTACCTTTTTATCAATTATGATCAAGGCAAATGTATGTAATTCGTTTCTCAAATATTCTCAATGACTTTAAAATGCTCTTAATTGCTGGGTGAATTTCAGGAAATTTACCTAGTAAATTCCTCTCTGAAATGTAAATTAGCAGTGGTGATTCTGAAACACCTGAACCAAAGAGCCTTTTCTGTGCCCAACGTCTTGATAAACCGATAGCAGCATTTGCTAAGATTTTGCCATGTGGAATAGGAGGATTATTGAATGAGAAAATAATGGGGAACAGGTTTTTGATTTATGTAGGTTTTAATTTTTTCAAATTTTGAAAATATTTATTTTCGGTAAATAAGTTCCTTGACATCAAGATGAAAGGTCATTTGAGTTCACGATTACAAACGTTTGGTGAAGGAAACTATTTTTCGAGGTTGAAAACTAACCATCCAAAGGTACTGCTCCGACTTCAGCTTAGAAACTGAAAGTTTCCAAAGCTTCCAAAGATCTATTTCAATGAGATTTTTCTGTTGCTGGATCTCTTTAAATGATGAGCAAATTCCAGGGGTCCCTTACAATGTCATTCACGTTTCATGACTTCCATTTTTTTGTTAGACATGCTGATGCTGATAGTTGAATCCTGAAAGCGGAGGATAGTGCTAAATTTCAGGGGGAAAAAGGTAGTGACAGGTGTTAGTGCACAATGAAATAGAAAAACTTGGGTGTAGGTTAGTTATTTTTTGGACCCAGGTCTTTTTTCAAAACTCTCAAGGTGAATGAGACAGGTTTGCATAACGCTAACCAAGTAACCTTTGGGATGTTATAAAAATTTAGGATAAAAAGTGTTAGTCGAATGGGTTAAGTCTGACATTTACTCTAAGTCTAAGTCTAAGACCTAAAGGAAAGCACATTGCACAAACTGGGGCTCTCGAACTGACACTGATTCTTCTAGTTCTCAGCTATTTCTGCATAAAATTCCTTGAAAATCTCAAGATCTGATCTATGATGTGTCCTGAAATGATCCATTAACTACAAATATCATCAGGCAGACATTCTATGAAGGGCAACAATCAACTATTCCTACGATGAGTCCTTTAGTTTGTGCAAAGGATGGGTGCATAAGTTTTTAACATTTAAGCCATGACTCTTCTGGCCAATACAATCAGAAAAATTTAACATTTTACATTTATTTTATGATATGATTCTTACATATTTTCAGTGATTAGTTTCATTAATTCTATACGGCTACACCATTGATAAAGTGACGAAGCTTAACTCCTCTTAGCCACCATGCAAAATTCTATGCTCGGAATGACACAAAAGGCACACCGTTATTAGAAATCAGCTTTAACAGAACACTGAGGCTTCCAGACATTGGCAAGATTGTTTCAAAGTTTCCTCACAAATCTAAACATAAAATTTTGAGGAATGAAATGAAAATGATAAAATTCATGCAGACATTTATATAGTCATAATAAAATAGTTTAAAAAACTAAAATATAAGAGAGAAAAAGGCAAGCTTAAGTTTTCGTGACTTTTTGTACTAAAATAGACTACTAGACAGGGTTAAAACTTCAGCAACGCAACACAGGTTTTCTCAGAAAAAATTTTACCGAGTAAAAAGTAGACACATTGAACATTTAAAAAGCAACTCATAATGGAGAAATTTGCATTTTCTGTGTCCATCTATTAAAACTCCTTGCTCCCCAGCAGCCTGAATGTTGAAATTTTTTGTTTGTCGGGACGACACAGATGACATAGGTTAAAAGGCGGAGCATGATTGGTCAGCTATGTTTTATCGCTGCTTTGTCATGCCTATGTCGCGTTGAACTCACAACAAGATAACAGCATCTCTTAAGTTTCCGACAGTATGTTGTCCACTCCACCAGACAAAGACACGAAAAAACAGCGATAAGACATAGCCGACCAATCACGCTCTGCCTTTTAACCTGTGTCATCTATGTCGTCCCGACAAACAAAAAATTTCAACAATCAGGCTGCAGGAAACTAAAGTCTACTGACATCAAACCAAGCGCTAGACTAATGCCGATAAACTTTATTATCAAGCTTTCTTTGTCAGCTAATTTTTGTCGATAAGTTGATGAGTGAATGAAAGCAGGGATGGAAGTTTTCTAAAAATTAAGTACTTAAGTCTTAAGTCTTGCATAACTGATTGGATGCACGAATTAATTCTGAAGAGCCAATTTGACTTACAATGATTTTGAACTTATCTCTAAGAAGAGAGTTCTGTAATTCAAATTATAAATGCCATAATCTTTCTCAAGAACTCCTCTTGGAAATTTGTAATGTGATAACACAGAGTTTTATATGGTATTTCGATGAGAAATCAAACCATCTGATGCTGCAGCTCCTACCATGTCTAGAAATCCATTCTTCTACACCGGTAATAAAATCGCTTAGAGCAAAGTGAGACAAAAACTTATTTGCTAGTTGTGGTGAATAATTCCTGCCATAAAATGGATTCAATCCTTCCTAGGTTTGCACTTAGGTTAGTTCTCGAAAACTCAAAAAAATCTTAAATTAGGGTAAGAAAGTTGGGACGTCAAAGGTTCCAAGCGACCTAATCTACACCCTCTGATCTGGGTGATGAGAGACTCTAGGCATCAACCAGCGAGAATGAATATGTAAAATTAGATAAAAGCTTAAGTAAAAATGATGGTGGCAAGATAGTAAAATAAAAAGGGTGATCGTATAAAAAACTTATCTCTATGATTTGAGAAGTTCGACATACATTTTAAAAAGAACTGCAATAAAATAGATACAGTGACATTATTCATTGCAGATTAGATTGCGAATTTATAAAATTAATAGGATTAAGACTTCAAAAAAACTTTCACAAGCAAATTTGAATACAGACAGAGAATGATACCTTTATCTTCTTACATTACAGAAATTTACTTGGTTTCATTTATCTTACCAGACGCCATCTCCAAATTGCACCAAGTCCAGTAGAATAAATTAAAATTTTTGTGTTTCAATAATTTGATGAGATGGTTTTACTATGAAATAAATACTAGAATTCTGTTTTCTATTTATCTTATCAAGATTTTATAGCAAGCTATACAATTAGGGAGCAAAAAGCAAGATTTTAAGAAAAAAAAGTCACAGATGAGACTTTCAGCAAAAGTATGAAACTCCTTTGGCAAGGATCATACACTATAATTTAAGGTGGTAAAATCGTATATAAATGACCAAAGTGCGGAACAACGTATCTCCGTTTGTGACATCGCAGACTTCCTATCATACTTTATTTTTCCTTTGAGAAACCAGTCGATGTAATTTCTTGAAAACTTTCTTGCTATTCTTCTCTGAAAGGTGAAGATTCTTCATAAATTTCATGCTATAAAGTTAACTTGTTTCTCATCAAAAAAGTAAAATAGGAGCGGAAATGTTTAAACACGGCAGTTGAGATTCATAGTTTCGCTTTTTGGCCATTGATATTTAAACTTCAAGCTTCAGTATGAATCTTCAGTGATATAAAAGTGATCTTTTTCTCCGTAAAGCAATACAAACATGGAGAGACTCTGAACACATGCTTCTCCATAATTATAAGCTAAAAAATCAAACTAACATCAAAAGTTTCATGAATCGCATTACCCCTTTAAACACACCAAAAAATATGAAGAACAATTTGCACTGAAAGAATCATTTATAATATACCTAATAAATGCTGGCAATTTTTCTAGTCGTTGTTGTAATGATTAATATCGACGAGAGAAAAATTACTTTTTCGACACCACTTTAAATGGGTTGCAAAACACTTAACTGAATAGATAAAAAATTACTGCTATTGTGTATAAAAATAAATGCCAGTGTACAGAATACTCAACTTTTCAAGAGAATGACGACAGCCATTGGTAAAATTATGTTTCAATGAAAAATAAATTGCAAAAAATAAACAGGATTCAATCTCTGAGACATGTAAATAAATTGAGATAAGATTATCCTGGAAAGTAAAATAGGTACATTAATAGATCCGATACACAAGTCCAGATCAGATCTGGACTATTCATATAGTCTCAGATAAGCTGTTTGTTTTAAGATGATCCGTCTCTCAGTCCGGTTGTGAGCAAACTACCTTGCATATGATGAATTGCATCAATTTAATGAAAAATGAGGGTAAATTTTTGACTAAAAAAGATGATTGCTTACTCCTATGAGTCTCAGGAATTATAAGCAAAAATTAAGGACGAAAAAAAGAGCAAAATTCACAGCAATAAAAACAAGATTTGTCCACAGTAAAAAAAAGAGAATCTGATAAGTAACTTCGTCTAAGACTTGTGTGTGAAAAGGGCACTTCTTAATTTCAGTATTTCAGAATTTCTTTTTACTTGAACTTAACAGAGAAAAAAGTGCTCAAGGGGGATGAAAATTTGACCGAATATTCATAATATATGACGATATCTTTAGAACTTTTCTCAAGTTTAATAGACTCCTTGCAAAAAAAGAAGTATTGGTGGAGATTCTGTCGCACTGCAATGGGGAAGTGCTTTGTTCGAATCTGAGTTCTCAATTAAGCAAATTTTAATTTGAGCTTTGGGACTATTTTTATGCTCAAACCTTGCAGCTGTCACTTCATATGAGTTTGGAACTTTAAATAAAATTAGCTTAAAGTGCTTTAAAATGTGATTCTATCTTCACAGACAAATCCTGTTCATATTTCTTCCTTTCTTTCTCTTTGTTTTGGGCGAATAATTCTTTAAACTCATATGCAAAGGTTATGTATTTAATAACCTCAACTCCAGTTTGACCACAGCCAGTGACCAAGACGCAGCATCTTGTTTGAAACAGAGTAAAAGTAAATACTAGAATAATACATCGGTAAATGCATGCTGATAAAAATAAAGTTAGATGATTGATTGGTTAGTACAATTTTTTATAGGGATAATTAAATCACATTGATTTTTGTGGACTAGCGACAATTCTGATTTTTTCCATTACGATTAAGAAAGTCAAGTATTCTTCCTTTTTGTATTTTTATAAAATATTGAGCTTTAGAAAAAATAAACCACAAAAACGGCGGTAAAAACTCTGAAATAATTAGGGCATTATTTAAAACAACATTTTCTAAAAAAGACTTTACATCAGTCATCCCACAGTGCAGATAAAATAAAATAATCTAACCAATGACCATACAATGGTACTAAATTGTACCTAAAATTGGAAATTTTCCATTCCGATGATTTAAAAAGCCTCAGAAGAATTAAAAAACATAGAAGTGTACAAAACAATAAAAACCATCTGACCAAAATACAAAGATCATCTTGATCAGCGGATATTTGCGACTTTTGAATGAATATTCATCTCCAGTGCACAATCATCATCATTATATTTACTACGATAATGATTCCGCTATTGATTTTCAGTGACAAATAGTTCCATACCATCTAGAGGCACAATTTACTTATCTATTGTCAAACCTCTTGCAAAGGCTTAAAATTGGAGCTAAAATTATCAGAGAGGAAACAGTAGTGCACTTGGATTAGCGAGATTGAACATAGAATTTTTACTTCTATTATTTGCCTAAACTAGGTTATTTCTGGTCAAAATGTGCCGCTAAAGAGAAGGGGTCTTATTTTTCAGAAAATAGCGAGTAAAATCGATATTTTGGGTTTATTTTAATAATTTCATGTGTGTTTATGTTTGCTGACTATCAATATAAGTTTGCTGTAATTCATAGAGTCTTCAAGAGCGATGGACTGCCACCTTAAGCAGCAGTCACTATTAAATGTTATATTTACAGACGAAAGAGAGAAAGAAAAAAAAGTTCAATGATTAACAACATCTAAAAAAGGTAGTCTTACAAGTAGGCATACAGAATATCACAGACAAGACATTTTGGTCGAATTATTTAGACATGACAGAGGTTATTCCTCAAATTTGTGTAGAGCTTCCTGGAGTTTTACGACAACCTGAAAAAGAAATATGAATTTGAGAGGTAGAAAATTAACACTGATAAGGATGACAAGAGGTGCAAGAAATATCTGACCTTGTGATCCATCGCAGCAAATGTGAGGCAATTTTCAAAATGGATTATTTTTTTTCTTCTTTTCTCCTTTGGTAACCACTTTAACCAGGTGGGGTAAATTGTACATGTTGCCATAGAATTGGACAATTTCCTACCAAACAAGCTAGATCTTTGGTCTTACGGCAAAAACACTTCATCTGGTTTGCGTCCCTGAGGATGATTAGTGCGGTTGCAGATGGACAAAAAAAGATTCCTGTGTGCAGCTTGTGTAATAAAGTTTGAGTGATACATCATTCTCTTCGTTTTTTCGTGTAGAATCCGATTTTCGATGTTGTCAAGTCCAAAAATGATGCTGGTGCCCCCAATTCAAGATGGCGCCCAAAATGGCCGCCCCGGGGGTCAAAATTCCAAAATTTGAGAATATTGTCGAGTTTGGTATCCATTTATATGTTATTTTGGTCGTAGAATTCATATCTGGTGTCAAAAAATCATTTCAACCCCTTAGGGACCGTCAAATCCAAGATGGCGGCCAAAATTTCAACTTTAACGATAATTACCCAAGATGCATCTTTCACTGTCGAATGACGTGTCTTCATTCATGTTAATTAGGTCAGAAAACCTACGAGCGAGGTCTACAATGCCACTGCACCCTATGGAGGGCCAGGGTTCACCCCCTCCTACCCCCAATATGGCCGCCGCGGGGGGCATGAACAATGACATTCCCTCAGAACGTCATAGTAGGTGTCGATTCCTATGTAATTTGAGGCGTAAATTCCAAATTTCAAGTCATAAATCGCAAATTTGAGACTTGCAATAGCTTATACCCTATATGGGGCCCGGGGAACCCCCTCAACCCCCTCTTCTTTCTAATATGGCTGCCATGGGGGGCATAAATAGTGAAATTCTCTCAGGACGTCATGTGAGGTGTCGATTCTTATGTAAGTAGAGGCGTAGATTCCGAATTCCAAGTCGGAAATCGAATATTAGAGGTCTGGAATGCCATTACACCCTTCGGGAGGCCAGAAGCAACCCCCTACCCTCTTCAAAACGACCGCCGGGGGGCATAGTTGCAGTGAAATTTTCTTAGGACGTCATGTGAGGTGTCGATTCTTATGTAATTCAAGGCGTGAATTCCGAATTCCAAGTCCGAAATCGCAAATATCTCAAAGTGACAAAAATACTTATGGCAATCGCTCTGGCCTTCATCTTGGAGTAAAGAATGCTGCTTGGGTTGGGTTCATTTTTGTCGAAAGAGCTGGAAATGAATCGGATAATTTAATGGTGATTGACAAATTTCACCGGTGCGGTGTTCTTTTTCAAGTGTACACAGAGGATTCATATTGGCGTCTATTTCTTTAATTATTAGATAACTGGATAATAGATGGTTCTTTTTGTAATCGATTTTCTTCTGACAGGAGCGTGCGTTTTGTTGCAGGTAACGCAGGAAACTGTAGATGCAGCTTCTACTAAGAGACAAAACCCTGCGCTACAAAAAGCACTCTATTGTCCAGTTGTTTTAATTGCAATTAAACTGAGTGCGTGCATAAACAATAACATAGGTACTCTGAATGCAGATACGTACTTCGTCGGCAAAAAAATTATATTTTTGTGGGAATTTTTAAAAATATAATAAAAAGACGCCCATCTTCCTTTGCGTAGGTACAATAGAAAAAGAATACGCGTAAAGTTTGTCAATTACCATTAAAATCACCAATTCATTTCCAGCTCTTTCGACAAAAATGAACCCAAGCAGCATTTTTAGTCCAAAATGTAGGCCAAAGCGGTTGCCATATTTAAGTATTTTCGTCACTATGGGATATTTACATTTGTTGATTTGAAATTCGAAATCCACGCCTCAGATTAAAAACAAATCCACACCTACTATGCCGCTTTGACAGAATTTCACTGTTCCTATGTGGGCGAAAATTTGAAATAGCGGACATTTCAGGGTGAAAAAAGTCTATAAATCAAGTTCATAATTTCCCTTGGAAGTTGTATTTTCTTAATTCTGAACGATTTCTGGGATCTGAAAGCGTATATGGTCCCAATGGATAATGGATGGATGGTATGGATATTTTTTTATACAGTTTTTCCTATACAAACTCCAGCTATTTATAACGGTTATGAGCGTGTGACGGTAAAAGTGCAAGCTAGGAACCCTAGTGTCGCAATGCGGGAGACAGTCATGCGTTTGACATCATTCAAAGGGTAAATATTACCTACCAAAAAACAAAAATTTTAGCTAATTCTTTAATGTTTGTTTTTCGGAAAAAGTGTTTTCTTCATATTCATACCGAAAAAATAGGAGTAGAACATATTTATATGTGCTATTAAAATACCAGGGACAATAATGTACCAACCATATTTGAAATTTTCACACGTTTAATATATATGCCCCTCCCAGCGGCCGTTTTGGAGGGGGAGGGGGTTGCTCTTGGCCCCCGTAAGGAGTATTGGCATTCCAGACCACCAATTTGCGATTTCCGACTTGAAATTCGGAATCTACGCCTCAACTTATAGGAGAATCGACACCTCACATGCTGCTTTGAGAGAATTTCACTGCAACTATGCCCCCCCCGGCGGCCGTTTTGAAGAGGGTAAGGGTAAGGGGTTGCTCCTGGCCCCCCCTGTAAGATGTAATGGCATTCCAGACCAGAAATTTGCGATTTCCAACTTGAAATTCGGAATCTACGCCTCAACTTACATGAGAATCGATACCTCACATGCCGCTTTGAGAGAATTTCACTGCAACTATGCCCCCCGGCGGTCGTTTTGAAGAGGGTAAGGGGTTGCTCCTGGCCTCCCGTAGGGTGGAATGGCATTCCAGACCTCTAATTTGCGATTTCCGACTTGGAATTCGGAATTCACGCCTTGAATTACATAAGAATCGACACCTCACATGACGTCCTAAGAGAATTTCACTGCAACTATGCCCCCCGGCGGTCGTTTTGAAGAGGGTAGGGGGTTGCTCCTGGCCTCCCGAAGGGTGTAATGGCATTCCAGACCTCTAATATACGATTTCCGACTTGGAATTCGGAATCTACGCCTCTACTTACATAAGAATCGACACCTCACATGACGTCCTGAGAGAATTTCACTATTTATGCCCCCCATGGCAGCCATATTAGAAAGAAGAGGGGGTTGAGGGGGTTCCCCGGGCCCCATATAGGGTATAAGCTATTGCAAGTCTCAAATTTGCGATTTATGACTTGAAATTTGGAATTTACGCCTCAAATTACATAGGAATCGACACCTACTATGACGTTCTGAGGGAATGTCATTGTTCATGCCCCCCGCGGCGGCCATATTGGGGGTAGGAGGGGGTGAACCCTGGCCCTCCATAGGGTGCAGTGGCATTGTAGACCTCGCTCGTAGGTTTTCTGACCTAATTAACATGAATGAAGACACGTCATTCGACAGTGAAAGATGCATCTTGGGTAATTATCGTTAAAGTTGAAATTTTGGCCGCCATCTTGGATTTGACGGTCCCTAAGGGGTTGAAATGATTTTTTGACACCAGATATGAATTCTACGACCAAAATAACATATAAATGGATACCAAACTCGACAATATTCTCAAATTTTGGAATTTTGACCCCCGGGGCGGCCATTTTGGGCGCCATCTTGAATTGGGGGCACCAGCATCATTTTTGGACTTGACAACATCGAAAATCGGATTCTACACGAAAAAACGAAGAGAATGATGTATCACTCAAACTTTATTACACAAGCTGCACACAGGATTACATCTGCAACCGCACTAGATATTTTGAATGAGCAAAACAAAATGAATTTGGCTTCTTTGTCAGCAGAAAACAATACAACATTCTAAAGCCTCCGCATTTTTCGACATTTTCTTCCGTGATGATCTCAACCAAAAAGAAAGAGGTAAAAATATTTGCAAAGGAACAAATTCCTGGGTAGGTCATAGCAACGACTGTTGTAAAAATTAAGCCTTACACAATTTTGGAGCATAACTGTGCCCATCCAGAGTTGGACTCAGTTGGACAAATCTCACAATAATTGGTGATGCTGGCAATCACGAACACTTGATCCGTGATTTAATTACAACACAGTCGAATAATACAAACTGATGACTTCCCATTGGCGATGACCCAACCTCACCCTGCCACCTCTAAAGAACAAACAGGGAAGGATGAAGACCGTGCCCCTCCTGTATATAGGAGGGACACAGTCTTCATCAATAAAGAATGAGGGTTGTTCAGTATCCTGATGTATCTGTCACCAACAGAGATCAAACCAAGGACCTCAAGGGTGGTAGCAAACTGCCTCGACTACTAAACCACTGCGACTTTCTTTCCTAAGCTTATCTAGTGGTTCAGTTAAATATCAATTTAAAAATATACTGTCATCAGCAAAAAGTAACCAAGTTCTGTCAAATCCAAGCAGAGAAAAGATGTGGATTGATTTCTCTTTTCCTAAGACACAACAGCAAAAATTCGCTTTCAGTCCCTTTTGGAACACTACAGAATTTCATAAGCTTTGATCATTTGGCAGAAAAAGTGAGAAACTAGTGACAGTTGTTCCGTAGCAGGATTGATATAATTTAATTTTCTTGAAAATGGGACTTGATTCCTTTCCGCTGAACTTAGCTCAAAGATAATTAAATGCTTCTAGGAACTTACTTTTTGATAGAATGTGATCTGTTCTGTTAGAAAAGACTTGATGCTTTCATTCAGCTGGGCAGTCTGATCCGCATGAAAGTAATTAATTTCTGCAAGAAGGGCATAAGATACTGTATCTGTTCGGCGTGATACTTCTGCAAGCTGGTCATGATCCATTTTCTGTTCGGAGTAGAGTTTTTCACACTCCTTCTTCTTTTGAATTGCTCCCTGAAATGATGAAGGAAAGTGGTAAGGAATGATAATTTTTTAGCTGGAATAAACTAGAGAGTTGTATTTATCCCGCGGAGAGGACCTTGGTTTTTGGAAACTAACTTTTCAGAAGAGTGATTTTTATTGAATTGCACTGAAAAGTTGGAATTTAAGTTTCAGATACAAAACACTTGCTCAAAACATGATCACAAAGAATAAGTTTTGTTTATGTTATTGTTGAGTAATGTAATTTTGTATTTTGTTTTTCTTCCATAAAAGTAGAGAATAACAATGCAATGGACTGTTTCAGACCTCAAGAATGACAATTTTAAACTTAAAATGGATTTTCCCTACGTAGGTTTTCTCATAGGTTTCTCACTTCTTGGCTTCATAAGATTCATCATATAATAAATTCAATTAAGTTAACCACATGATAGTCAGCCTTGCTATCCTTGTGGTCAATGATTTTTGCAGAGGAGCGAAAAAGGCCCAATTCAAAATAATGATTCATGGATTGCGAAAAACAATAGATAAATTTTCGGCCAAGGGGTAATGTACAAGATAGTCATTTTTTAAAATTTTTTTTTTCTTTGAAAAGAAAGGACATATCAAGGGCTAAGGAACAATACCGCTTAACCGACAATTTTGACGAAAATTACTGAGCAACTTTGCCGTATTCCACAGTATGCTATACACTAACTGATGTTTTCAGTTTTTTCTAATCTTGCATGTAAGCCCTGTTTTGGTGCTGTAATGTGTAAGAAAAATTGCAAACCTATCCTCAAAATTACAAAAATGGCGAGATTTCTTCATCCTTAAAAATTGCCAGTTAGCAGATAAGTGGTACACATTGTTCTTTAGCCACCAACATAGTACATTTTGCAATGAAAGCAGTCACTTTTCCGAGCAGTAAAAATACCAGATTACTAGAAACATTCAGCACATTGGAACTAAATACATCCTTGATATTTGATCTCCTTTCATCTCGATTTAACATTTTTTATAAAGAATATTCGGCTTGTTTCAATTCTGTTGAAAATAACTTGAATAAAAAGGATACTTGAAATTATTCTGAATACCTCACCTTGTGAACCGTCAACATTTCTGGAAAGGATGCTGTAATACCCTTGAGTATGTGTAACGTGTCCCCTAGAGGCTCCCAATCCAACTTGGCTTGCTCTTCAAACAGCTTCCCTATGTCGTTGTAAGTATCGCCAGTTTTCTTGATCGCAGCTGTTATGCTGGATCTATCGTACCCTGATGAGACAAAATAAATGGATAAATTAACCAATGACGGGTTTTAAAGATCGGGCGTCCAAGTTAGATGTAAAATCATGAAACTGCCAAGGTTGATGAACAATTGGCAAATTTATTTAATATTTCTTCAGTATTTTAGTCTTTGAGTTCTGACGAAAAAGTCAAAACAAAAAGCTGGGTTAAAAAACGAAATTCTAGCAACAGAATCAGTGTATCCCTTGCTCCATCATTGTTTCGGTAAAGATTGGGAGTTACAATTGGACTATATGAGTTTTTACAGTTTTTGGAGAAATTTTCTGATTTCTCCAGGTTAAAAGTATTCAAACATTCTTCTGTTACCCCCCCCCCCCCCCCCCCCNCTGGGGTCCATTACCACATTTCCAGTAGAAAAATTCCTGAATTTATTGGTCTTACATAACCAAAACGGTATTTCTACTTTACTTTTGATAAATAATTTACTGCCACGAATCCAAAAAAGAGAAAAATTGCTTCTTTAGGAACTTTAAGATCGATTTAAAGGCTCATCATTTGTATTCATATTAGTGACTTAAAGCCTAATAAATCATGTTTCAAATAAATTCAGAGATTCTTATTTTGAAGATTTCAGGCACATTGGATCTGGGGCAGCTAGAAATAGTTTATGGAAGTTTAGAGGGAAAATAGCTGCTCAAACCTCAAGAAATTTGATGTTCATTTTCAATCACATTCAAAAATGGTGAACTCTAGGATTCAATAATGTAGTCAGGAAAATTTTAGCTTTAGGCTTTATAATTCAGACTCTTGCAATAATGGGAATGACTTCGGCCCAGGATATTTGCATGTTATATTTTTGCAACAGATAAAGTACCAAAAAATAAATAAGAAGTTTCTGTCAAACTACATAATGATGATCAGTAAAAAACGGGAAGAAATGAAAACCTATTTACCTGTTCGTTCCTCGGTTCCCAATACTTGGCCGAGAGAATAAAAAGCATGTCCTACTTTTTGGAACTCTCGCTTATACATAGCAACATTCTTCTTAGACTGATCTCCAGCCACGGCAAAAAGATTCTTTGCCGCTCCATCAAGGCTGTGAATATACCTCGAACAGCTCTCCGTGTCCTGATCCCTAAGGTCAAATATAAAATCAAGTTAGCACCGAAATGAGCTAAAAATGAACGCCTGCTTTTTTACTTATTTTTTAAATGGAACATCAGACATTCAGTTATACACTGCTATGAGATCCTTCAACATAAAAGCAATAACTTTCCAATAAACATCAGCACCACTTTCTCGAATTAGGGAAAATCACAAAAGTATTGATAAATTTTCTATCAATTTTGCCAAATTTTTCAGCGAATTCAGTATAACTTTCTTTCTTCACAATGTTGTTTGTGTTCACTTAACTGGAAAATAAACAGTTCAATTTGTTTTTGTGCCCAGAGGGAACATTCAAAAGTACTTTACCAAAATACACTCACAAAACTCACTTATATCGGAACACATCCGCCAAATTTTATGATACAGGCTGCTTCAGATCGAAGCAGTATTCACTATTTTTGCATAAATTTGCACACATATTATGCTTGGCTGACTGGATCCCTTCTCCTTATGCCATAACATAATACCATGGTGCTCCGTAGTACCATATGCCAGAGGAAGGGGGTCGTGCATACTCAAGTTTTAGTGAAACGTCTGCCATGGTGGGGAGTAAACATTCTGAAATTTCGAGTGCCATTCTTCACAGAGGATACTTTACGTAAAATGAGAAGCCAATAAGATTAGGGAGATGGAAAATAACGAGATTTTCATCTTAAAGAAAAAAGCAGCACACAACTCCATATCTTCTTGGAGTCTTATTTTTTTGTCTTCACAAAATTCCATAAAGCTGCCAGCCTTTGATTTCAATGATCCATTGGTGTTTTAATCCACAAATCTGTTTCACTTCCAAGCACATGCTAAAAAGTTCAATACTTACAGGGTGCCTGGGTTGAGTGCCTTCTCAGGAGCCTTAACTGCAAGGAAATAATTTGCGCCTAAAAGTTTATCTTTTTCTGCTTTTCGTTTACCATCTTTCCACAGTTTCTCGTCAGTGCATGTGATGAAGTGTTCCCACACTTTGCACCGAGACAAAACTGGATGCCGACAAACGCATGAGACAAAAGCCTGCAACTGGTTTTTTCTCCGCTCGATAAACTGCTCATCATAACGCCCTGAAACAAAATTATTGATTCAAGTTTACAAAAAAAATTGGGAGATCAAAAAGATTTAGTCCTAATAATTTGAACTTCTTCAATTTTAAAAATTGTTTAGGGAATTTTGACACCTGGACTGCGTCCAATGGAAAAAAGACCCTGGGACACGGAGAAAAATTTATCAGGTTAGTAAATTTTGAAAAATCGGATAGTACAATTTGACTTCAGTGTTTTGAACAGAAATTGCTCTCTAATATCCAATGGAATAAAATGAGAGAACTTAACTTCGATTCAGTACTGATAGGGGGCATAAATTACACAAGTCTACGAACAATTTATTTTTTGAAGTGCTGCGCTTCGGCTACATGATTCTTAGAAATTTTTCAGCCCTGATTCTGAAAATAACAGGATTTGTCTCATCACAAACATATTTTCTTATTTTGAGAGGAGCAAGGCTCAAATTATTATACTAAAAAAAAACTGAGTCGTAACTAAGTTCTACTTTCAAAACCAGTTTTTATTTTTTCGGGTCAGTAAATCCAAGTGATTTTCAACTTGAGACTTGTTTTATTTGAAAAAGCAAAAAATTCACTTAACATCTTCATGACCTCTCTTGTGTTCATTTAGGTTTACTTGGAAAAAAAAAAAAAAAAAAAAAAAAAAAATTAAATCTTACATGTATTTTTTTCAGTATTTACACATTGGACTTCTTAAACTATATTACTCAAACATCATTGAAAAACATACATGAAGTGTAAGGCAAAAACACAAGTAAAATAAAGTTGAAATTTTAAAAAATACTGAAAACCTGAAGCGTTTTGAGCTATCACAGGCTCATTTTCAACTGCAAAAAGCATAAAAAAAAACTAACTTTTGCACGGTATTCTGCCTTTAAAGGGTTTTTAACATTTCAAGCCTTGCAATACACAAATTTTTAGCATTTTTTCTTCCTAAATTATTGTTGTGAGAACAGACTAGGTAATGACAAATTTACAGCTAAAAACTCAGAAGTATTACCTGAAATTTGCTTATCTGGCAGTGGAGGGATTGGAATAAGGCTGAACTTTTCTTCCAGCCGTTCATGAAGCCAGTCGAAATGTTTATACCGTCTGGAGACTTGAATATTGTTGAATGTTGGGGTTAGCTGATACGCAATGAAACTTTTCAAGCCTTTAAACTTGGAATCTTTTTTGGGAGAGGCCACCATAACGGCATACGGTTTGTCAATAGTTTCCCATACGATCACACTACCGTAGCCTTCGCCATATGAGTTTTCTATGATTCGAACGATTTCTGAATCTGGTACGGGCACTTTCAGAGTGCCCATGATGTAACTATCTCCACCAGCCTTATGAAAGTTGGTAAATCGGCTGCTTTTCTTATTAATGGTGCCTTTGCCATCACCAGCTGAAAAAGGATGAAACGATGAAGTTTCTATTAGCATCAATGTTAAGGCTAGGACATTAAGAAAATTTGCACTCAAAACCTTTAGAAGGAATTTCTCTTGATTTAGCACATAGAAAATCTTAATTTAATTTGATTTTTTTTTTAAATTCTCATCGCTCATTATGTACCATTGTACCTGCTCCACTGTTGATTTAAGCACATTGGTTTAAATTTTTCTTATTTAATTTTGCAATCAGACCAAATTTAGTCGATTTGTCCTGGTATTTACTGGTCCTTAGCTTTTACCATCAAGGTAGTAATAGGTCATTCAGATTAATTCTTAATCTGTTTTGTTTTTGGATATTTCCTGAAGGAGTTATGTATACTTCCAAGTTGGCAATTTTAAATTTCTTTTTTACCAATTTGTTTAATTTTCCTGTGATAATCAAGCTACACAATGAATTTGAGTAAATATTACTGTCTATGATAATTGAAACAGAAATTTTCGAGCAGCTCGTCCATGATATTGGAAAGGTTCCACCCCCAAATTGACTAAAAAGAAATTTTTCACATTTTAATTAGTTCTGCCCTCCACTGAAGCAGGTTCTATCAAGATTTGGAGTTTGCATTCATCCGGTCAAATTCTAACAAGTTGACATGTGCCTGAAAATCATGTCATGAAATTTTACCAATTTTTAAAAGTTGCACATCTTAACATGGTTTTGATAAAATGCAATTTGATAATGAGTAATCATGTTTTGATGATTAACTTTTCTCTTAACGTTGCAAACGCATAGGTTCTGGATGCAAGAGGGAATACATAGAGACCAAGTTGTAGCTTTCTGACCGTTCATGTAGCTATTTTTACATCTTAGGTAAAAATACTTGCATCCTATTGAGCTGAAAAATGTCTTTCAGCTGTTAACTTGGCATCACATGGCTAAATGGGATGGTATAATCATGAGTTTTGTTGTACCTATTGAACTTGCATCACTGATGGATGGTGTATAGTTGCTGATGCCTGTGTTACTTGGTGGCAAAGCTGGTGGCGCTCCGCTCTCTGAATCATCGTCCCAGTCATCATCCCAGAAATCTACAGGTTCATACGTCTAAAATAAATGTGTTAAGAAAAAGTGAATCCGATTAGAAGAAAACTTTCATTTCACGAGGAATGCAAAGAACGCATGTATACTGCATCTCTAACCTTACTTAATTAAAATTACAAATTAAATAGTGTAAAACTTAATTATGCAAGCTAGAGCCAAAACGGCTAAAGCCAAAGCTTGGCAAAATCAGTCAGTTAAAATTCCTGTACCTTGCAATAGTATGAGTTAAAGGTGTATTGGTATGAGTATGAGTGGTGTATGAGTCAAAGGTAACTGTAGGTAGCAGATATTTCTGCCGGATCGCAAAAGCAATGGTTTATTTTCCTCGCTCACTACTGCTCCTTTTGAAAAGAAAAATCGTGACTATCTACAGAGAGGGACTCATAGTGCTAAAAAACTCCAACATTTCAGCAAAAAAAAAAGGTCCAGAAATATCATATAGGAATTTGCTGGTTTCAACTTGGTGGGCAAAACATGTAGTTGTAAAAGAGACCTACGTATTTATAGATTTGATTTGACAAGTTTAGGGCTAAAAATTGTTGGATTGTTATACAGCCACTCCAAGTCCTCTATTGGAGAAAATGAACTAAACTACTCACATCATATTCCTTGAGATCTTAGGCGGATTACAACTCATTTGAAGCTAAAAAAAACTCCATCAAAAATCGAAGTTCAATTTTTGTATGCAACTTGAAAAACATCACTCTTAACTCGAAAAATTTGCTTCCACTGACTACTATTCCCTTTCACTGGTAGCACTAGAGCAAGGGAGTGGGAGGAGTCTAGCAGATCTAAACCTTCCTCTCGATTGAAAAATTTTCCCCAGAAAACTTAATTTTTCCTAGTTCTTAAGAATTTTATCTTCAGGATCCCTCCCCATAAGGAGTTTTTGACTGTCGACTCCTTCTCCATGAAAACTTTCTGGTTGAGCTGCTGGTTTCTTTATCAGTAAAGCAATCATGTACACACATTTTGAAGAAAAATATCTAATTCCTTTTTGTTTTCCATTTTTACAACCTAGATTGCTCATGGCACATGGCCTGTAACATGCAAAGTTCAAAGAGTAAATGCATAAAAGACAACGTACCTGCTGGGTATTGCAGTAGAGATTATCAGCGTTATTTGAATTGGTTTCCCAGTCTTTCGGTAGAGGTGGGGGAGGAACTGCAGGAGGCACGCTGACTTTGACTTCCTGCACGACAAAAGAAAAATGGGCTTAAATTATGATATTCAAAATTAATTTTTTTTTTCTGTTGCAAAGGTGAACTAAACAAACCAGTATTGCTACACCTCAAAATGGTCTGCTCAAACAGAGTTGACAATCGATGGATGCTAAATAAGCCGACAAGGAAAAGGTTGGAAAAGATCAGTGAATCTGATGGACACACAAACGACCAGCATCAATGACCAGAGAAAATTGAATTTCTATTCCTGCAGTTTTATCTCAGAATTGTAAGGAAAAAAATTTCTGATCCAAAAAAGCCAAATAAAAGAAGATTGACTTTTAGGAGTGAAAAATACTTTCCAAATCATTTAAAAAGTCCCTGACTATGTTTGAAAACTGTTTGAATCATATGAATACCTACTTACTTACAAGTAACTTAAAATTAAAAAGAAACTATTCCACCAACATGTTTTTTTGAGTTACCTAGCTCTGCATAACCGAATGGCTAAATGGCTAATATTAGTCCCCAAGTTTTTTCTACGTTTCTGCAATGTTGATAGATTTCAAGGATTTAAAAATTTACTTCATTTCTGGAAAATCCCTGATATTTTACTTTTACTCCATTTCTGGCAAATCCCTGATATTTTACTTTTACTTCATATCTGGAAAATCCCTGATATTTTACTTTTACTTCATTTCTTGAAGATACTTCCCCAGTTGCTCAGTGCACCTCTTTTGTGATTTTTGTTTTACAATACTTTTGATAAACTAAATACCAAGAGTCATAGAATTCTTAAGAGTGTGCTATGCTGTAAATTTTCATTTTGATCGTAGTCAAGACAAAAAAATACACTAAAAGATAGGTTTCAAACTACAAGATGCACAGTGAAGCTGCTGCTTGGAATTTGGATAAATTTGTGCGTATGTAGTGAAAAAATCCAACTGACCTCAACATACGCTGCTGGAAACAGCCCAGTTCGGCCAAGGTGGTTGGTCCCCTCCCACCACCCTTCACCGACATCTTGTCTTGTAACCGTTAGGATTTCTCCACTTGTTACTGATAGTTCTGATGAGTTGGGTTCTCCTTGGAAATCATAGACAACTCGAACCTGAAAGAAACAGCCGGAAATGCAATTCATGAGTTTTGGTTTGGAGTGCATTTCTAGGCATGAAATTATTCCATGTAAGTTGCGCAGTTATGCATGTATTCATTCAATACAGGATTGTCACAGGATTTAGAAAATAAAATTCCCTGACATTTCCTTGATTTTCTGGACCAATTTTGGTAAAATTTTGGTAAATGACGATTGAGTATATTAGATGATTACAAATATATGGTTGAAATAATTTTCTGGCAAAATTTGTTGTTAACAACATCAAGCCCCTTCAAAAAGGAAATTTTGACTTAACAATCTTATCTTGACACTTTCATCATTCCCTTAGACATTTCTAGGTTTCCCCGAACTTTTAAAAATTCCCTGACTGTGGCAACCATGTTAATAATCAAAGCTCAAGAATGATTTTCTCTTTTAATTGACACTTTGTTCTGTAAATTGAAACCTTTTAAATTTTTTGGTTTTCTTAACTAGATCTTAACATCGTTGTAATGCTATATTAGTTCAAATTCTGTCGAAAATAGCTTAGTCAAAAAACATGCGACTGCATTGCAATGTTTCAAAATCTCTGACTAAGTAGGTATGTTAAAATATTTGGGAAAAAACCCATCAAAATACCTTCTTGGGATTTTCTGTGAATATTATTGATTAAAGAATAAAATTCACAGACAAAATCGAGAGAGAGAGTGTTAGTTAGTTTCCTCTAAAAATGATGGTATAAGTGAGGGTTTATGACATCAAAATTAAAGATACATATTATTAAACTCTTACCAACGATAAATTCTTTATCCAAAGACTAAAAAAAAGAAACAGAGAAAACGGGATAGACAGGTAAGGTAAACAGGGTTTGCAGCAGGTCAGTGATTCAAGTCTACTGACAATTCAGTCGCTGCAGACTAAGGATAATGAGTATTTATGAAGGGACAGAGGAGCTAATGATCAAGTGGTGTCAAATTACCTTCATGATGACATGAACTTATATGACTCGTGGTGGAATAAGTGAGGGTTTATGACATCAAAATTAAAGATACATATTATTAAACTCTTACCAACGATAAATTCTTTATCCAAAGACTAAAAAAAAGAAACAGAGAAAACGGGATAGACAGGTAAGGTAAACAGGGTTTGCAGCAGGTCAGTGATTCAAGTCTACTGACATTTCAGTCGCTGCAGACTAAGGACAATGAGTATTTATGAAGGGACAGAGGAGCTAATGATCAAGTGGTGTCAAATTACCTTCATGATGACATGAACTTATATGACTCGTGGTGAGACAGCAGCAGCTGAGCCTTTCAATTAACCACTTGACTTGGTAGACAGGCCCTCTTAATTACTGGTTCTTGGAGACAAGAAACATTCAATTCACCATACGCTCGTCCCTGGGGGCAATGAGAAAAAAAATGACAGATTAAAATACAGACAGATTTCGGTAAATTTAAATGAATTTTAAGGCATTCTCACAGATATTTTGAGGCTCCCCCTCCCCCCTTGCAAATTTTGTGTCCCCGTAACCCATAACGACTCTTGCTCCCTATCTGTTAGATTTGGCTGAAATGACGCCTCTGGGATTACTGATCTAAAATGAGGAATTTTAGGAAAACTATAGATTTGAAAATTCTGTTAAGAGGCGTGAGGAGAGGACCGTAAAAACCTATATGTGACTCCAAAAAACAAAAAAAAACAAAAAAAAAGAGCTCCCCCCCCCCCCCCCTATATAAAAGCGTCATTATCTTCGTTTAGCGTGCTCCCCCGACACCCCCCCCCCCCTCCCCGATGTAATATCCGTAAGGATGGTTCCGGCGGTAACATTAGTATTTTAAGTAATTTTGATTGAATTTTTTAATCACAATTAGATACAATAAGGTAAATACAAGAGACAAATTATTTTTAATAGTAATAAGAAATCAAACTGTAATGCTAGACTAAGGATAAATAGCGCCCTTTACTATTTGTCAAGCACTTCAAAATTTGTATGATACGAATCTTCCCATTTCGGGTGGGGCTGCTGTTGGCCCCATTACAATTTGTAATAAAAAAACAAATAAAATATGTGACTCCAAAAAAAAAAAAAAAATAAAAATAAAAAAAAAATAAAGAAAAGAGCTGTTTGGATGCAACTGACATTCAAAATAAACCATTGAAAGATTACAGGTGTGTGAAAAATTAAGATAAACAAAATATGAGCTGTTAAATGGATAATAACAGCTGGTAATTGGGATGATTAATACACACAATGATAAGGAACAATGGAGAGAGAGAGATTAAAAAAAGCTTGATAAGTCACATTCACTCATGCATGGTTCAAGACTGACATGAATATTATATCTTTACCATGATGTAATTAGAGTATATTTTTTTCTTCTTTTTTTCTTTTCATAGAAAAATAGCAGATTGGATACTACTTAAATAAGGTTACTGTTTTTCTTCTTCAAAAAATTTCCATTCCTTGGTACTTCATTTCCTTGAGAAACTGCTACCATTATTTTTTTAACCAAATTCTTAGTGGGTATTCTTGAGAAAGCAAAGGATAGTCAACCAAAATTTTGAGTTATGTTATGTTCGGTCATTTTTCAAAAAAAAAAAAAAAAATGAAATATGGCATCTCGAACCAGGATACAAGGTTCTGTTGTTTCACCATCCATATACCCTGATATAGGGTCTTGCACAAACGAAAAATTAGGTTTTTGGGGGATTCTATACTCCAGGTAATCCTTTCTTGCTCTTTTAAATAGATATCAAGGATAATAGTTGACAAAGGTGTTCCCAGAAAGAATGCCAATCCAAACCTCTTAGAGATTTTTTGCTGACTAGAATTTCAGTTTTTTTAATGAGCAAGAGCCTGGAATGTGTAGGTTACTTTAAAGATGCAGTTGAAAACATGGAAATTACAGACATGAATTAGAGTGAGAGGTCATAGCAAGGAACGCTTTTCAATAAACTTTTCAACCAAAAAAAACCCCTTCAATTTTAAAGGATCCATAGGTTCAGAAAAAAGAGGAATGAGATAAATTGCCATAAATGAAGAACATAGAGCACTCTATACAGTATGACATGCTGGCAAGAAACTCTGTTGTACATGAGGAAGAACCATTAGCTGGTGCTTATGACCTTAACTCGCAATCTCAAAAAGATAAACAAACAACAAAACAGAATGAACATGAGCTGTGGCCTCACTGTTTCTTCTATGAACAATTTCGAGCAGCTATCACTGAGTATTGGAGGATACAAATGAATTTGGCATTTCTCCTTCCACTACTTTCATTACGTATAAGGGGGGGGGGGGATAATTACAACGTTGCCAGATATTCTGCTATTAAAATACAAGATTTTTCCCCCTTTAATTTAAAAAAATAAATGCAACAGGTTGAAATATTACTTGATCCTCTTTTACAACTATGAATGCTTAAATGCAACCGCATGGCTTTACAGACATTATACAAAAAGATACCTGATAACTGTTTTTGATGCAAAGAATTAATGTTATTAAAAGTGAAACGGAAGTAAAAACTTTCTCTTTTGGAAAAAATAAATAAAAAGAAAACTAAGCAAAGTTAAGAAATGTAAGAATAAAGAAAGTAAAAGAAAAGCAATAAAAAAAAGGAAAATTAACCAAAAAAATAAGAAACAAAAAAATAAAAGTAGAAACTAAAATAAAAAAATATAAGCTAAAAGAAGAGAAAATTATAAAAACTCATAGATCAAAAATGTTAAAAAACGATGGAAAAGAAATTTAAAAAAGAGAAAGTAGATAACAAAAACAAGAAAATAAAATTTAAAAAAAAAAATAAAAAATGAAAACAAAGAGGAAAAAAAAATTAAAAAAATTAAACACGACGGGTAATCAAAAAGAGAAAACAAGAAATAGAAATAATACCACTTTATGATAACTAGGAGAAACACCTGGCATAAAGCAGTTGACAAAACTAACATTTCAAATCTGAAGTCTTAAACTGGCTGTGGATGAGGAGACAGTATGTACTAAAAGTAGAATAACATGTACATGTTTCTTCATTTAAGAAATTTCGAATTTCATGTACTGCAGTGTGGTTATAAAATCAACACAAAAATAGAAAAAAATCGATGAGAGCAGTGTGTCATTGATTTTATTCATATTTTCTTTTCTTTTTTTGATCTTTACAAAAATTTTCAAAATAAATTTCAGAGAGAGACTTGTTAGATTTTGGTTTGAAAAGTTATATTTACAGAACAGCCAAGACTTCTGGGTCATGGTTGCATTCACAAAAGTTACAGATTTATATTTTCAGCCACACGACGTCAATTAACAATGTTTTCCCAGTTCTTTGTCTCCTAAAATTTGGCAACAAATTTAGTTCACGGAATTGACAAAGAAGAAAATGAATATTCATTTCGTGTCTAATTTGCTCAAATTTTGTATTCAATTCAAGATTTCCTCGTTCAATTTTGTTTATCAAAAGTCTGATTTTGCAGAGATTTACAAACTCTCCTAAGGTTAGATTTCGCTTAAGTATTAAATGTTGCGACGAGTATCAATCCCTGATTAGTTCCAAAATAACGCCCCTCCGCAAGTTGCAAAACAGTGCATGCATTGAGGTGGTACCACTGATGAATCCTAATATAATAAAGATCTGACGAATGTTACACCACACAATGAGCGAGCTCTAGCATACGTCTCTTGCAAGTGCTGCGAGTGAAACATTTCAGTAAAATTACTAGGAACAGACCAATTACCGGCAAAAGAGACGCTCTCTTCATTGCTTACAGTGATGACACCTCAACCTGGCCACAGGAGGGAAATGTTTGATGGACATGATAATGAGTTTTGGTGAACAAGAATTTGAACTTGTCTTACTTTTAACGCACAATTTGTTAGAATTTGTTAAGTACACAGAAGTAAGCAAGCGATCAATCAGGCAAAATTGCTTGAATACTACATACAGTAACGGCAATTAAAACTCATAAGATCAGCCCCATTGAATCATTAAAACATTTTAATCATCAACCTTCTCCCAGAAGTTTGAATCAACTTGTCGTTCACACCTAACCTAGAATGATGAATTGGCAAATCGCAAAAGTAAGACTGATAAGACAGGTGAATAGTGATACATCAAAGTCGCTGACACCTGCATACAAAAGTTAGAACTTTAAGCACTGAGAATAAGCAGTGTTCCAGAATTGAAGTGGATAGTTCACCGAGCTGAGTAAGAAAGCAAACAAACCTGAATCACTATCACCCAGGAATGTCTCATAGGAAGAAGAACTCTAAGAAGCACATCAGTAAGGATCCATAATATTTCCACACTTTCACTTGATGAAACTATGAACTACAGCACGGAAACAGAGAAAAGCAGCGCAAATAAGAGGAGAAACTGATAATGAGTGAAGTGAAAACCGTAAACCGTAAAAGCTCACAGGGGGGACAATGAGGGGGGGATTTTTAAAACTAAACTGAATGAAACTAGAGTACCTGTATAGCGAGAGTATGGACAGATCGCTTCATGGAGGGCTTAGGGCCCAAAAGTGCAGCCACCCTTCTAACCAACTTCTAACACACAAAATTTCACTGCCAGTCCGCAGATTTCAATTCTAACCAAGATGGCCAAGAATGTACAGGAATGAGCGTTCTTCCACGAAATTGAGTAAATTTATGCAAAAACTGAGTCAAACACGTGCTTAATTAACGACGGTTCGTAACAATAGTATTAGTAAATCGTTCTGGATAATTGAAATTCATAGGTTGGCTGCATTTCTGGGCCCTAACTTTATTCGCAGAAGCATCGGTGAAGGCCTGATGGATTTTCGGAGTTTCACATCTGTCCATACTCTCGCTATACAGGTACTCTAAATGAAACCAGGTCTAGCATTTGGTACCCCACGGTCTCATGACGTAGACATTGTACTCACTCCAGTTTTTTCTCAGAATGCAGGAGTGTCGTCAGCATGCCTAATCAGAGAGCCAATCACAGCTGATCTTGGCTGTTGTCAATGTTCTTCCTCTACCGTGGTGATAAGGTTAATTCTTTGTTTTTGTCATCTTGTAAAAGTTTAATGAATCGCAATTTCGTGAATTAATGCACTCAACTGGTGAAAAATGTATAGTTTTGAGGGCCAATTTCGGAGACTACCGGAGCAGAATTTAGCTGGAGCCAGTCGGAAACAGGAAAGAGATGAACTCCTCCAGAAAGCTCACTTTGACAGGAAGAAGAGAGAGGTTTGTTTTGCTTTCTTATCTAAGAATCTTCTTGAATCATCCATGCTCATCAAATTATCCTCCAAGTTGCTCGCTCCTTTCATGCTACAATCTTCGGGAATATTCGTCGTCCTCAAAACTCTCCCGACAAAATTATAAAACTGTTCGCATTGAACAAGAACTGCCAGATCTTCTGATGGCTAAGCCCTGTTTGTACTAATGTTCCATCAATTGATACGACGAGCTATGAATGTTTTATTGAGCCTTCAAACAGGGGTCTTGAGTATGAATTCACCTATCCTCTTAAATTTCAGGTTTTAATCAACATTTCTTCCTGGGTTGGATTCAGGTTTCCAGCCTGATATTGAGGATTTTCTCATATGATGTAAGTAGAATTGAAGAACCAATTTAATCAAAGTCCAGTACCTACTAATTGACAAGAGCAATCTTCTCTGGCAAAAGAGATCTGTCAAAATCGAACAGTTAATGCGGTGCAATGTCAGCTTGACCCAATGTCTATCCCTATTTTCAGGATGACAGAAAGCGCTTGGTCTGTGCAGTTCAACTCCAAGCTGCAATTCGAAGTTTCATTGCCCGTCAAAAAGTCAAGGCAATTCTCCGTAGCGAGTTTGACCAAGCTGTGAAGCAGTCGGAGCGCCAGTCAGTTGATCTCAATGCCCTGGGACAGCTATCAACACGGCTTTTGTTTTTCTACAAAGCTGAAGTGGATAACCATCGATTGGTCAGTAAACTTAATCTGTAGATACTATTCTAGAGTACCATATCACATCATCACCATCATCATCATCATTACTATCCATGACTTTGTTGCCACTTTACATAATTATCTCCAATGGAAGAACATTTTTACGAAAAAATGTTTCACCCTTACATACCTCGAAATGTGAAAAGTTACCTATTGAAATGCAGCTTTCCCCACAATTTTTTTTCATATGGGCAGATCCATGTCTACCCGGGCATGTCTAGACCTGCCCATTTTTAGCTGGGCCAGTCTACATCTGCTTAAAAGTCTGGATGTGCTCGTAACACATCAACGATGAAACTCCCAAACCACGGATCCTGGTTTGCGACGTCATTGACTTCCTGTCATACTTTATTTTTCATATGGAAAAGGACTCAATGTCTTGGTCCCAAAATTTCTATGACTTTTCTTCCCGGTGCAAGTAAAATCTGGAAAAAATTTCAAGGTATAATGTTGATTTGTTCTCCTTGTAAACAATAAAATAGCAGAGATTTTAAATCACTGCAAACAAGTTACGTTGTTTGGGAGTTTACGTTGATGGGCACTTCTTTCCTTAATCATTAGATTGCTGTAATCTTGATTCTTGGGGTAAGCAGAAATGGTGGAATGGCCAGAACTGGTCAGAATTTTCTTCTAAATACTAAGTACATTGGTTTTGACTTGAAAATTTTTCTTTCAGATTTGGTTGGCGAAACACTTACTAAAATTATCTCCAGCCGTGAATGTTTCTAGTTGTCAAAACAAGTCATCTCCATGGCGTTGGAGACTCAAGCGTCTCCTTTTCCTAAATCTTCAGCTGTTAAAAATTGATATTGAATCAGTTGCAGCTCCCTTGCGAGTTTTAGAAGTATTCACATCAGAAGTGAATGACAGCTCTGTCAGCAAAGAAACATCTACACAACATCTAGTTGAGGTGAGAACTTCAACTTCCTGTTTAAGCTGTTTAAAAATTACAACAAGATTATACTTTCATATTGCAATTTTCATGGGGGGAAAACATTAAAATGAGATATATTGTGACACAAAAAAATCCTAATTTTCTTGTAATACTAAATACTGTAATTTATTGTAGGTAATCTATGTTACTTAGGAAGTAGAAAGCATTTTTTGAAGATTATTCCTTCTAAATGGAGTATGTATGTTACAGCCAATGATAGGAGGTGTACTGATGATGTCATTTGCCAGCTAATGACATCCTGACTGGCAAAATAAGTTTGAAAGCATTATCACAATGCTTTCGCTCTGGTTCTACCAGGCAGCATCATGGCCCAATCTTCACATTTTTCTTGCAAGGCTAACAATGGCAAGAGTGCTGGACGAGTTATGGCCAATGTCAGTTTATATTTTAAAGGCCTTCAAACTGGACGATATATTTCAGAAATAGTAGAAAGGCAAAATTAGACAGTCAACGTTAAAGTTGCCTCTTCATTTGTTGGTGCTTGCTTCACTCTTGTGACACGTAGAATTAATATTTATCATGTAAAATTAATATTCGATTTGGTCTCACAGCATAACTTTTACATCGATTGTTTGAACTTTCTTGCCAGCAATGGTTCACAAGACAGTGTGCAAAATTAAAAAAGACAAAGTAACCAAGTGTTAGGTAGCACCACAACCAACTTAATAAAATAAAATGGAATTCTAAATTTTGATTACGCAGTTTCACTAATAAAATGGCTGTTCGAGAACTAATTTTTTGCTTTGTGTGACTATCAAATTCAATACCTGAAACTTTTCTCTTTTTCAGATCCTTGAGTTTCTAGTATCTCGGGGGTTTTTTGGAAGGCTGAAGGAATTTTTAGATGCCAAAACGCCTCCTTTATTGAATGTCTCTCCATCACCACCAACGCCGCTTGCAGGCTGCCTCTTTGATTTAGTTGTCAAACCCATAGCTTTAAGTTCAAATAGTGTCAATCAAAAATTTAGGTAGGTCACTTGGCATCAATTTCAATTTTATTCAATATTATTTACAATACATGGCTGAAGTTTAGTGCAAAAATTCCTCTTTACCCATGAACTCCTTTTAGAGTTCACATCAACCAAGTTTGAACACTTTTGTTGTCAGAAAGAAAACCTACTATTTTCACATTGGAACTATGTGCAAAAATGAAGACAACATTCCTCCATCTTGCTGAATTTATTCATATATTATCTTATTTGGCAGGGATTCCATGTGTATCTTTACTTGTCTTTACTTGCACAGACTGCAGTTATTTCCTCGTAAAGCTCTTCTGTCATAGTTTTATTTTACTTACCTCTTGTGGTTTAACTAAGCCTAACCCTCAATGGCTACAGAACCAAAGAAGAAACCTCATCTTCAAAATTTTCAGAATCGGCTCCATCTTGATTTCTACTCTCTCTTATTAAAGCAATATGAGGAAACTAGATTCTTTCAAGCTTGAGTCCTCAAGATTTCATTAGATGCAATTATTTTCCAGGGTAAAAAAAAACCTTATTGCTGAAAAATTGTAAATTAAAAAATGCCCCATAAGGGTTACATTAAACCTGAGTCCTGGCTGCACGTATTTTGAAATTCAGGAAACCTTGCTCTCGGGAATTTGCTTTTTAAAGTTTTAATTTGCCGTGATCAGAGCTCAAAATTGCTGAATTTAAGTGTAATTTTGTGCCAACTATGTACACAGTAATAAACTAAACCACCTTCAACTTACTGTTTGGAATGTTATTGAAGTTCATGGAGCCTACTTCACAAAAATCTGTTTCATCTAAAATTTTTCTCCGTCTATCATTCTCTCATTTCTTGAGGATGGTGTAAAATTGGCACTATTTTGGCTCGATGATGATTTGTACGTATAAACTATGTAGTTTGATTAAAGTGTAACCAGCAATATTTCAAAAATGGTCGAACTATATAATTTTATTTAAAGAATATTAATTTAGTCTTTTGGTCTGGTCCAGATTCAGTAATAATACCCCTATTAACCGACGATTTACGGTGAGGGCTGCATCACATAATCAAAATCACCTAGAAAAGACTGAAAAAATTTCATTTCAGGCTCTGTAACCAAAAAGTACAGGGTTGGCTAATTTTCCATTGGATTTGTAAAACATAGTCATTCAATGGGAAAAAAACGCAAAAAACCACTTACACCCTTTGGCCAAAAAATCGGTTTTTGTTGTGTCAGCCAACTTATCATAACCAAAAACTCATTGTCAGTCATGACTACTTCAGATAACTGAAGCGTGGGATAATCAGTGGCTGGGGTAGTGGGGTGTTATTCATCAGTATCTTTCAGAAAAGGCTTTTCTCCTGTATATTTGGTTTTTAAGAAAAATCGCTCCAATAAGTATTTCTTTTTTTTTCCAGTAATTTAGTGTACGAAGAATTCGCAAATAACTTTTTTGTGCACCCATTGTCGGAACCTGTAAAAATGTTCTTCTTACCCGCATTTTCTTCATGGTCTGGTTTCCCTCATCAGCAGTTCTTACAATTTATCCGTACTTCAGAGAACATCAGTTACTCGAGCAATCTACTTTATTCTGTCCTAGCCCTCACAGAACAATGCATGGGTAAGTCATGGCTGGAATAATTTTGGTGGCCGTCTTTTTTTTTTTTTCATAGACACAGTTAAACTTATTATTTAAGCATAAATGTTTACATATCTGACTTGTATCTCAGACCTAGTATTAGAGGCAAAACTTAAAATCAATGGCCAAAGTTTGGAACCTTGTAACTCTGTTTGCAACATTCCAGACTACCTGTCATACTTTATTCTTTCTTTGGAAAACTAGTCAATGTAACTTCTTGAAAATTTCCTCGACTTTTCTTCTATTTTAGCAGAGTATTCTGCATAAATCTCAAACTAAAGGCTTGGTTTTCTTCGAAAGATAAAAATGGAGCGGAAATGTTGAGACATTGCATTAGAGGTACAAGGTCTTGCACTTAAGCCATTGATATGATGGATGCAAAAATATAATGAAGGCAAGTCTATCTTGGAAGTAGTAACTTTTATCTTGTCTCTAAAAACATCAGTATGACTTTCCTCCCTTTAGGCGAGAATTTCGATATGTACATTGATATTGCGTGTACCAATATTTGTGGAAATTCCAAAGGACTTCTAATCAAAACAGTCTTAAGGAGCGTTTTAAAATTTTTGACCACCTCATCAATTTTAAAAAAAGACATGTGCGTGGTAGTTTAGGACTATAAACACATGCATGATTGGCACACAGACAAAATTTGAAAATAATTGAATAATAATCTTACAATGCATGGATCGAGTATCATTATCATAAACCACTCAAGATTCTATTCAATTCCAAGCTCACTTAGGTGTTTAAAACCCTCCTGCAGATAGATTCCTTCTGCTGATAACAGTTCTATATGTACGGGGCTCCTGTCTTGGCAATTAAAGGTTTCAACTTCAATTTCCACCACAATTGGAGTGTAATGATACTTTTAATCCAGCTGCCAAAAGATCAATACTCGAATCAGAAAAGTACTTTTTTAAAAAGCCCATTGTTGGTAGACCCCTATCATTTGATGACAAATTATTAACTTTCAAATAATTTTGTTTAATTTTAATAATTTCCAAAATATGGACATTTCTCTCTTGTTCAGCAGCTGAAAACGTCAGCTGGGAAATACTGTCAGAGCATCTGCAAGTTTTAGCGTTGCTCAGCTGTAACATAACAAAATTGCATGGTTTACGGAAGTCCAACACAGAAGATAATGAAGATAGCTCCTCTGATGAAGAAGCGGACATTGAAAACGCATATAGGAATAAACATGAAGCCCAAGTATGTATTCTACCTTTTTTCCGCATCATGTGTGTAATTTGTTTATTTACTTTAGCAGTTCTGTGGAAATCTTGATAAATTGGTATATAGACGTAGACATGTTATAAGTTTAGGTAAGTTACGTTTTTTCACCGCAAAATTGTTCTTAAAGTTTAATGAATGGGCCAAACATTGATAATCTTTGAGTAATAACTACTCATAGTGAAATGTGGAGTTCTAAGCAAAATGTAATCACAAACTTTAAAAGCTTGTAGGTTTGAAAGTTGATAGCATTTTTCCAACTTATATAAGTTGATATTCTAACACTAGTGTTTGATTCTGTGTTTAAATTTAATCTATGTACAATTATAAAATGTATCATAAAAAGGCGTTATTGGATTTGTTTTCTCTGGTTCACAATAAGTTGATTACCTTTATTTTCACCATCCTCATTCTAACCATTAACTTTTTTCAGCTACTGCGTGAATGTAGTGCGCTGATAAACAATCCTAACAGGGTCAACTATTTGCTTCAAGCTGTGGAGCATTGTGATGATAGCCATGTCATGCAGTCTCTTTGTAAATTGTGCCATAACCTCTTGATTTCACAGAAACAAGCAGTTCATCAGTACAAGTAAGTAATTCATTTTTCATGACGTGAAATGATACTCATATCATGAAATTTATTTTTAAAATCAAACTCAAATGGGACTAAAGAGCCTTCAAACGACTGCTATAGTATATATTCCTTTCTCGAAGCAAAAAAATGGGGTTGGTATGGGTTGAATGATATATTCAGGAGTAGAGAGAATAAAACAATTCTATCTGAGAAGAAATTTCAAGATTTTTTAAAACCATGCGATTTTTGGCTAGGCGACCCAAAGATGGTCTCAAATAATGGTTGTTTGGGCCTGGTTGATGAAGAGGGACTGCAAGAAGATAGAGCTATAACTGGAAAGCGCAAGATTACCACGTAGGGATATTTGAAGTGTCCACAAAGAAAAAAAATATCAGTGTGGGAAAATTTTCGGTAGAAATCATGGGGTCTTTCTAACAACATTTTTTCTTCAAAATAAATTGCAGCAACGAATTGAGAGGGCTTCAAAATCTAGAAAAAATCTGCTGTATAACAGGTATTTTATGCCTGTAAGGTAACCAGTTGCAATACAACTGAAATTCTTTCAGTTACTAGAGTGAGAATGCGCTCGTAGGCAAGAAACCCACTAACAAGCTCATCATCTCTTACACAAAGGAATGTATCACTTGTGGCCTATTTCAGTGTTTCAGCGAACATTTTATTTTGTCTCGGGAAAACCATCCTACAAATTAGTTTACGGTTGGTCAATTGATAATGTTTTTGGTTTCCTTTAACTCTTCGGTCTTTATAACAGTATGTGATTGTGTAAATCTGTCCTGCAACCCAATGGGCATTGGCCATGATGCAATACACTGGTCACTTCTTGTCCTCTTTCAGAGCATTTGCGATTTTTGTTTAAAAATAATATTTTTCAATTTCAGAATTTTATATCTGCTCGCTCTGCAGCCAAGTTTCCTAGCCAAACTGTGGAATGCCATCTTGTCTGTAAGGCAAGCAACTTTATTTGGGAACTCCTCATCTCTACTTTCTGATCTTTCTTTTGGAATCATGTTAACTCCTACTGATGCGGACCGTATCGTCCCTCTCCTGGCAACGTTTTGCGCATTATTCTCTCTGCTCAATGCTACTTTGCATGATGGTGAATTCTACAATGATGATCAGCAACCGAGTAAGTTCGGACTCAGTTTTTCATTGTGGAGAAAGTACATTTCTTCTTGTACGAAAGCAGTGGTAATATTTTGAAGTTCCTTGCTTGAAAAAATAACTTTATAGTCAATTTGTTTTTATTTCCCGATGTACAGCAACGGCAACTGATAACATATTGTGCCTCAGAAAATAATATGGGACCAACCAAAGTTGTTTTTTCAATTAAGGAACTTCAAAATATCAGCATTTTTCAATGGTAAAAAAATTTGAACTTTATTGCTTTATAGCTAAAATGATTTTTGAACTCAAGCCAAAACTTTTAGTGGAAGATTATCTCATCATGAGGTTTCGTTTTGGCCACATTTTAACAAAGTCTCTAAGTTCCTCCAAAAAGGGGCAATCTTGTGATGGGCGCTCTCGCAAATAAATCTGGAAGGGTTTTGGTGGATTTGGTTCTGAATTGGGTTTCCACAAAAAAGGACGATTTGTGACAGGCTCTCTCACAAATAACTCTGGATTGGCACTGTTGGTCTAACAAGAACAGTTAATTTTCAAAAGATTCTGAAAAATTCACTGTGAGGTTCTTTAACTTCCTCCCGCAATTTTAGAGATGTCCATCAGAGACGTTTTATTCTATATCATGATGTTTTTGTCATTTTAAGTCAATTCCAAGAACACTAAGCTGTTATTTGTTTTGCTGATGTCCCAAAGTATCTTCTCTCCCTAATTCTATTTAGTACAGTTTTCTGAATTTTAAAGTTTCTGTGAATTTGAATTTTTACAGGTGGACTCATGCCTTTCTCTCTTTCGTCACTGGTTCAGATGACATTAATTTTGAGGGATGTAACTTTGGGTCTCGTGGAGCTGGCTTACCCTGAAACACGACCCAGTGTTCGAGACCAGTACAGATTTGAAGGCTTCTCATCTTCCTCCAGTACTTTTGAGTCTGTCGATACTGTTGTATGGGCTCATCTGTTCAAAGTAAGTTTACGACTGCTTTCTATTTTTAGGATCATCAGTAGTCAATTGCCGCCCAATCGCAATTTTATCTAAACTCATCATGATTATTTCAAAGATAATATTGTCAATAATGAGCATTGATAAAGTAGTGATTTTGATTCAGTAAATTGTTTTAAATCGTAATTTTCAGTTTCTAGAATATATGGAAAAAATTTTCATTGATAAAATTGCAGTGAGCTACCACTTGAATGCAACCAGAGTGATAATCGCTCATTTGGTTTGTCTTCTAAAATCCTTGAGACATTAAAAAAAATAGTCGAAAGATGCCGTGATTTTAATTATGAAACCAACTTTTTACTAATCGATGAATTACAAAACATTGTCAAACTTGTAACTGCTTCTCTAAAGAAATGAACTTTACAGGTTTGCGTTGCGCTATTAAGGAATTTGAACGCCCGTGATTTGCGTCGACAGTTCTGTCCAGACAATCATTGGGTTAGCAGTAACATATCTTTGCACCAGTTTGAAAAACCCACGACTCTCTCAATGCATAGAAGAGGCAGGCTGCGAGCTTTGTATCGTCCTTTCATGGAAAGACCCAGTCTAACAAGAGAGGAGCTAGGTAAATTTTTTCTCTCTTTCTCACTCATTTTTATCACATTGTATGTGAAGTAAGTACTGAGGTGTGCTTTATCATTCATTTTTTTTTTTTTTTTTTTTTACGGTTTTAAGGCGTTTTATCGGGTAGATCTTGCGGCCTTGGATGGGGTCTGGAAATATTAAGAGGGTAATTTGTTAGTTTGTTTTAGGTATAGAAGAATAGGAGTGTTAATTAGGTTTAGATTTAGCGATTTGAAATGATTTGTAGGGGATAGAAGATTAGAAGAGTTTTAATCATTCACTTTTAGTAATACTTTTTCTCCTCAGCAGGGGTGCAATGAATTTCAAAAAGCAAGGTGCCTCTCGTGATCCAGTATTTTTGCTTATCGACTAACTTCTTTTTGTTTCATAGAATGATGTCTAATTTCATAAAAAAGAATGCCGAATTTCACAACAAAATAATAGGTGGTTTGTTCTAGTTTTATGATGATGAGTAATAAAGAAAGTCAAATTGTCTTATGGCCCAAGATATACTGCCGTGCTAAGGAAGAACGCCGTATGAACATTCGAGAGTTGCCAAATTTCCTCCGATAAAATGTTTATTTTTGAGGCAAGTTATAAATACTTTTCCTTGAAATTTTCGGGAACTTTAGGTGAAATCGCGAACAAAATTATTCTAAAAATTGGGAGAAAAGTATTCATAAGTTCGCTAGAAAATTCGTGTTCCATCAAAGGAAATTTGGCAACGCCTGAAGGCTCATACGGCGTTTTTCCTTAGCACGGCAGTATACCTCAAATCTAACAAGATCTGCAGACCCCAAGATTTGACATCCTCAGCACCCTTGATTTTTCTTAGTTCTTCTTAGGAGGATACTCATGTTCATATCCATTTGCCAACAAAAGCAGTAAGCTTTGTTAGCTTGCACTAAAAATTACACAAGGATATTCATGAAATGCAATGAAAAATACTTAAGTGACCAGCAAACAGCTGTACAACATTCACTTCAAGCATGGAAAGTTTTGTCCTTTAAACTTTGAAAGCTTTCTGTTAAATTTTCGGTAAACTGTAACCAGTATTATAATCAAGCACCGTTGAGGTTTATTTTATTTCAAATAGGTGCCTATTCAGCAGAGGAAAAGCACACTTGTTTTTTTTTTCTGTAGATTCCTCTCGAAAAACGTTTCAAGATCATGGAAAAGATCAAATGCGGATGCACACTTGTTCAGTTCAATTTATAGTTGAAAAAAATTATATTATATCTCCACAAAAGGAAAAGAACCAGTGATATATGAATTTATCAGTTATGCAAAATTAGGAGGTCTCGCAGTTTATAGAATGGAAGTCTGATCATGCCTAAAAAAAGTTTCAAAGCTTCTGTTTTTTCCCCACAGTGGTTCTCAGGGTAAAAAACAATTTTAGCTTTAGTTCAGATTTACTCTGTTCGGTTTATTCATTTCAAATCTGTATTTTTCGTATTTTTCTTCTCTTTTTTTCCCCCTCTTCTAAGAAAAGTCTTGTTCTTTCTCAAGCATGTGACATAAAAACTGAAGATACGAAAGTAACAAATTTTCAAGCCCCTCGCAATGTGGAACGAGAGTTTATCTCGGAGAATTTTAACTGTTAACATGGTAACTGAACACCTCTAGCCTTTTTTTTTGGTTAGGAGCCTTTCAAATTTCTGTCGTATGTTTAAAATTGGTGTTTATCATCACGATTTGCAGAGGAAGGACCTCCACCATCAACGAAAGAAATCAGGGTCATGACGATTCTCAAAGAGCTGCCATTCACAATTCCATTCCAAGAACGTGTGGTAGTGTTTCAAAACATGGTTTACAAGGATAAAATGATCCATCGCGGGCTCTCCTCTCATTTCTTCGATGGCTCGGAAATTAGAATAGGCGTACGTCGGAATTACCTGTATGAGGATGCTTTTGAAAAATTATCCCTAGAAAATGGTGAGTAAAATCTAAACCTACTGCATTTTGGATGTTTTATAAGTTTTTATTTAAGAGCACTTGCACTGAGCACTAACAGGGCGTCGTAAGATCCAGGAATTACCTTGGAAGGAGACATTTCTAACAAAGATTCTTGTGAGAACCGCATTTTCAAGTTTTATAAAGTTCGAAATAGGTATCTGGCTGACCAAAAGTGGCTTAAAGTTGTAACAAAAAGAACGTTCCTCATTAGCTCAAAGCTTATGATGTCTAATGAGGTGGCAACCCATGGTTTCAACCATGTTGAATCCGATGCAACGTGGCCATCGTACCATTCAAATCACTAACAAATGATAATATTTTATAATGAGGGATACAAATATTCACTTCAAACAGTAGTAATAGTGCAAGCATGCTCATGAAAAATGAATGCCTTTTACAATTGTGACCTAAAAGTAAATAAACAAACAAGGGTTAAATAATAAACGAAGGCCAATCCTTCATGAGATTTGTTGGCACGATGTTTTTCCATTTCAAACAGAGTTGCATTTTTGGTGACTTTAAAAGTCTTTCTCAGCTAAAATTTAAGTAAATAAGAAATGAAAAACTCAAGCATTCTCTCTTTTTATGTACTCTCTAATAATAGTAATAATGAAGAAATAGATAAATAGAGAAAAAAACTGCAACAGCTTTATTGTACAGGATGATCCAAAAGTTCCGTACCACCAGCACCATGCATTACCCTTGTAACTTTCTAACAAATTTGACTTGAAATTTTGCGAGTGTTTTTTTCTTAACTCAAAGAAAATGACCTCTGAGAACCCTCCAACATTTTTAGAGGGACACAATATTTTTGCAGGGATCATTCAGAAAAGAGGCAAGAACCCTAGAGATTAAAGAGGTGGTGCGGGACTTTTGAAACACTTTATATTAAGCTATTGAAGAATAAGCCCAGTCTCATTTCCTTGTTATTGTCATTAGAACCAAGAGTATAACTTACCAAACAATTAAGAGAGTAATTTTTCCTCTATTGCAAAGATTTATTATATTCTACAGTAAGTAACCAAAATAATGCCCTGTATTATGACATCAATTCAAAATTCTTTCTTTCAGAACCAGATCTGCGGAACGTCATGCGTGTTCAATTAACAAGTACAATAGGGGTTGATGAAGTGGGCATCGATGGAGGAGGTCTTTTTCGTGAGTTTCTAGCTGAGTTGTTGAAAACAGCATTTGACCCCAACCGAGGGTTCTTCAGACTGACCACCGACAATCTATTGTACCCCAACCCAAACGTTCATCTGCTGCATCAAAACTTTCAACCACATTACTTTTTCATAGGCCGAATGTTAGGAAAGGTATGGCACCTCTTGATTGAGTTCTCATCATTTTTCAAAATCTAAGGAATTTTGCAACAAAAGCTAATTTCAAAATAAATTACTGTAATTATGACCATCCATGGAAAATGGAACCTTTGCCGATAACTTAGAAGGCTAAGACAAATTTTACACGGTATTTGGACCGCTATCGTTGACCTTGTAAAAGCATCAAAATACAATTTTATTCTCACGCTGAATTGGTACAGCTTGAACAGGCAGGTAAAAAATCTTTACTGGATCTGTTAATAAAATTCAACTAAAATAAGTTCCAGGAAAAAAGTGAAAATAATACATTCTTAAAGTATTTTTGAACTCCAAGTCTGAGTTTGTATTCAAGTTTTTCCCTGTCTGATTTTTTTAGGCTATGTATGAAAACTTACTGGTCGAACTTCCCTTGGCTGAGTTTTTCCTATCAAAAATAACAGGACGGAATTGCGATGTCGATTTTCACAATCTAGCGTCTCTAGATCCTGTTATTTACCGAAATCTACTTTATCTGAAAACATACGATGGAGATGTAGCGGATCTTGGTTTGGACTTTACCGTTATGACCAATGATTTTGGAGAGTGCAAGGTAAAACTGACTTTTTTATCTCTCTTTTCAAAAATTTTCACAAGAGTTTCACTGATTGATTTCAAATTAATGTGTATGAGCGTAAATTAACTAACTGCATTGTAAAAAGTAGGATTTTCTTTAACCTTTTGCCGACCACTCTGAAGTATATTCGGGCCTCAAAAAGCGTCTTTGTAAGCTCTCTCATAAGTATACTTGGATTTTTGTCCGTTTTTGCATTTCCCACCTTGGCAACTATTTGAATCGTCGTAGCTGGCTACATAGTCAGGCTACTATTAGCCTGTACATTCATTTTATCAAGGGCGTTGTGAAGAACAGCTTTAGCAACCCATCAAAAGAGTCGGTGCAGTTTAAAACGTGAAACCGATAGGATGGTTGGTGGAAAGTCAAAATTCCACCAGTTTCAAAATTTACGACCTTTTTTCCTTTTTTCCCCTTTAATATTGACTTTTAACCTTTAAAAATTTTCCCTCCTTCCAAATTTTTAGAACCTCTCCAAATTTTTACGTCCTGAGGCAGGCAAGTGATGGAACCTCTGCCTCAATTATGTTAAACATTGTCTGTACTTTTTTTTAAACAAAGTCGTAAAACTTTGCAGCAGTTCATCCTTTTTCCTCATTCATTGATTTTGAGTTCTCTCTCTTTTGACAGGTGAATGAATTGAAACCAGGAGGTTCAAACATCCCTGTAACCAACGCCAATAGGATAGAATACATTCATCAAATGGCAGATTACAAACTGAATAAACAGATTAGGGCGCAAGTTTCTGCTTTCAAGCAAGTAAGTTTTGGGTTTATTATGAAATAAAGTTTTTTTTTAAAAATTCTTTATTGGACTGATACTTAGAAACTAGGAGAGAAAGATCTTGAATTTGGAGCGTAGCAAAAGTCCATGTTAAATATGATTTTTTCAATACCTGATTATGATGGACCCTTAGACAAGGTCTGAGGTTTAGAAAAAAACGTCTTTCATTTCCTCCTCAAATCTTACGTTGAAAAAAATTCTCAGAAAAGGAAGTTCGGAAATCAACCACTGGATGAGACAAGACACTGAAATAGAGGGTAGATTATGTCAATGATGTAATACGCAACACTACTTTCTGCTTAAGTTCGAATGAAGGCATGAACTTCAATGGTTTTTTGGGTAATTCCTATTTATACGGAAAGTCCGTTTAAAATGCTGTGTAAAAATTGTTGGCCCTATTTTTGTTCATATGTTCGCTGGTTGATTATTTTTGAACTCGAATTCTGATGATCATGATTCTTTTTTCAGGGATTAGCAAATGTCATTCCGTTAGATTGGTTGTATATGTTCAACAGCAAAGAGCTTCAAGTACTGATTTCTGGCGCTGAGGTTCCTGTAGATTTAGCTGATTTAAAAAGTCACACCTATTATAGTGGTGAGTATTGAAACTTCATTCAGCCTCTTCACACTGAAATCGTTGCTTCTAAAGTCCCTACCCGTGAAAAATATTCATTCTATTTTAGTTTTAATTGTTTTCCATTAAAGAAGAGAAAGAAATACCATTAGTGCTTGAAAAAGAGGTTGTTTTTGAGCAGTCAATTAAATTAAACTTGCAAAATCTTTTAACTTAGTACTGACTGAAAATTTTTTGCTCTTTATTATTTTAATAGACAGTCAGAAACCCTGCAATGTTGTGTTCATTCATCAAGTATTGTTAGCGAAAATCCTGTTTCATAAGCAAAATATCTTATCACTCGTGAACTAGCATTTTTTGCCCGCCAGGCCCAGCAGTATGAGTAATCAGAAGGGCAACAGAATACTTTTGAATGATCTGTAGAGCAATATCCATGATGCTATCATTGCTATCTATTGAGAAATTGGGCGAACTCGCCTATTAATTGTTTGAGTCAACTCATCTATGCACAGTTGTTCTGAGGCGCCCCCCACGAGTATATATGTTATATGTTGTATATATATTGCATCGTCTCTGTAGAGCCCCTGTACCATATCCAAGAACATCATACCACAAAACGACATCATGTGAAGTTCAAATTGCGTGTCTCAGGATTCGTCACACTTTTTTCAGTCACAATCATATCATCTGCAAAGAAGATGAACCCATCTGTAACTTCTGCAATTTATCACCTCTCACCGTCAAACATGTGATTATGGACTGCTCCGCCTCAGGGATCTCCACTCACAGATTTACTCACCAACAACCAAAAGGAATACAAACCCACTAACCTGCGATGAACCCAATGTCACAACCAAACCACTGAAACTTTTTGCCTACCTTAATTTAAAAATCTGAATTTTTGTATTTGCGCCCATCTTCCATATTTTTTATAAAGAGGTTAAAAGCCTAAGATGCTGAATGTCTAAAAATAAATTAACTAACTAACTCTCTATTAGCAAATGGGTTCATAACTGTCATCTCAGTCAGTCTAATAAAATTGAGGAACACGGGTTCAGATAATTTTTATTTTGGGTTTTCTGTAGAACTCCTTCAGAAATTGACATCTAGAATGAGAACTTAATTATAACTCAGAAAATTCTGTTTTTAATTCTGTTTTAGGTGGTTTCTCTGATAAACATCCCACAATTGACTTATTTTGGAGGGTTATGGAGGATTTTAGTGAGGTGCAGAAGAAGCAAGTGTTGAAATTTGTGACAAGTTGCTCGCGGCCTCCATTACTAGGATTTAAGGTAAGAAAATTTGATAGTGTAAGCCAAAAAAATATCTTTGAGAAAAAAAAGGCTATGTTTGCAATTAAGGCATTTTGGTTGACGATGGAGGTGGATGCCAGTGTTCTTGTCATCAATTTTCTCGAAAGAAGTTATACTTCATTAAGTGCTTCCAATCAATTTTTGCCATTACAACGGAAATTAGAGTGTGTATTTGCCGCTTTGAATTTCGGATTTTGCAGAAATATTGATGTAACATTGTACCCAGCCCTGGTGTAAAAATTTTTTTTAAGGACTTACGGCATTATAGACATTTTCCAGTTATTTCCTGCAATAATGACTCTTTTACATTGTGCACCATCTATTTTCCAAGAGGAGAGATGATTAGGACGATGTAGATATGTAGAATAACGGCAGTCATATCTTTCCAAAAAGTAACAACCGATGGTACTAAAAACACAGGGTTGCCACAGTCAACCCTGGGGCCTGTCACAGGGGAATGTCAAGGAATTTTAAACGTTAGAAATAACCTTGAAATATTAGGAAAAATGACAAAAATGTCAGGATGAAATTGTTAAGTCACCTTTATTCACTTTCTGAATTAAATTAGATGTTTCGAACAACAACTTTTGCCTGAAAACTATTTCAAATTGTGTCTTTTTGACCATCTGGCATATCTTTGATTGCCAGAGAATTTTACCAAAATGTGTCAGGGAAATCAATTTCCTAAATTCTGTGCCAACCCTGCAAATATTCATCTGAAATGTGACAAGTTTTAAATAAAATTTAAATGATTTTTGTGCAGGAACTGGATCCGCCATTTTGCATACAACTTGCAGGCTCATCTGTGGATCGGCTCCCAACATCAAGCACGTGTATGAATCTTCTGAAACTACCTGAATTCACAGACTACCAGTCGCTAAAAGATAAACTCCTTTATGCCATTCAATCAGGTGCTGGTTTTGAACTCAGCTAAGCAATACTCGGCAACAATAAGGCATGAAAATATTTTCCTCTTAATCTGTTGGTATGCATGAAGGACAGAAAATTCCGTTCAATTCACTATCGGTGGAGGCGGTACTATTTTGTTTATAAAATTTGCATTTTGCGATGCAGGTGAGCTATCAGTGAGAATACTCTCAATTGTGATTTTATCTGCAATTATTGTACATCAGTTTTTACGAAACGATTGTAATTGTTTGTAAAGTTGGACTATTTCTATGTGTAATTTTTGTAAGTGTAATAAAGTGTGTTGCGAATCATTTTCTTTCAAGTTGTTTTGGCAAAGTCCTGGGCATGTACTTTCAAAAGTTTTATTATATGTTTTAATAAATATTGTTTTTCATATGATCACGTTTTTTTGTGATTCCTTGGGTATGACGGACCTTTCTTCATGGTGGCTGTACCTCAATTGAATATCTTTGTTCGAAAATGACCTAACTCGGGTTTTTTTTACCTAGTTCATTTTTTTTTTCGGCAAAGAAACACTCCTTTTCTGGCTGTTAAGCAGTTTTTATCATCTCCTGAAAAATTTTATTTTTTCGAGATGGGTCGATTTCGAACTGAGCGATTGAACTGTAGCAATACTTCTCAGAAAATTTCTCATGCAAGTTTCTATCTTAATATAGCAGTTGAACAACATCATGCTAAAGCAACCTTAATACACTGTTTAAGATTGTGGGGTTTTAATGCTGTTGCAGTTCTTAACAAGACATTTTTTTACTCATTTACTCGTTTAAGGGTCATCCCAAAATAGGACCTACCTGGACCACCCGTAAATTATGACCAAAGTTTGTATTTTTGTAGAAATACATTCCAAAAATCACTCCTCAAAATTTAAACTTCCAAAAATTTTGGGGAAGAAGGTTACGTTAGTTTAGTGAGGCCTATAAGTTAAAAAATTCAATTAAGTACATGCACAAAATGGTTGAAGATTTTTAAGGACCCTGCTTGGACTGATTCACTAAAAAAATACTTAATCCTCTTCTATTAAAATAAGTACTGAGAGATTTTTTAAAACCTTGATAATAAGGAAGACAGATACATTTTTTCCAAGAAAAGGGCAATTTTTTTAATAAGTAGTAAATAGATAATTTGGCAATGAGCACATTTTGTGAATTCACTGTGTAAGCGACTAAAAAATAAGATATCTTCAGCAATGGCCGGCAGTAAGATGGGGACTTTGAAGTGGATTTACAAATCAAGTTCAGAACACTTGAATTTTCTTGAGATTTAAAGACTATTTTACTATTTATTAATTTTCTTTTAAAAACAACAAAAAAGAACACGAGACAAAAGAGTATTTTCTAAATAGCCGAAGCAAGGAGTCCTTTCTGATATTGATTGAAATAAATTAGACTTACAGTATAAAAAATACTAACTTTAATAATAATAGAAAAAATCACGATTTGATGGACACTTTGTTCTTTGCGAAAGCAATAAAAACTTGCTCTAATGTTGTCTCACTAATGGTAAAGTCCTCAACGACTGAGAACCTGTTTTGTATGCTCAGTAACTTTGAATATAATTCTGACAACGGAACCTTAGGATCAGTCACATGATAGTTGAGCAAACACAGGTGCTCATCTTTGAGAACTATTTTTGATACAAACAAACTCTCCATCGCGTCTTTCAACCTACACACTTCGACTTTGCCAAAATGTGGGAGTTTCAGCTTTATCATGACAGTGTAGCCTTGGCCAAACTTCTTCTTCAAGTGCGGAATGCTGCCAATACACTTCATTTTCCCGGAAACCATGATAGTAAGCCGATCACAGATCTCTTCGCACTCGTCCATACTGTGCGAGGTCACAATTATCGACTGTCCTTTTCGACGGCATTTCATCAATGCTGACCATAGATTCCGCCGAGAGACAGGATCCACACCGCTCGTTGGCTCGTCCAAAACGACCAGTTTAGGATCGCCGATCAGTGCAGCAGCAGTGCTCAGCCTACGTTTGACACCTCCGCTAAAGTAGCCACACCTACGCGACCTCAGCGATTCCAAGTTGAGTTCCGAGAGCCAAAAGTTGACCTCTTTCTCAATTTCTGACTGGCTGATGCCTCGCAAGGTGGCGAAGAGTGTTAGAATTTCCTCAGCAGTTAAAACTTCGTTGAGGGCATCAAACTGAGGACAGTAACCAATGTGAGATTGATACTTTTTGGAATTTAAGCTCATTCGTGTATCTAGAGCTACGCAATCGCCTTGGGTAGGTATTAAGTCTCCTGTAAGCAGTCGAAACGTGGTTGTTTTTCCAGCACCATTAACGCCAAGCACTCCGAAGCATTCACCTGGTTTCACGATGAAATTCACGCCGCGCACAGCGGTGAAGTTTCGTGAAAATTTCTTTTGTAAATTGTCCACCATAAGTACTGAGTCGTGTAATCCTGAAATATGAAATGGAAATCCTGCGTAAAATGGAGCAGACAAAATGGAAATAAATATAACAAAAGAAAAAATGAAATGATTGAAGTTGTTGCATGGAGGAAATATAATTGTATCAGTAGATAAATTAAATTTTTCGAACAACAAAAGAATTTTTTGAATCCAAGAACCTTAGTTTTTGGGTGAATTTCAACTTCGAAAAAGTTCTACTGAATTGAGAATCTAAAAAGTTTGCTTCAAAACTTCCCTTAAACATCTGTAAAAATATACAAGAGCAGGGATTTATCAACTAGATATCAATCACTATAGCACCGGAATTTTTATGTTAAATATTCACTTATGAAAAAATGAGGATCCACTAAACTAAAATATCCAACCCTCAGATTTAGTATACAATTATGGTATACAATCAAAAAATCTTCTTCATTGATGGCATTATTTTAATCCCAAACTGTATGTAAACCATCATGTCTTCATGCCGCTTATTATTATGCCGGTTAATCACATAAAAACTATAACGAGATCCATCTTTTAATTCAAACCGAAACTGAGGAATTCTTGAAAGACATTAGAATTCATATCAGATATTAGATATTTCTTGATAAAATTAATGCACACACCATTCTTTTTTCGGAAGTATTCAACGATTTTTTTCTCCTGATGAACATCAAAATCTTCTGCATCAATCTCAATGTTCGGCAGGCGTGATCCAAAAATGAATGTGCTCCAAATATGGTTCAACTTTTTAAATACGTTCATCTCCAGACAAATGATGATTAGTATGTAGAAAAACATGTCAAGCACCACTGCAACAAAACCCCCGTTCACTCCGTACTGTTTCTCGTCACCATCTCGAAAAACCCAGTAGTCTCTTTCTGCAAAAAAAAAAAAAAAGAAATTGGGTAAAGTTAGGTTGTACCTATGTTTCTCTGTCTTATATGGCTGTCAAAAAAGTAAATAGGTATTTGCAGTTAAAAGTCAAAGAATTGTCATAGATATTTTTGGAAAACGGGGGTTATTTGCCTTTTGCACAGGCTTTGGAAGAGTTACAAATGGGTAAAAAATGTCATGCAAAAAATACAGAATTCCAAAAATTGAGAATTCCATAGGAGCGATGGATGACTGGGAGTCTTCTCCTTTTACCCAATTGGAGAACATGTACTTAGTTATTGTTCTTTACTTCTTAGCTACAATTATGAAAAGGACCTGAAAGAAAAAGTCAGTATGAGACAGTATTTCAAAGATTTTTTCCTAGGAACCAGAATTTTTAAAATTTAAGTTTGGATTTTTGCACTAAAATATTAAGTTGAGGGCTGTGAATGAAATAAGTAGTGCTTTTGGGAGAAGGAGGGAGTCTGAGCCTACCATATGGTGGGAAGACTTCAGAACTGTGTTACATAATACTAGAATGGATGCATAGATAGCGACCGTTTGTCAAAAATTTAAGATGCAAGTTCGTAGTTTTTCATTCAAAACTCATCACAAAACGCTTCTTTGAAGTAGATGGAGTCAAACAAAGCATTACATCATAATATTCATTAGGGAATGTAGACCTATGGTACAATTGGAACAGGTGAGTTTCAAGGAGGAAGGGGGTCAGAGGGTAAAAAAATCTAACTTTCAGCATGACATATTTTACAAACTGCCCATTGTCTTAGTTTTCATACACTGAACATTTGACGAAGTTTCACAACTTCAAGTTGCAAGACTACCAAATTACTTGTACTAACCAATGCATGGATCTTCAGTCTCAACCAACCGAAAGCGACATTTATTGTTCCAGGCCACAAAAATATAGTTGAACAATATCATGGAGATGGAGTAGTGAGGGAGTAATAGGAGAATGTAGTGTGCAATGGTCATCTTGAGTGAATTTTTCCGGAAATAATAGTCCAGCTCTTGGAAATTGAATATGACACAGGCACAGATACTTCCTAAGAAAACACATCAGAAAAATCAGTCGATACAAAACTAAAATTTTGGAGTGCACTTGGTCTGAAATTAAGTGATCTATAAGAAATGAGTCAAAAGGTTATAAATCAACATTGATCCTCTAGAAAACTTAAGAAACGCAAACATTGAAGAGTAACAGGTTTTATTAGATGTTGCAAGGTAGGCAACTTAAGAGAAACATAATTTCTATCGAAGAGACTTTTCATCCAAGAGATCCTCAAATTTATACAATGCTCATTATAGAGCTAATATATGCAACAAAATAAAGATGTAAGTACACCTGCCATTTTTTCATGATCTTACTGTGGAATTAAAAAAAAGGGAATTAAAGTACTTACTCTTTATGGATCAAATATAGGAATACAATAGAGAACTACGATTATCAATAATAAAACTAAGGGAAAGTTTTTAGAAAATTTTGAAGAATTTTGCGGAGAGACCCTGATCTTCACATTTGAAATAGCTAAACTGAAAATAATTACCTAGGACAGTACTGATGACAAAATAGGTGAAGAATGCTGTGGCAAACTTTGTTTGAAAGTAAGAGCAGACATAAGCAAACAATACCGCGACAAAGCCGTATAAAAATACTGCTACTACCAAAAGATCTGGAACAATAAAACAGAAAATTTGTGAAATTCTAGTTAGGAGACTACAAAAGTATTTTTATAATAAAAGAAATGCAGTAAGCAATTTGAGTTATTCCACTGGATGGAACTGCATTTAAAGTTGTAAGTAGTTTATATTTTGAATGAGAGAGCTTTAAGGCGCTCTTAGTACATGCATTGAGAGATTCAAAACCTATCCTTACTTGATGCGAAGTTGAACGAGATCATTTTACAAAAATATGTTGGTATTGGACTGATAAAATTTTTCGCCAGAAAAACAAGTGCATTGCTAAAACGCAATGAGCCTCAAATAAGCTTCACTTTTGACTCTTAAGAAGGAATTTGTATAAACAAAAGCGTGAAATCTGATCTTTCATTTCTCAATGGAGGCTCGATTATCGAAACTCCAGCTCTGCTCATTTATTCTAATGTAAAATTTCTCATGCAAAGAACCTGCTAACTTTAAAACCCGTCAATCATTATAATGTGACAACAATCATGGCATTAATTGGGTCTTGATATTTTTGACACTTTGTTTGCAGTTGGTTTTCCCAAGTGTATCAGGATTTTTCTTAGTTTTGACTTTCAGCAACATTACGCTTTTTAAATAAATGTGATTTCCCCAAAAGATTCCAAGTCGCAACCATCTATTTTTAAGCTAGACTCAACAAAATTTTCTATAAATACACAGTTTTCATCTAGAGCAATGACTCTACCAAATTTTTTTGAACAAATTAATTTCTCCTAGATTACTGCAGGTAAGTAAAAATTGTATTGTAAAGTAAAAATTGATTCCTCTGAACTAATTGAGAAATCTCCTGTCTATAGAGTACACTAACCGAATTCCGGAGAGTGGCTCAAAATTCCGTACTGGTCAAACAGGTAAATACTGGCCAAAGTAACAGCTAGCACACTTGCAGTGTAACAGTAGTCTATGATAAAAGAAGAAAGCCAGTATGTGAAAGGTGATGCTCCAGTCATCATCTGAAGCTGTTTTGAAAAATTCACACGCTCGGTGTGAGGAAACAGTATGAAACATCCGGCAAATGTCATGATTGACGATGCAAATACCACAACCCACATGAACAACAACGTCAACTTCCGTTTTTGCTCTTCAAAAGCTTTTTGAAATGGATCCTGAAACAGTAAACCAGTACATGTTTTAAACTAACATTGAACTGGGTTGAATTTTAGGTGACAATTTGTCAAAAGTACGCTTAAATGACCAAAAATTATTAACGTGATAAATACCTATGAGTGGAAATTATTATACAGTTCAAAAATATTAGAATAGCAAAAATTTTGGAATTGTAGCTTATGTAATTTCTTAATTTCATCTGATATTACGAGCATAAAATCTAACATCCCTCATAAACTTGAAGGAGACAGGAATTGAACTCTTTTTCTTTGACCGGAGGACCATTCCTGCAAGAATGGTACTATTTCCTTTAAATTATTTGATAGATAAAATGACCGAGAATCAAATTTGCTGAAAGTGATTCCATGAGATCCAAAGACTCACCGTTCTGAAGATGGGTTGTACAGATGTTGTTATCTGAAACCTCTCTAACTTGGTCTGTGACACAGAGTTATACACCAAATTTAAGAGAATAGGCAGAGAATGAATCATGTGCTGATTGAAGATGACAATCGTTTTATTTTCCCTGAACTCAACTGCACCGACATGCTCATTGAAATATTTTATCATGTCGCTTTCACCAATGCTCAGTAAATCTAAGTCAGAAAAAAAAAGTACATGTATCATCATTTCAGTACAAAAAAAGGCAAAAAGGTGCTGCTACTTTCACTTAAGTTTGCGTCTGAATCTCAGTATTTTGGCGTGAAAAGTACCGATTCGCTTTGGTGGTGACCAAAGACAATGAAAAAGATACAATTTTACTTCCTGTGACATTGTACACAAAATTAGACCAGACAAAAAAAAAACCGATCCTCTCTCCGATCGATCTCTTAGTTTCATGAAATGCGGTACGCTCATTGCCACTTGCTTAACTGTCAATGAGTCTGAGGATCTAAATTAAAAATTTTCATTTTTTTATTTTTTAACTTATCTACTTCCTTTTTTAAATTTTACTGAGCTGTAAATTTTGAAAAAATCGATGAAAGTTGACAATTCTTGCAGGCAGTAATTTTGGAAATGTTTACAGGAACTAGATCATTCTGATATTGTTCCAAAGCTTTTGAAATTCACTTTTATTCACCTTTATAGGTACTGTGTTTTTAACTTACAGACACATTAATCTTAACTCCGAATGTTTTTTTGAATTGAGACTTGCCTTTAAGTCAAACTGTATTGTGATAATGTGAAAATATGTTTGAAGAGCATCTAATCAGTATCAGTATCAGTCCATAATTGAGAAAGTAGGTGGACAACATTGTTGAAAATAAAAACAGATCCGATTGATTACTTACATCGAAAAACATTCTTTTCTGTGGGTATCTCCTTAGTTGTCAGAGGTGGTTTTACAAGGTTTTTGAACATAATGGCAGTGTTTGGTGTGTCAAGATATGAGCGATAATGAATAAACCCTCCGTAAACCTTCCCATTCAATGGTAGAGTCAACGCATCGAAGTGCTTGATTTGCTCTGACATATAGGCGTTCATATTAACACAAGCTGCAAAACCCATGAGAATTGGTAGAGCTCCCTGCATGAATACGGTATGGAATAAAAGACAAAATTGTGAAACTCAGAAGTTAAAAATGAAATGACAAGAAGAAACAATGATGGAAAAAGAGTGCTATTTAACATTCTTAAGACTTTGCTTCTCCTTCTCCATCCGACAGAAAAAAACCTCAGTGCCAGAAAAATTACCAAGGGGGGAGAGAGGGTTTACATAATATGCGCAATGCCGTATTTTTCTTGCGATAATATCGCGATAAATTGCCGGGCGATAAAATCGCGATTTTATTGCAACGGGATCGAGGATAATCGCTCAGATGTTGATGATCTTAGCGATTTTATCTCCGACAAAATCGCAACAAATCGCAATTTTTCCGTTAAAAAATGCTACTTGGGTACCGTACTTTTCCTAATATCTCTGTTACTGATCTTTTCACTTTTTCTCACTCCGCATTCGTCCTTGACATTATAGGCAATTTTTCACAAAATGTTCAGGGACAGTGGTTGAAATTTTTGCCGGATATTGGATAGATGGAGGCATAATTAAAAAAGGCAAGATGCAACAGATGCAATTGATACTTACGAAAAAAAGGTAAAAGAGGCACTTCCGACGAGTAAATTTCCATTTTTTGACAAGGAAAGCCATAAAGTGTTGCCTGAATAAAGAAAATTGACTCCTTTTTCTCAATTCAATCTCTGTAACATATGAAGGCAACATCATCATTTTAAAACATACATAGTTTTCTTGAGTTATCTTCAAGAGGAATGTTTGTGTATAAACTAGAATTCATCAAACAAAAATTGATTATTTAAAGTTGTCACAGGGAAAATTCTGTTGGTCTGATCATCTTCAATCTTAGAATTCACTAAAAATTTAAACGTCATCAAGAAATTTTAAACAAACTTATTTCATTTCAATTTTGAAAATGAGTGCAACTATGCCATTGTGGTAAGTCTTCTTCCATGAGACCATATAACAAGGAAAATGGTTACCTACACTAAAACTTCTGCTTCCTGTTAACAAGTTGTTTTGAGTTTATACAAAAATTGGAACTGATTCAAAAGAAGGAATTTCACCATGAAATTGCCGTCTTATTTTTTAATTTCAATACCTTACACGGCACCCTTCTCTGACAAGTTAATACAGAAAAAACTTTTTTTGGGGGGGGGGGGGGGGGGGCACAGATTTTACAATGAGACTTGAAGAGCTTACCTCTTTTATAATGACCGTTAGATGTGTGCATTGAGAAATTCTTCGAGTCCTCCACAGCAGCGCTGATCCGATTTTCGTTTTCTTCGCCAACTCTGCACAAAAAATATCTTTCCGTGAATAAAAAAACTTTAATTAGTTGAGATGATTTTTTTCTTCCTAAATGATGATTTAAAAACAGAAGCCTCAAACCGATTTGAGTTGTCGGTTTTATTACAATGATGATACAACAAGATGATATTTTGAGAATAAACTCTTATACAATGACTCTAAGAAGGGGCAGCAGCAATGCTATCCATGAGGAGCTCGTGAGGTTTCTCTGGTTGACAAGAGTGAAGAGGAGACTGACAGTGAGGCATGTATGTGGCTGCGATCCATGGCCATGGGCATTTGTGATAGGCCACATTTTAAAAGGTGCTCAACTTTAAAATAAGATTAGAGGCAAAGACTTTTTATAAGACAAACTTACTTAATGAAAACTTCTTCAAGAGATGCGGAAGAAATACTAAAATTGGAGATCCCTGTACAGCCTTGATTATGTTCCAGTTTTGCCAACATGTCGGGGAATTGCTCGATTGACTCAATGGGTAGCTTATAAATTAGTTGTGAGCTGTTTTCAGAGTGTAAAATAGCATTGGAGATGGACTGCTGTATGAGTGAGGTCAAAGCATTTGTATCAAAGTTCAAATTCTCCCTGTTGACTTTTAGATAGAAGCATGCTCCTGAAAAGTAAAAGTTTTGGTTAAAAAAACAGGATACAAGGGATAAATTTCAAGACGCTGGGTAAATATGAAAATGGAAAACCATATTCTGACAGTTAAATTCCCACACCATATACCTCGTTTGCAATATTTCAAAATCTTTGCTCCCGTTTAAATTTTTTTTAAAGGGGAATGACTCAACATGATTGCTTGAAATTTTCACAGAGTGTACTCTACACAGAGAGAAAAAATCACTGGAGATTTTAAGAGTCGATGTTGAGCATTCTTACATTTAAAGAATTAAGCATAACAGGAAGTCTGTTTTATTATTATTATTTCTGGCTCATCCGCAAAAGTAGGTACCAATCTGCATAGGAAAACTAGGTAATTGCACATGTGTCATTAGTGAAATGAGCCAGAAATAGTAGTTCCCAGTTGCAAAATGTAGTCCTTGCTGTCAATAAAATTGCAGTAATCTACAAATAAAATAGCAAGGTATCGCCATCAGTGCTCCTCGGGTACTTATGAAGGAATCAAATATGAGGAGATGAACAGATATGACAAATTTCTAAGATTGTACAAAAGATATTTACCAAATTTTTTCTTAAGGAACATTAGACTTCCATAGCATTTGACACTGCCTTTTGACATGATGGCTATTTGATCACCTAGGGCTTCCGCTTCCTCCAAGTGATGTGTCGTGATTAAAATAGTGCGGTTTTCTCGTAAGGTCTGAAACAAAATAAGCCTCTGAAACTTATTTACAATATAATTTGGAGAAAACTTAGGTTGAAAATCTAATCAGAGATGAAAAATCTCTTCAAGTCTCATAGAAAAAGAAAATTTTTGAATTTGATAAAAAAAATTGTTTGGGGAATTTTTTGCCTATCCATCTGTACAATGAGTCCATTCTAAAAATCTCAGTGTAAGCTAAAAATCTTAGTGTAAGTCAAAAGCTTTAATATCTGTGTCTGCTCGCAGAATTACAAAAACGCACTTTTTTTTAAAAAGAATTGCAATGTTGTGGCCGGTTTCTTGGAGGAAGTAGGCAGTACTATCTGATTCCATAGTGATATTATTGAGCTCGGAAAGGTGCTGATAGAAAACTACACTTTCCATAATTTCTGGAAAAGGTAAAATTAAAGTGACCAGAGTCCACATTAAATAAAATTACTCCCCTCTAGAGTGAGAGAGAGGATCATCAATCTTCAATACATTCAATACATCTTCTATCAAACTCTGAGAGAGCGTAAATTCAATTGGAGTATATTTAACCTTTTAACTCTTACCTCTCATCTATTAAAATATATCTATATATATTATACTATAATTTATTATCATGGAGCTTTTTTTAAAAGGAGACTTTTACAAGAGCTTTTCCACCAATGTAGGTATAGATATTTACCAATGTATTTTTTAAGCACACAGTCAATTTTAATATTAATATATTTTCATTTAGATTCTTATTTAAATTTTGAGAACTTAATCAAACTTCGAGATCATGAGTTTGTCTTTCTGCTTTCAGTCATTCCTAATACGAAAAGTATAAACTTTATCTATCTCTGTTATTAGACAAACAAATTTCCGTTCATACAAATTATGAGCTAGATTTCTTCGAAGAAATGGTGCTTTCAGTAGTAAAAAGTGATTTCATCATGAGTCCGTAAAAATACAATTATGATAGATTTCATTCTGTTATCCTTGATGAAAATAAGGAACTCATCAAAATAATTCTACGACTTATAACTAATTAATATGCATGCATTCAGTCGACCATTTTAAAATTTAAACTAATTAATTAAATGTCAATGTTTTAGTTAATATGATAAAATGTTCTGTACTGACCAGGAGCAAATCCCACATTTCTCGCCGAGATTCAGGGTCCATCCCTGAGGTAGGCTCATCTAACATCAAAATCTAAAAAAAATAGCAAAAGGAAAAATAGGAGCGAATGTGCAAAATTGGAATAATTGGTTAAAAACTGAGATGCTGAGTGCGCTAAGGGCACTTCTAGGTTGTGGTGTTTCAGAATCTACAAAGCTAATTTATGTGTTACAGAAGATTTCAATAGGTTCTTTTTCAAGAATTCTTCCTATGAAACACTGTAGAATCATGAAGAATAATCAGTAAAATTTCATTGAAATTCATGCATTCATTTTCCTCCCAATAAATGAAAGATTAGTAGAGAATTGGAAATACCAAAAACCAAGAAGAGCCCACCTTGCACACAGCGTCTCATATATTGTATAAAAAAAAAAAAAAAAAGCTTTCGAACTGAGGAGAGTAAAAAATTAAACTTGACTTTTGACCTCGAACCACCAATTTTTTCTCAAACGAAACAGAATGGTAACAAAAATAATAAGCAATTTAAAATTTGAAAGATGAGTTTTAGAGCTCAAAAAAGGTCAAGCACTTGAAATTCAAAACAACAAATGGAAATAACCAATTCATTATTTGATTACGAAGATTATGCAGGCACTGCAGGCTCATGTAATTTTAAGACTTTCTGGGACTGAAAAAGAGAACTGATTAACGTAATTACTCAAATAAATAATATTGACGAGAAGACAAGAAAATTTAGTCATTATAATACCTTCGGAGAGCCCATCAGCGCTATTGCTAAAGAAAGTTTGCGTTTCATGCCACCAGAGAGATGAGTCGGCCTTGCATCCTTTTTGCTCTCCATCAGTAAAAATTTCAATAACTGCATACCTTGCACAGTTGCTTCACTTTTTGATAATTTTTTCATCTGTGGAAAAAAGTGAAATACTAACTCAGTTTTATTTGAAACTTTGTTGTGAGTTAGATGTTGTTTTTATCCTCTGTTTATTTTACATGTTTATTTACAATTCCTAACTTGAAAAAGTGTGTTACCGATGAGTAAGTGGCTTCCATTTTTATTTGCCATTCATATTCTAAAAATACGCAAACAACTTAGCCTCTAGAATTTTTTTTAAGTTTTTTTAACCCTAAGTGGCAAAGAAACCCCATTTTTTGCATTACGAAAATGCCAAAAATGGGGCTCGTTTGAAATGATACTTTTGGCGGACTTTGATAACGTAGCCAGACAGGAGAAACAGCGTTTCTGATAGGCTAAACTCAGCTTAAGGCGTGCCCTTGCTACACCAACTTCACTATCAGCTTTTGATTAGATTCTTCTCCCCTTGGAAATTTTTTTTTGAACTTTTAAATGAGCTTTTTAGTTTTTTCACAAACTTTTACATAAAAATAGCTATATGACAACCCTGCAAAAATTCCTTTTGACTGTACCATTATTTTTCGAGATCAATGTAAAATTTCTAATAAAAAATTAAATTCCACAGCGACAATTTCTACATCTCTTTCTAATAAAGTCAAATTTTGTAGCAAATAAGAGAATCTACAAGATGAGGGGTGCGCTTACCATGCCAAAGAAAATTAGATGCTCCAGAACTGTCAAATAACTAAAAAGTAGATTATGTTGAGGGCACAAGCCAAGATTCTCTCGAAAGAGACAGGGACTCTTTAAAATATCAATGTCATTCACAATGACCTCTCCTGAGGATGGAGAAAGCATGCCTGAAAAAATTCAAAGTTTGAGGATAAAATACCTTTATTTATTAATTGAATTTTTCCAAGTCAAAATAAATAGAATCCTGGACCTTACTTTTCATACATCATGAATAGGGAATATTGAAACTTTGAGCAATGGAGGAACGGGAAATCTGTTCCTCGTCTGTACTTACTACAATTTAGCCTTCTTAATTGGAAAGTATTTATTCACCTTCTGGCCAACGTATTACAAGCACCTTTATGCTTAAACACTATGTTGCCAAAATTCTCAAAGCCTAATATTTTACAGAGTATCGAATGAGCAAAATCTCAAGCAAATACCTGGTATTTCTTTTGTCATAAAGATTAATCCTTGAAATTTTCATGAAAATCCGTACAAAATTTTGAAAGAAAAATTAAGCTGTAATAAGGTGTACGGCAACATAGCGTCCAAGTGTGAATGGCACTTGTGATACTTCGGCCAAACGTGACGATTTACTGAGGGCATAAAATAAGATTCTTAAGGTGAGAAAAATAACTGAAACACTTGTATTGTCATTGGAAACTGAAACTTACGAATTTAATAGACATTGACATCTTCATGGCAAGACTGCTTCTGAATGATTAATACTAAGAAAAAAAATATTGATTCCAAAGTTTCCAATTGCAAGAGCAATGATTTCCAAAAATTGAATTCCAAAATCCACACAATCTATCTATATTGAAAGTGAGCAGAGAGTAAAAAGAGAGAAGGAAATGAAAATGAATATGTTCAAACCAAATAGAGCCTCACCTGTGAGCATAGACATGACTGTTGTTTTTCCAGCACCATTATGACCTAGCAAGACAGTGATTTGATCTTTGTACAAGTCCAGATTTAAATTTTCTACCGCACTGACTCCGCAAAATGCCTTCTGAAGGTTTCTCACTTGTAATCCCACTTGCAACTTTTTTGAGGGTAGCTCAAAGGCTTCGTTCCATCCATATTTTGTCTCATGCAGCCCCATGTGCAGTGATTTTAATGATGAGGTTCGCCAAAAAGAACACTGATGAAAACATAAGGAGATAAATTTTCAAACTGTCATATTAGTGCATGCAGCTTGTAACTAGTAGAAATGAGATACTACAAAACATGAGATAATGACTTATAGGAAACTTATCGGGTACTTACACCACAAATTTCGGATTACGAGAAAGAATTGCTCATCAAATGATCTCAATTGCATTGGGCATGAGTAGTTCTTTTAATAAAAAGCAATTCAGTTTCAAAATTAATAATTTTGATATTGATGGTGAAAATGCAGAAATGCGAGTCTTGGTTGCGATATCGTAAAAAACCTTGGTGATTTTTCTCCTTCAATCAAATAATGTTCTGTGAAAATTACAAGCCAAGATGTTAGTTTGGCTTATTTTTCAACAATGAAATAGGATCAAAGATACTGAAATACCGCAACCGAGATACAGATTTTCGCAGTTCCACCGTCAATTTGTGAAAAAATGTTTCTACAAAATTTGTCAAGAAATTCTTTGCAAATAGAATGAAGAATTCCAAGGGAGTGGCCTATTTAAATTTGCACTGTAGAAAAGGCCTGGTAAAAAGATGGACAGCATTTGAGTGTTTTGGGCTTCTTATTCAGAAATCTAGGCCTCTCATTGGCTTCAGGATTTTCCTATATTGTGGCAGAAAATAATACCCTCAGAGAGCTAAATTGCTGATAGCTCATTAGAGATTTATAATTTACCTTCAAAAAAAAGTTCCAAGATTTGGAGGCTCCAAATGGACCAGGACAAATAGAGTCGAGGTACCAGGCTGCTATGCACAACACCAAACAATGTAGACCAAAGATGTAAAAAATGGTAATCAAGGAGTATGTTTTTCCATCGGATGGCTCCAGAAAAATGGTATCCCATGTGACGCCATAGCCTGCATTAAAGCAGATGATGACATTGAATTCTCATAAAAATTTGATTTTACAAAAAGCAATCGATATGAATAGATGACATTTATTTCAGTCATAATATTTGAGGGAAGAAATGTCCCGAAAGATATCCTTAAGGATAATCATTGAAATTTGTAAATGAATGATAGGTTACAATAAGCAAAGATGGAATGGACTGATATTAATTGGTCGGATTTAATCATTTCCTTTATTTATTTCATTTTAATCCTGAAACTAACCGTTGATGCCTTTTAATTTTAACTCAGTCTTATTTTAACCTTTTTTTCAGCCATTCATCTATATCTTCAGTAGAAACTCAGTGGTTTATTTGATTTTAATATTTCATCAGAGATTTTTTGGGTTCAATGGTTCAAATGAAGTCCTCTGAAAAAATATGTTTTCCTGGCAATAATTTTTGTGCAAGTTGTCATTAAGTTAAAAAGGTGTAACAACTAAAGCCACTGCAAAATTAAAAAGATAAAATACAAAAAAAAAACCTGACATATTTTGAGTTAGTTACAATCTCAATTTCAAGTGGAAATCAGGAACTTTTTAGCCCACACCAAACGCTCCTCAGCCTAGCTTCTCCAAAAACAGCAGGCTTTTTAAGAAAATTTGATGATATCTGGATCAAGTTGAAAATATTGGTCAAACAATATATATACAGCCATAAGATCACTTTACTCTTGGTTAGGAAAGCAGAAAGCAAAAATGAGTCGTTGATTCGCTATCATTACGAGTCTGAGACAAAAATAACGACTCATTTTTACCTTCTTTTTTTCCAATTGAAAATGAAGTTGTAACAAACCCAAAACGTCCTGGCTTTTTCTTTATTTGAGCTTTTATATTTTACAGCACCTTTACCCTGTATTAAATTGTTACAGAGATGAATAACCCATTGAAATTTGATTATTTTGCCAGAAAAATAGCACAACTACAATCAAAGATACAAAACCCTCTGTACTTTGAGAGGTGCAACCTTTGCCTTCTTTTGAGATTAAATTCCCTGTAAACTAGAGTTATTTACGCAAAATCTTTGAAAACGCCTTCATAAAGGATCTTTTGAGTTTAATTTTTGCAAGCGAATCACATTCACTTCTTAACACATTGCTGTCATTTGTTATAATAAAGTAAAAATGTCTCCTCTTTCAATGGGGCGACTTCAAAAATTCAGTTTCCCTTCTGGGAACAATAATAACCACATTAAAAAAAAAAAACGGACCCATCGATAAAGACACTGGCCAGAGATCATCGGCAACTGTGTTAATTCATTGAATTCTTTCCTTCCAAAGTTGTAAACCTGTCCGTTGTGTTAAAAAGTTGAGCTAGATCCACTTGGAAAAATTTGACTACAAAGAAACTGAGACCCTCGCTAAGAAAAGCTCAAGAAGCAAGGCTCAGAAAAAATAAAAAACTGCAATACCTTTTCGTTCTAAATAAATTATCGACTGCCAGCCTTTGATGAGCACTGCGTTTGGTAAGAAAAGATGAGCGAAAGAAATTAAATTTTTATACGAACTTCTTTTGAACATGAGCTCTGGGACTCCACATGTGACGGTCCAAACGATGATCCCCCAAAACATCGCCTTGACAGCTGTTCACAAGAGACATCGGATCAGTGACAAATCGATTTTCAAAGAGTAATACAACAAAAGCCCTCAGGAGGCAGTAGCTCTCATCTCGTGAGGACTCATTCTCAAACAATATTTGCACCTGTAGGATAAAAAATACAGATTAGCTACTTTCAGAGTTGCAACCACTAATCTATTTATCAAATAATTGTAATCAAGTGTGACACCAACAATGTATAGAACAAAAAAGAGTGTAGACAGTGACTAGAGTCCACGACGATTAAGTTTACACACTTCCAGTGTGCAACAAAAGATCAGCTATTCTCAGTTTACCATTAAAAGTAAATAAAAGTATCCAGATGGCGGATTTTTTGTCTCACTCTAAAAGTGCATGAACTTATTTGACGTGGACTCTAACTTATGCAAAAGGTCAACTGTGCATATTGTAGAATTGCATTATAGAGTCAACTCTTGGGGACAGTTTAAAAATCCATTTTACAAAAAAATTGAAAGGATGAAAATTGCATATAAAAACAACTTATGATTCAATTTGAGTGAGAAAAAATCATGTCGGCTTCTTTCGGCAATGGATGCTTTTATTTATTTTTTGATGGAATGTTCTTCTATGAGAATAGTTAGATTCAGGAGGTTTTTGTCGACGCACAAATTTTATTTCCCTAGGAGGGAAACGATAAGAAAATGTTGCGTCATGTAAATGGTCTATTTTTTTAGAAAATTAGGAAATTCAAAAAATGTTTTTCTTCATAGAGAATGAAGGTGAGAGAGATCTTAGAGCATATTACTGATTTAAAAACTGCTATTTGTAATTGCTTCAAGGTGAAATTAGAAGAAAATGTTGAGAGAAAATTTTTTCAAGCATTTTGTCTGTTACGAAGAAAAATCAATCCTTCAGACCTCTCAAAACTTGGTGTAATTTTCTTCGTCCAACTGACCGCATGTTCTCAAAATTTTTCGAAACATTTTTGATTCATCTACTTTTGAAATCAAGTTAGTTCCATTGTCATAGAGCATGTTATAATGATTGATACACATTAACTAGTTGAAACTAATTATATTGGCTGAAACATCAAAATATACTTAGAAAATTACCTGAGGAAAAACCAATAACATAAACTGCTAAGTTCATATGCGCAAGCGTTCTTTCATTTTAGTGTCATTAATAAATGAAGTAAGCATCTAATTTAGTCTTCTCGGAAGTAAACCACAGTTCACACTACCATGATGAGTGCCATCATGCAAGGTTTTTAACAAAGGACAATAACTTTGTCAATTTGCAAAATTGGTAGAAATTCGGTGTTCTGACCCAATTAACAACTCTGAACGGAAAAGTGTAGCTTTAGTGGTGCTATCCTGTCACAGCTGCCAATAACCATGGCCAAGGGGCACGTAAACGCCACTTTTCTGGTCGCAGAATAAGTGTTTGGTGGGCATATTAGCACTCACTCCGCTCTTGTCTACCACATGTGTCTACCCAATTCTACATGGACATTATTGCTGCCGGCCTGCATGGGATTTCATTGCCAGTATGCTGTGATAAAATTACTTAGATCATCAAAATTTGAGTAATTTCACTTTATATTACTTGCATTCAAAGCAGTTTTTTTACTGATAATAATTTGTAGCTCCGATAATATTATGATAAATGCTGAAAATAAAATTACGATAATCCACAGATTAACCTATTTGAGGCAAAGTGATTTATTCTATTTTTCGCCTACATAACTTCATACCTTACCATTGAAACATGATTCTATGACAATTGAAAAAACCAATGGAAACACTTTTCATCTAGTCTCACCTCTCATTTAATTTGAAGTTGGGCCATGAATTATACTTACATGTTGAGAAAATGGGACTCAGAGCAAAGCAAAAGAAAATGATGACCAGACAGTATAAGAGCAGGAACACAAAGAGAACTGATCCGTCAAGCATTTGAAATATGGGTCCTGAGCAGAAAACATCCGTCACCATGAGGAATGAGATCATTGCAGCTGAAAAACAACAGACTGTCAATGTATTCAACAACCAACCGAACCATAGCATCCAGTTTCGATATCCCATCATTCTCATCAATTCCTGAAAAATTCAATGCAACAAGACGACAGGCTAGATAAACAGCTTTCACCATACATGTTACACTAGCATTCCTCCTTTAAATCATACACAGGCTGCACTTTCCTTTTGAAAATTAGCAGACGCACACATGCAATGATATTCCTCAACTTTTTGCAACTTTGTTGGCTCAAAAACATTGAACAAGTGGTTCCAGAATAAGATGGGTTGAGTAATGATATTCCATAGTCATTGCTGTTCAAAACTACGGAGCATTGGACTGCATCAAACGGAAAGGAGCCACATATAATAAAAGTTTCACCATCAATAAAAGAATTAGTTGGTCTGCAACAAGTTTTTTTTTTCTAACTCAGAGCAACTAAGTAATCTTTTACTATTCCAAAAAGGGTTTTGTCTCAATAAGTGATTAGAAATGAGCGATTCCTGCTACATTGTGATTCTATTCACTGTTTTCTCCGAGGGCATTCTTGCAAGTTTGAAACAGCCTGTATAATTTATTTTCACTTTTAAATGATTTCTGTTTATGTGAATCATGAAATTTACTGTTACCTACATACTTGATTATTCAACATACAACTCGATTTCGATGGAATTCCAGAATAGAAATCAATTATGGTAGGAAGAACAAACTTACTTTTCCTCCTGTTTCTTTTTCTAGGACGATATTTTTGATTAAGAGAGGAATTAAAATTAAAAAGCTCCCAATAGTAACAGCAGGGAGGAAGAAAGTGATGACATCATAGGTATTGACCGTGTGTTGATACGATGGCAATGGAAGAGGTCCCAAATAAAACTGAAAGATAAGAATTAAGCATAACATATTAAATGCCAGAAACGGAATGTCAACCAGGAGGAAATCGATTTGTGACCTTTGCGTTATTGGGAAAAGGGACCTTTTTTCAAGGAGGCAGAAATTTTGGTCGCCGAGTCCAAAAAATCAGATTTTGAGATTTCAATGGAAAAGTCTCTACCATGTCCAAAGGAATTGGTTGCAAGAAGTTTGGTTAGTGCTCATGGGCGGAAATAGGGGGGGGGGGCGCTCCCTCCCAATTCTGCTTGGCCCCTTCCAAAATATATCTAGAGCCAAAAGCTACCAAGCTACTAATTAGTTCTGAGGTAAAAGGCATAGGCAATGTAATAAATATGAGCTCAATCCTAATATAATCGAACAAAGATGTCAGAAGATGAAAATTTTTCGCAAAGAGAGGAGCTTTCTCCGGTTAAGGGGCGTGGAATGTACTTTGACTCTATCAGGTTGTGGTTTTCAAAACCCACAGTAAGATATGAGATTTTTAAAAACAAGTCGGCAAAATTTCTGTCATCTGTAATATTTAATTCCATTTTATTGTCATTGAGAATGGCTTAAAATTGCACTCGAGACGTTCCAAATTTCAAAAATTTTCCCCTAGACCCCCCCTCTGCAGCTGGGGGAGTCCCCCCAGAACCCCCTTGGTCCAAGTTCTATATCTTCCTGTGCCCCCCCCCCACTGAAAATTCCCAGTTCCGCCCATGTTAATGCTCGTACTAATACGGTTTAAAGCTAGCTAAAAAATACAACATTGTAGAAGTGATAAGGTTTGGTATAACAATAAACTTACCGAAAAAAATTGAAAAATGTACAAATTCGTTCGAGGTAATACTTGAGATAATTATGAGAATCAGATTTTAGCGATAGTTGGAAAAGTTTATCACGACTTACTGGAGTCCGCGGTGGCATTTGGCAAGAGCGCTCAGTCGGAACACTGCCGTCAATTTGAATTTCGCGCCGTGCGTGAGGCGGAGCTTGTCTTCGCGCCAAAAATTGTGATTGGTCGTTTGCACCCAGCGCAACGGCGCGAAATTTAAATTGACGGCAGTGTTTCGACTGATATGAGCGCTCCTACCGTATACCACCGCGGACTTCAGCGCGTTGCAATGAACTTTTCGGGCTTACGCTGTATTTAAGTCCTACTACACTACTACAAAGTTATCTACACCAAGACATTGATTGACATTGAGATTCAAGAGGATCTTACTCTTGGCATGAAGGCGCCAGTTTTTTGATAGATGTAGGCGAAATTCAGCGCCAAGTAGACGGGCAAAAAACTGTTCCTCACGTACGGAGCTGTAATTACATACAAAAAAAAATTGTAAAAATTAGGACATGCAGTTGCACAGTTGCCAAAATTGTCGTAAAATTCATAAAGTCGGAGGAGAAAAATCAATTTTGCACACGCTCTATTTGAAAACTGGCACGGATAGCCGCCAAAAACCAAGAGCTGTAAAAATTTTGGATGGAACAGGGAGTACTGCCTATCTAATCGTTTCCTTTCCGTTTCACGGGCATTGGCGGTTTTCCCGAGAGAAGAAAACCAGACGCAAACGGGCTTCCGATTGGTGGAAAAGCACACTCTACCCCGATCGACAAGAAGTCTCAAAAGTCACGTGACAAATAAGACGACGTCAGAGAGGAAAAAACCACGGGCGTGGCGTGCTTTGCTATTTATCGATACCTCTCCCATTTAAAGCTATGTTAAATAATCGATTATCAAGGTGTCTGCTGCGTCTGTCTCCTGTTCATCGATTCTTTACCATATAGGTCTAAATGACCGATCAATCGATGTATCGCAAAGCACGCCACACCACTGGAAAAAAAAGTTCTCAATCCACACGACGCTGCAGGATTCACAACACGTTTTTTCTCGTTTGTTGATTTCTATCGCTTTCGTTAACTTATGTAACCTACCTGACTTATGTTCCCTGACATTCTAAAATTTAGTTTTCTATTTCCTTTTACTCCCAGATATGTATCATTTTCTTGACACCTTTAAATTGTACGTTCAAACTCACGTCAGGTGCCTTCAAGTGCCATTAGATGCTTTGGAGCCTGATATATTTCATGTGCGAGCTGCGGGTGAAGCGACTAGTGTCTGGAGACTCAAAACGCCTTCACACCTGTGTGTATGCAACACGAACATCCATACGGCCCGAATAGTTGCATCTAGACGTTAAAATAAAATTCGTGTAGTGTTCTGCCGTGCTAAGGGAGAGCGCCGTATGAGCCCTCAGACGTTGGCAAGTATCCTTCGATAAAAACCGAATTTGGAGAAATCGTGAATATTTCCCCCCAAAATTTTCAGACAGTTTTGTGCGCAATTTAATCTAAAATATCTGAAAATTTCAGAGGAAAAATGTGCATGAATGCCGTCAAAAATACATGTTTTATTTAAGGAAATTTGGCAACTCTCGAATGTTCATACGGCGCTCTTCCGTAGCATGGCAGTGTTCGTCGCATGAGATTTTAACTGTGAGGACTGCCTGTTCTCTTACACCGTAGTACGACAGAAAGTTACAATGCCTCTAGCTCAGATACGTGGTTTGGAAATTTCACCATCGATACTTTGACTCCTTCTCAAAAAGCCTTGCAAAGACATGGGCAACTTTATTCAAGGATCGAATCATCGCTGAGGAACCAATTGTCTTCAGACGGTGCACCCATGCAGTCATGTAGTCTCCGATGAGGTTGGCGTTTTTCGTAGAATATTACGTGCACATGCACACAAATTGCGGCAATCAACAGCAGCGATGATCTTGAACACTTCCTGATCTCATGCGTACAGGTACCATGCGTGACTTCAGCGACACAAGGCTTTCCCTGGCAATATTTCAATTTTTACCGACGACAACTTTTAAAGAAGAAAAAAATGGACTTAAAATCGAGTGTATAATAAACTTCTGACTGTCAAAGAGGGGCTTTTGGTACAGCAAAGAAAATATTGCGACTGGAAATGAAAACTTTGAAAATGTGCTTCGTACTATGCAGAAAATTCACTGAAATTTGCACGAGAGTCCGCACAACCGTTTTCATGTAAAAAAGTAAATTGCCCGATTAACAGGATTGCCAGATTTTAGAAACTTAATTTCCCTGACATTTCTCTGATTTTCGTGACACATTTTAATGAAATTTCCGGTCAGTTGAAGATATGCCAGATGCTTAAAGAGACATAAAATTAAATAATTTTCAGGTAAAATTTGTTGCTCGAAACGTTAAACCCATTCTAGATAGCGAGGAGAGGCGATTCAACAATTTTTCCCTGACGTTTTTGTCATTTTCCCTGACATTTCCCGGTTTTCCCCGACTGTGGCAACCCTGAATTAAATTTGGCAGTAGCTGATGTGGCTTGGTTCCTTTCTGCTTAGCGCGGTCCAATTATTTTAAAAATCCACAAGGAAAATCGGCGAGAAGCGGATGAAAAAGAAGGCGGAAGTGAGAACTCACAGTTTTGTTCGGCAGGGATCTCGGACTCCTGGAAGAGCTCCTCGGTGTTGAACTGGTTGGAGGCGGGCCTGATCTTGTAGTTGAGGTGGAGGGGCTCGCACCCGTCGAAGGGCAGGTCCTGGAACACGATGCCCAGGCCGCTGGGGAGGCTGGCGTTGGGGTTGGTCGCCAGCTCTCGGCTCTTGTTGTGGTACAGCTTGAAGAACCGCGACTCCATCTCCGACTCGTCCGCCACCCCGACCACCGAAACAGAAACCTCTGTAGAAGAGAAATTGCGCACAATTAACCCCAAGGTTGCCACCAAATCTAGGAAATGAAATCCCCTGATTTCCCTGGCCAGGGCCGGATTTAGGGGGATTAAGGGGGGGGGGGCCACGGCGGCAAATTTTGCAATGTTTTTGGAACGTGGTATGAAAGAAAATCGGATTCAGAAAAAAAATTACAAACGAGAAAAAGCGACAAAATCTCTCATTTCCTGAGAGTACAGTAATTTCTAATTTTGTCGTCTTTCGGGTGACACAAGGGACAGCATCATTAATTGGATTTTGCATTTTGCAAAAAGGAACCACTAGCATTGCATGATGCTAAGATTGTGCAACTTTATCCTTTGCAATAAAATTGCGGAAATCGTGAAAAACTATGAAATTTAGATGGTAATTTTTGTCTTAAATTCACAGTTTTTAGCGAGTAAAATAGAAACTATTAATGGATAATCGGGTTTTTCCTCCATGACAAAAGAAGTTGCACAATCTTAGCAACATTGCAATGCTAGTGGTTCCTTTTTGCAAAATGCAATCCAATTAGTCGAGTTAAGAGAGAAACCAAACACGGAATTTGTCCTAGAATGGCGAGGCGCGGGGAGCAATGATGACGAGGACTTGAGATGAAAAGGAGAAGCCCTCGACGCGGCGGCGGTCGGCATGTAACACATATTAGCGCCTACAAGACTGCGTGAATACTTCACGCATTGCGTCAAACACAGTGCGGTCAGCGAAGCGCTGCTGCGGTGGAAGTTAAAATTATGAAACCACATTGATGTTTGTTTTGTTATAATTTTTTCTGGCAAATTCGAAAATCTCCGCCTCTACTTTTTTTTAAAGGAGAACAAATGGACGTCATTCCTTGAAGTTTTTGCAAAATTCTCTTTGAACAGAGTAGAAAAATCGGAAGTTTTATAGAATTGCCGTTGAGTAGTTTTCCGTTTGAAAAAGATATGACAGGAAGTCGGCGACGTCGTAAACCGAGATACGTGGTTTCGGATTTACTTACACCGTCGATATGAATGATCCTACTGCGTTATCCGATTCATTTGAAAGCCAACTTCGGGTTTAAGAGACCCGCGTCGGGTGGGCTAAAATTTAAAGGTAAAGTCAAACCCAACAGAGAGGTTGAAATTCTTTTCATCAGACGATAATCTAATTTTCAGCTTGAGACTTCAAGCGTTGAAACACATGCATATTTGCATATGTACCATTGGTTTCCATATGCACTTGGGCGTTTCTATACAGATGGACCAAAAATTGTAGTTCCAAATTGCAAAATGCAGTCCAAATATACATACATGTATCTGATGAGATGAGAGAATGGGAGTCGCTTATCGGAGGCTGGACCGTGGGCCCCGGTCGAATTTTTTACGGCGGTAGCTCTCACTCAGCCATTAAACAATTTAACGATGCAACCGCTCACTCGCGCATTTTCCGAGAAATAATAGCGCAGATTAATGCAACGCAATGTGCACTCGCTCTTCAAATTGCTTCCATCCGAATGGGAATAGCGTCCTTTCCGAAGACTTCGAGATCGACCTAGGTCGAATCCTCCGCTTCCGCCTACTTCCGGTCACCATTATCGCTTTAAATGCGATGGAATCCACGGCTGTGCTTAAGGAACAACGTCGTATGGACATACGGGCGTTGCCAAATTTCCCCTCGATAAAAGATTCCTTGATAAGAAATGTTACAAACGCTTTCCCTCACTGGTAAAAAAAACACATTGGATCTACAGTCCAGACTCTTGAAAACAACATTGACGAGAAAAAGGACTATTGATTCAATCAGATTTAAGTTTAAATCAAAAGAAAATCCGCTCAAATTAAGAGGCTTGGTTCTTGATTTAAGCCTAAATCTGATTGAATCAGGAGTATTTTTTCTTGTCGATGTTCTTAAGAGTCTTGACTCTAGATACAATGTATTTTTTTTTACCAGTGCTTGAAATTTTTGGATACCCCACGTAGCAGTTTTCATCGGAAAAATCGTGATGTTTTGTAATTAAATTGCGATTTTTTCACGATAAAATCGGTAGAATAATCAAAATCCGGGCGATTATTCTCAATCTTGTCGTGATTTTATCCGGATTTATCACGATTTTCTGTTCGATAATATTGCGATAAATCGCGATTTTATTGCAAATTTATGCAATGAAATTGCAAATTATCGAAATTTTTTATCCGATAATATTGCAATGATTCGACGTCGATAAAATCGCGATACATTCTCCGATCAAATCGCAACTTATCGCGATCACTGCTATTTAGGACCTTAGATTTAATTACGGATAGAATTCTCAGAAAAACTGGAATAAAAGTATCCACGAGTAATTCTTTGAAATTCGTAACTTATTACAGGAGATTTGGCAGCGTCTGGAAGCTTATACAGGATTCCCAAGTTATTCGGGAGGGTTCCATACCGCAAAAACGGCGTAAAAAACGAAATCCTACGTCTATGGAAAAATGGGGATTTGGTTCCGGAGCTGGTGGAAATTTTTGAAATCGTCCAGAATGACATTATTTGGTCCTTCTTTGAGAGAAAGTATGAAGTGTTTCATGTGTCTGCCATGCAGCTTACAGGTCTGCCTGCAACTCGAAATACGGCGCCTTAGGCCTTTTTTTCAATTTTAGACTACGCTCCATAAACATCTTTTCGAACTTCCGAAGAAAATACAATTCGCGAATGCGCGAAACTCGTAAGGTTGGAGCTCGCGGACGGCGAAGGACGGTCTCTTTCCCGACTCGCAAATACGCAAAACTCGCGGATAACGGGTTCGCGAATAACGAGGGACTCCTGCACGGCATGAGCAGAAAATTTAAGGGGAAAAAAAGTTTTTCCGTCAAATTGTGATACCGTCGCGTCGGGCAAACTTTGCCTTGAGGTGGTGACTCAAATTTTCTTTTTATTTAGGCTCGAATGTTTGATTAGCAACCCTCCCCCGTCATTCCTGAGTAACGCCCCTGAAAATAACCACCGGAAACGGTAAATCATTGTCACTTGTCAGTAATCGATGAAATAAAGTGGCAGATAGGAAAATTGATATTCTGCCATTCCGGTCCAATGGTGTCTTATTGGATGTCATAAAGCGAATGTACTATCGAACTCATAGCTGGAGATTCAAAGAGCCCATAGAATCTTCTCGCATTCCACACGCTGTTACGTGTTTTCCCCTTTTGTTCTCAAAATTCTTTGTGTGATCAATCTGCTCACTGATTGATCGTAAATCATTTTCCACGAAAAGCTGCGAGGACTGTAGGCTACGGCGAGGTCCTCAGGTGACTGTTTTTCTCATCTTGGGCAGAAATCTGATGACGCATATGTTCGTTTTACGACAGAAATCGTGTTTTTTCATGAGAACGAATATACGTGCATGCTCCTTTCAAGTTTCATCTTCTCTTCCTCTCTATCTCTGTTTTGCTCATTATCTATCCATCACGAAAAATATGATTAATTAGGAAAAAAATTACCTTAAAAAATTCCACTCCCTTCACAAAATATCGATAACCAAATTGCGAAACAACGTATCTGCGTTTGCGACGTTGCGGAATTCAAGTGATACTTCATTCCTCCCCCAGAAAATTAGTCAACGTAATTTCTTGAAAACCTCCAGGATAATTTGTTGGCAGAATATTCTACATACATTTTCAAGCCAAAAAATTGGCTCGTTTCTCTTCGAAAAATAAAATTGAAGCGAACACTATATGAAAAACCGTAATGGAGATACGTGGTTTCGCACTTTCGTCACGTTGGGCACATTGAAAAGTTCCGTACGTTTTTCCGCAGCGAATGAAGTCATAGCGAAGATTTTGAAACGTCGCATCCGAGATACGTTTTTTGACTTCCATCGTCGATATCTGCACGGTCTCGGGGGGGAAAAGGGGGTAAAATGAGTTTGGTTATATTCTCCCATATCGACGGTGAAACTACCAAACCACGTATCTCGTTTGCGGCGTTTAAAAATCTACGCTCACATTTTCTTTTTTTGAAGTAGACCAAATCAATATCATTCCTTGAAATTTTCACAGAATTTTCTCCGCACGAAGAGGAAAAATCACAGAAATTTTCAAGACTGGACGTTAAGTAGTTTTTCATTTAAAAAATAAAGTATGACAGGAAGTCTGCGACGTCGCAAACCGAGATACGTGGTTTGGTAGTTTCACCGTCGATATGTTTGTTTACAGGTAGACGTCTGCGTGAAAGGTTATCGAGGAGATGCTGTTCGTTTAGCGATGAAAATGGAGGGAGGGAAAGAGAGACGGGAGGATGCATGATATGCCGATCGATCTCCGCGAAAAAATTGAGAAAAATTAATAATTGTAAATCAGAGCAGAAGAAAGTGAAATTGAAGTTGGGAGACCAATTATTCAGAACACCAGAGCAAGGGGTCAGATGTAAATACTGACTCACATCTGCACTCGGAGAAACTCTGCTGATAATTAAAGATAAAAATTCACGCCTCCTGAATCGGATTTTTTGCGATTAGAGGGATTTAACATAATGATCTTGAAAGAGAGTAAGTATATGAGGCGAGTGGGGATTTTTCAAGAGGGCGGGGGAGAGGGAGGAGACATGCTCTGAACGAAAAACTCCACCTTACATCTCCGTCGGAAAAATAATTGAATTACCTTGTCGACTAGATGTTTTGAAGAAACATATTACTATGGAAAAATGAAGTTGGTAATAGACAATAACTAATGGCATCTCACGAGAGACCTTTTAGTTAGTTCATCATTGTCTCCCTTAGTCGGTAGGGACCACCAATTTCAACCAAAAGGATTGCTCCAAACCCCCTATGTCTTCTTTGTCTATGGTTTTGTCCATCAATTTAAATAATCAGCCCGCTGCCACCAATAGGCAGTGAAGGGCCTCCGGGGTGTCTACTAAAACAGGCTGGTCAAAAAAAAGTACTTTTACAGTACTTTTTCAGTACATCCTCATGAAATTCAGTACCTCCTCCAACAGAAAAATTCTTCAGTACCTCCATTTGACGAAATTAGAAAAATTTCAAAAATTTTAAAATGACAAAAAATGACTAAAAATTCCGGACCTTTTTGCGGAATTTCCGCACTTTTTCAGTACTTCCGGACCACCCTTAAAAAATCAGTACTATTTCCGGACTTTTCGGACTTTGCGGAATTTCCGCACTTTTTCAGTACTTCCGGACCGCCCTTAAAAAATCGGTACTATTTCCGGACTTTCCTGAAATTCCGGACTTGTAGACACCCTGGCCTCTTTGTCTCGGGGAAATACGGAACGTTGGGAACAGATTACTTACTGGAATAGCTGCGTGTTTTGAGGATGACGGCGACGAGTTGGATGAGCTCGGTCGTGAAGTTGGTGGGCGGGGTGTAGAGGAGGTGGAGGGTGCCTTGCAGGAAGGGCTCCTGGAAGAGGGTCTGCTCGCTCACCGGCGGGAAGAACGTTTCGTTCTTGCGCACGCTCTGCCCGAAGACCGTCGGGTAGGACTTCTTGGCGTAGACCACCGCGTAGAACAGCAGCAGCGGCACCGCCACCTCGCCCACCGTGAACAGCCAGTGCCGCGCCCGGAACCGCACGTTCTTGTACGTCAGGATCCACAGCGCCCGCAGAAATCCCATCCTTGTGTCACGACCAGGGGCCCCTTACGAGACGACACTACCGGGGTAACAACTGACGTCGCAGTCGGGGCAACTCTTGATGTCACACCCGGAACAGCTCTTGATGTCACAACCTGGATGACTCTTGGTGTCACAGCCTGGATGACTCTTGATGTTACAGCCTGGATGACTCTTGATGTCGCTGCCTGGATGCGACTCTTCACGTCACAGTCGGGACAACTCCAGGCGTTCCACCTCAGACGACGCTTGATGTCACAACAGGAACAACTCTCGAAGTCAAAGCAAGGTTGGCTTCTGGAGTCACAGCCAAAATATCTCTTGATGCCACATCCGAAACAACTCCAGACGTCTAAGCCCGGACGACTCTTGATGTGACAATCGGAACCACTCTCGACGTCACAGCAAGGTTGGCTCCTAGAGTCATGAATTGGGTGCCGTAACTCCTGACGTCGCAGCCGGAAGTTTTGTCACAGAGAAAATTTTTGCGATGTTACAACCAGCGTAATCCTGACTTCACTGCCGTGAGAAATCAGACGTCACTATAGGGGTACCTATACCGTAACTCCTGACGTCCAGGGTAACTCCAGGCTTTGCGGACGGGACTTCCTGGCGTTATGAACGGACAACTTCTAACGTCATAACTAAAGTAACTCCTAACGGCACGACTAGAGTAACTCTGTGAGTCACAACTCAGAAAATTCTGGACGTTACGATGGGAGTAACGTCTGACGTCTCAGTCTCTGAAACTCGGGATACGCACAAAATCAGCCGGTCAGAGCCTCGGAGGGTCGTGCCACTTTCTTGTTCGGTTTGATTTAAACGGCACCTTTGAGGAGGGAAAAAAGAATACAAAAATAAATCAAAATCAATAAAAAGATATAAACAGTAAAATTAAAAAAATAATAAACAAGAAGGAAAGGTAGATTGAAAGAGGGCTGGTCGACTTATTTTTGGGCTTTAAGGAAACCAGCTCTTAGTAGCGACGACTATTGAAAGAAAGAGTTGGGACACCTCAAAAATTTGAAAGTGACAATTCTTCTTCTTTTTTATAAAAAATTTGTAATACATTTTTGGAAATTTTGGAACGCCGAAATAATCGGTATCCGGTTTACGTAATATCACGGTCTATACGTTGTGCGGGAGAGCGGACCCTGGTAAAAATTGGCGATAGGAGCTGCGTTTCAAAATACCATAGGAATTCTTATAGCCGGCTAAAGAAGGCAATAGAAAATCATGTAGCTGGCTGGTAGAAAGCGGAGCAAATCATATAGCCGGGCTATACGAAGCGATAAAAAAGTATGCAGCTGGGCTATAGTTCCTATCGCCGGGCTTTACACTTTATCGCCATCGGCTATAAAAGGCTATAAGAAATTGTGTAGAAATTCGTGTGCTTTGGAAATCATTAAGTTTGATACGGAGCCAACATAATATTCACAAAATACACATTATATTTTCCTTTAATACATATTTTTTTATCAATTAAAATGAGAATAATCCATACAGGATGTGCAAAAAGTTCAAAATCATGAGTTGAAAAACGCTGACTCCGCAAGATTATATTGGAGCATATAACACAGAGCGGAGCGGCGTGCCGCCAGCGGCAAGCGCGCACCAGCGCCTACAAACCTAACTGGGATACTTCACGCATGACGCAATGCGTGAAGTATCTCTGTTAGGTTTGTAGGCGTTAAGGCGCTTTTCGCGCTGGCTGCCCGCCCGCCTCGCCGCAGCGTGCCACGGCGCTTGAAGCAACTATTTCACACCAGAGGTATTGCACAGTATCATATGAAATTGAAGGCGCTCCAACATATTAGGAATGGCAGGCATCCTTCAAAAGTACGGAGCTTTCCGCGCAAAATAAATCAAGATACTACGGCCCAAAAATAGAGCGGTAGTCCAAAAACTCACTAAGTCCTAGCATCCGTAATTAGTAACATGTAGCATACACTTTATCGCCTGGCTGTTATGCTCAATCGCTATCGGCTATAAAAGGCTATAAGACATTGTGCAGCCGGCTATAGAAGCTATTGAACATCTTACAGCCAGCTTTAGGTCTATGGTATTTTGAAACACAGATTCTACTCCCAATTTTTACTAGGGGACACAGCCTTGAAAAAAAGGATCACATGATACTAAACAATTCCCTTTCATATTTTTTCCAGAAACGAGTATATTTGTGCTTCGTCCCTTCTTTCAATTTGCCTTTCAGAAGTATAAAATGATAACCAAACGATAACGAGAAAGAGAACGTAATAAACACAGATGAAAACCATCAAAAAACGGAAAATAAACAAAACAGAAACGAAATTCTCTGAATAAAAAAGGGAGGAATCATCCTATGTCGTCTTTATGAGCGAAAAGAGAGGATTAACGTTCACAAAGAACGCTACTTTCTCAGTTGAGACACAGCAGAATACACACAGCAGAATACACACAGCAGAATACACACAGCAGAATACACACAGCAGACTCATACACAGCAGAACTTGAAAGGTTCCGATGCGTTCATTGTACCTAAGTGCTTTACGTATTTTGAGGAGGCATCATACAGGGTGTTTCAAAATGTTGAATATCTTTTGAACGAATTCGAACATCGAAAAACGACGAAATTAACACGTATTCTGTACTTTCGAACGGGCCCAAAAATGTAATTGCAGTACGAAAAAATGTGCCCCATAAAAATATTAAACACGTAATACGGCGTTCTTCGATACTCGGATTAGTTCAAGATATTCAAGGTGGATACTTTCTTATAAAAAACTGTGTAGTATCGAAGTGTTTGATTTTGTACCCAGACAAGTGAACCATTTGGGCAAAAACTCCCCCCCCCCCCCACAAATTAAGAATTTTAACATGTAAATAAGTTACGAATTACTCGGTTCTTTGCATACTCTCCTTCAGTAATAACAAGGTGGTGAAATGGTGCTGGGTCCACACCATTTTGTGGGGAAAACAAAGCCAAGAAATCCCAAAAATGTTTCAATTACTTTGAGTCAAACATTTTTTTGCTCTGATGAATACCTACCAGTACAAGACTGAGGGGGGAGAAAGTTCAGCTCAGGCAGCTTGCATTCGTTGCTTCTCGTTTAGTAATAATTTATAGACAATGAGTGTATAATTCTATGCAACAATAAAATATATTTTTTTTAAAGAAAAAGAAAAAAAAGACAAGCTGGATGCGCGCATTGAAAACATTTTTACTCACACTACGTACACTGATTCCACACGATAAAAATTCCACCGTACCTTTCCTACACTCGCTGCAAACTGGCTGATTACGAGTATTCAAAGTGTCGTGTTGCGTAGGATATCCTTCACGTATACACACGAAACCCTTCAAATTTAAAAAAACGATGATTTGAAAGGAGAAAAAAGATGAAGATAAAGCAAAGGCCGCGCTAAGACAATCGAGATTACGAGAACGAAGATTTAATACATGTGAAGTGCACTTCGCCAGGCACTATCACTGAACTTTCATCGAGTGGCAGGATTAATAATTCCGATTTTTTTTTCTTTAAGATTTATTTTTTTATTATTATAATTGGATGTAGTATTATTATTAATATTATTAACCCGAACGTAAGTTAGATGAGATGGATAAAACTCTCAGAGGTCGTGAAATTTCAAAATCAAGAGAAATAACTCGAGTGATGGCCGGAGCTGTCACACTTCAAGACACTAACGGATCCGATTCTATCGATGCACTGATTGGTCGTGATCGATGCGACCGTCCGTTGAAAATTTATCGCCCCCTCCCCCCCTTCTCGGAGGGCTCCCTGCGCTGGCGGTGAGGGAGAAGGGTGCCCACGTATGAGGAGAATTCCGGGTTTCAATGGAAAACCGTAAATAGACATCTCCCTAAGACACTTTCCAGCTAATCAGATTGCACGCGTTGCTGAATTTTATGGTTTAATTATCAGAACATCCCCTCCTCTCTATGACGTTGCTAACTGCTCTTCAGCCACACTGCCGTGCTAAGAAAAAACGCCGTAAGAGCCTTCAGGCGATGCCAAGTTTCCATCGATAAAACTGAATTTACTGGGAAAATTGTGAATATTATTTTCCGAAAATTTCAGACAATTTTGTATGCAATTTAATCTAACATATCTGAAAATTTCAAGGAAAAATATGAAAGAATGTTGTTTAAAATACATGTTTTATCGAGGGAAATTTGGCAACTCTCGAATTTTCATACGGCGTTCTCCCACAGCACGGCAGCATAGGGCTAGGATTAAAGAGATGCGGTGACTATTTAACCGGTAGTTTCTTTTGAAATTTTGTGTGAATTTTCTTCATTCGTTCTGTAAAAATTTCACAAATTCGCAAAGCAGCATTTACATTAGACTTCTTAGAGGAAAACAAAATAATGGATATGAAAATTTTTAACGTTGCAATTGAAATAATATACATTTTTCACAATAAGCCATCGTGTGTAAAAAAAAAAGAGAAAGTTAGTCAAACTTCTTTCTCGCTACTTTTCCGGAATAGGTACTTCAAAGGAAAAGAGAATTATTTTCGGATTCGACAGTATCCAAGAATACTAGGAGAAATTATCATACTTCCATTTAATTTTTTTTGATGGGGGAACTGCATTTGTGAGAAGCTCAATGCAATCCACACAAGTATAGTTCATGACTCAGAGCCATATTAACTTGAAAACCTGGGTACCCTGTTCCTTTCATATGGGAGCACACCCAAGTATTCCAAGGGATTTTACCTCGATAAAATGAATTTTTTTCTCATTTATACATTCTTATCACTTGAAGTTTCCAACGGTTACCTCAGTAACTCGGAGCCACTGCAGGAAAGTTTATTTCAGGTGTCGGTCAGTTATTGATTGTAAGTAATAGCTAAATGCGGAGGTGCGGGGCAATGAGTCTTTCTCAGATATTTGCAGTCATAGAGGCTGTAAAAGCAAAATGAAACACAACTAAAGAACTAATTGCCTGAGACTTTTAGCACCCCTGCAAGTACATTATTACAAAATGCATTATTACAAAATGATATTTTTTTATTTTTTATTTCAATTTGCAAAAAGATCAACCTTAATGACTCGGAGTTTTCATATTTTGGATCTCAAAATGTTTAAACCTCAATGGCTTTAATTGTTATCTTTTTGTTTCAACTTTAAGTTGTCAAAGTTCAAGTGTACATCAGATCCCTACGAAATAACGATATTTTGATGCTTTTCCTTAATCACTGTACAGTTATAGAGCTGCAGAGAGAGGCCATAGAAAATTCATTTTGGAATAATTTACATAGAGATGAAATATACCTATTCAGAGAAAAGACAGAGGATCAGAACCTATTTTTCAGCTTGAAAATCTATATTTGAAGCTCAGGGGAGGGGTGGGGGTGACTTAACATACATGTCTCTCAAAGAGCAGAGAAAACAGTTTTGATAAACCACTACCAGCCATTGTACATATTTAGATTCAGAGTTACAGTTTTAGATAGGTACGTCTAGATTGCCAGAAGTTCAAATGAGGTAGAATATTGAAATTTGAAGTTCAGAGGAGAGCTTCCGTGAGATAGGATAACTCTAGAAACGAAAATGACACAGATTAGGCAGACAACTACCATGAAATAACCAATAGGATGCGACAAGTAATCTGAAGATTTTAGTATCAGATCGGCACATAAAGTATTTGTTAAGTGTGGCATTGACACTCTCCGTGGTTGAAACAATTCTAAATGAAACAGGGTTTAGGAGAAATAAATTATTGACTATTTTTTCCGTATACAAAATAAATACATGTATTTTGTTTCTTTTTTATACAATTGGAAACTTCACATGATAAAAAAAGAAGTAAAAGGGGATAGTAAATTGTAAAAATCATAAAAGTAAAAAAAAATAATAATGGAATTTTGGTAAAAAGGAAAATTCCAGAGAATTGGAGGGGGTTGGATAAAACAGTACCTACCGACTAGATCAAAAAATACTTCATTAAATCAACATTTAACACAAAATTTAAATAACCATAATTAAGTCTGCAAAATCCTTCAAACCACAGTAATATGTTCCGACACATTCATAATTATTCCAAACTGCCGTACATCACAAATCAATGACAAATAGGAAACAAAATAATACAAAATGTAGACAATAAGTACAAATAAAACGATTTAAACGTACTCTGTCATGACTAGACGCTTAAAGTTTCAGACATAAAGGACAAGATAACCAAAACCATGCAACAAGAAAAAAAAAATTATTTTTTGAAATCTAATTACAATTTTCCTCCCTTCAGCATGGAAGAGCCAGACAGGCAAGATGAGGATAAGGAAATAGACATCTCGTCTAAGTTTGAGGGAAAGAATACAGAAATGAGAAATGCGATAGATGTTAAAGAAGCAATTTTCCTAGGAGGTAATTTATAAAAGAATTGGTCAGGTTTCAAAATCGAAATTTAGAGTGACCGAGAACTTGTGAACTTTTGTAAAAGGGGTGTAGAATAATTCTGAGGACCTTCCTGCGTTGCGGGTCTCTCACGACCTTGCTCGGTTAATTTATCCCAACTTAATTGACCAATGCAGTGGGCTGATTGTTGAAATTTATAGACAAAGCAATAAATAAGGAAGTACAGGGAGTATGGAGCAATCTTATTGGATGAAGTAGGTGGTTCCTATGAACTAGGGGAGAAAATGATGGTCTAACTGTAGGGCCTTTTGAGGGTTGCTTGCCGTTAATTAATTTATTACCTACCTCCTTGTCCATTCCACCTGCTTCTACCAATAGGATCTCTCCATATCCCTTTCATCTTCTTTATTTATCAATTTGAAAAATCGGCCTGCAGGCAATTCAGTACTCTGGACTATGTAAAAGCGCCAGACAGTTCTCTGACCTCGAAAAATACTTTACATAGCATTAGAACTGAGGAGGAAATTGTTCAACAGAGTTCTTTGATTGCACAGAGGGTAGTTACAACCCAGTTGCAGGCATAAATAATGGAGATCGATTGAATTGAATTTTGTGAAAGGGGATTGACTAGGAGCATTACAACGTTGAAATAATTGTGCACTTTTTTTTACAACATAGGTAACTAACAGCAGATGAAAATATGATGTTTACATGTTCTATAACTGACACTTTTTGGGTGTCCTGGTAAGAGCTGTTCAAATTCACATGTGTTCTTGAAAGAGAAAAGAGATTGCACAGTTTTAAGAATAATGCAAACCGACTTTGTAAGAGAGGAAGTGGAGGGAAGGAAATGAGAAACGGAGCTAACAGTTTTAATTCTTACAAGCTATTTTGGCATTTTCGAAATCTTGAACACATATTCATGACTTCTACGAGAATGTAAAAGCACCATGAAATTCCGACTTGTTTCGACAGTAATGAGAAGTGCGCTGTATTTCTCACTCAAAGAACAGACAGTTCGAAGTGAAGTCAATTTAATGAAGGTTGAGGTGGAAAACATGAGATTCAACTAATTGAACTTTGATAACCTGTGAGTACCTACTGGAATACATAGAAAATGGGTCAATTTTCTTTTCTCATCCTTTCAAGTTTTCTAAAGCTTTGAAACCACAAGTAAAACCTTTGTCATATCAATAGCTCAAGAAAAATTTACGATGTACATATGATTCAAAAGGAAGAGTACTTTCAGGGACCTTTCCAGACATGTCTCGGCTTGGGGGATTACTTTCTTCACAGGGATTGAAGTTCTTCATTAGGAAAATCTGCCACTCGTTCCAGGACCTCCATATTCAATGATACATGTATCATGCATGTCTGAATACATTTACAGACAAAAGTAAGAAAAACATAATTTGAAAGATGCTTCTTCAGAAAGTCTCTGCACAATATTTCCACTGTCTCTCTTTAGGGACGGATTAACTAATGCTCAAAAATGTCATTAACGTATTTTTGAACTTACATTTGCATTTTCGATGGTTTCATTCTACAAACCAGTACCTAATTTTAATTAATTATCTTCAGATTTTTATGGAGTTGATGCACGGTGCCTGGATTTTTTTAATATTCATTTTTTTTTTTTTCATTTTCTGATGCTCTTGGATTTTCAGGAGGAAGTTTCCAGAAATACATCACGGTTTTCAACTGCTTTTCCACACTTTCTCCTGAAACAAATTAGTGTTTTTTCAAGAGGTTGAAGATATTGATTTTTTAAATATTTCAGCTAATTTTTTAACGCTCAGACAACACAGGTAGTCAGGTGGCCTGATTCATAAACAATATACATAGTTCTTGCAGCGTTGAGCATAGAAAATCAAGTACTTTTCAACGTATTTTCCGAATTTTTTTTCTTAAACACACAATTTTATATTTTCGCTCCCTTGTTTCCTTACATCAGGAGTTTGCGTCAGCAATTTCTAGTTTGCTTGAAAGTAAGATCACAAATTCTTCTGTAAGTAAGATGTCGATCAATGCAATCTATTTAATGTAAAATTTTCTGTTATTTTATTACCAGAGAGAATTAATTGCCGACAATCATTAGTGAAGAATAAAATTCAAGCACTTTTCAACCCCCTTTCAAAAAGTCAAGCACTTTCAAGGCCATAATTTTTTTCCAAATCAAGCACTTGACAAAGTTGGAGGAACCATGATATAGTTTCGGATCAAAGAGAAAAGACAAAATTTGGGTTTCGACACAAATTTTCAGTTGAATTCTATGGTTTTCTCTGGAAAGTTTTTTCCCTGATGAATGCTGGTATTTGTCGGTTATTCTTGGTTCCAGGCACCGTGGTTTGACAAATTGAATGGGATAAACGAGGGTGGTCAATTTTTTAAAACACAGATTGGTAAAAAAGATTGGTAACTGTAAAAATTAAGTTGTGCTGACAGTTTCGAGAATTGAGTAACGATTAGTACCTCCTTAAAGTTACGGGTATACGGAAAATGTACAGTGCATAGCGTTATATCAGATCATACATTGGACAGATGGAACCAGCAAGTATCCCAAAGAGGGAAAAGAACATATAACAATACTGATGGATATCAAAAATAGTTGTGCGATAATTATTGTTAGAATAGCAAGGGACGGTTTGCAGCTGAAAAAAATCAAGTGAATTGATATCGAGGGCAAAGGTCAAAACTTCCCCAAATCCAAAATAAATTACAATTAAATTCAAATTAAAGGTTAATCTTGGGTTTAGAGCTCCAAACTATATACTGAGCTGATAAAATTCAAACAAAAGATTGGTTTACACATTCTGAAATATTCCACTAAAAGAACTTCTAATTTGAGCTGCGGCGGATTATTATCTGATAAGAATACCGATTTTGAAGGGCATTTTTCATTCTCATTGCACAAAACAAAAATATCTTGGAATATTTTTTATTTTAATCAATACATATAATCGATCTGAAATCAGCGGAACAAAAAGACAAGACAGAACCGCTTTTAAAGTTGGTACATAATGTATAGAATGCACATTCTGATAGGTTTGCATTTAAATCATTCTATCATTGATACTTCGGAGTGCCTCAACAGGGTTTCACCGCAGAGAATAGATCACAAACTCATCCGACAAAAATACACTAATAAGCCTCTTCAGACATGCTTTCTACATTTTATTTTTAAAAGTTAAGATTTGAAGTTATACCTTAGCTTAGGGAGTGAACTTAGCAATTTTTTTTTAAAAAAAATAACGAAAACGAAACAATTTTCAAATTAAAGATGTGAACGTCCATTCTAAGGCTCTTAAACACTAAAACTCCTTGTTTCAATAGTTAGTTTATGCAAAATAAATGATTACTATGAGTACATAATTATCTATGTAAAAAAGAGGGTAAGACAGGTTTATTCTGACTTTGAAAAGGAAAAATAGATAATGTCTCACTTGCTTGAACAAGATATTAAGAAAGGATGAGGTTAATAATAAATTGATGTTGGTGTTTTTAAAAAAGAGTATTCCTTTTCTGATACACAGGATATTTGGGGATGATCAATTCACTGTGGTCAAACTTTGCCAGCTCTCGATTAGAAAAGACACAAATTCTGGAGACAATTCCAGAGAACCTGGACGGGAAAACAATTATTTAACACAGCTATGTAAGACACTTCCTGCGCTTTGACAGCTTGCTTAAAATCAGCTGGATGGCGGAAAAGTATAAAACGGATGCGGATCAACAACGTAGGTCGCTAAAGATAGGATGATAGAATTTGATTGTCGTAGATAGTGTTTTTAAACTAGTCTCATGAAAACTATGATATTGTTTGATAAACGCTTTTCCCTGATCTTTTCTCTTCAAAAAGAGGAAAAAAGAAATGGAACTTTTAAAACATTATGGTTAAAGTGTTTGGTTTTAAGTTTAGCTACCAATAGGGTAATTAAGATAATGATATTTTGACCCTGGGACGATCATTTGAATGAATATATTTTATGAGAGGAACCGTGATGAGTTACCTCTATCACCGCGGACAGAAAAATACGACTTAAGAGATTTGCATGGGACCAATCCAGTTCTAAGAATGATAGTGTATTAATTCACGGAGGAAAATATTGAAGCAGTAAAAAATTTATAGCGGGTCTAATTATGCTCGGGTTTCATCACATTAAACTGAGCGGATTCATTCTGTCAATGAAGAGAGATGCGGCTTTGATGATTCAGACTCAGTGACTCAGAGAAAGCCGTTAGAGGAGCAGTGCGCCTTAATTTTTTAGCAGGGTTTTGTGTCATTAGGATTTGAGCTATTTCTCCGCATGCTCACATGCTTTAACTGCAAACTGAACCAAAATTAAATGATTTATACAAGACTCAGGATACAGGGTTGTGATCTATCAATTCGATTTTATAATAGATACTTTCATATTGACGACTGAAACTACTAATTTTATTTTTTATTTATTATTTGAATTTGGAAAGTTAGAACTCTAATATTGCAATCTTGAAACGAAGCTGTATACTTGAAACAAGACTCAGTAAACAGGATTGCTATTTATGTATTATTAGATTACAATGGTAATATGAGATAATTATTAATATTGATATTTACTTTAATTACTGAATCTACTTATTTTATTTGTTTCATGATCTGTTATTTTTTTCAGTTTTCCCCAGGGGCTCAACTAACATTTTAATGTTTTACGTACTAATACACCTCATTACTAAAATTTCGTCATATCATTTTAAATATTGGATAAATTATTTAAGGTTCCTATGAGAGCACCTTCAACATATTAAGACTTATCATCGGTAACATGTTAGGTGCCAAAAAATCTAAAAATGAGTTGCCCATGGTATTTCGTTCTACGCACCGAGGAAAGCATACTGTATTACGAGCTCAGTGCCCTCAACATGTTAGAGTAACGAGTGTAACGTCTGAGAGATAGCGTCAGTGCTGTTTTCTAGAGCACTTTCAAAAATAAAGAAGAGCGTACTATGAAATCAACTTTTTGGCACTTTACCCATTATTGATGACAAATCTTTACACATCACATCTATCACTTCTCATGTGCCAGTCAAAAAGAAAAGGAATTTTTTGCATTGAGATCGCTTTTCTCTTTGACAACCACGTTTAATTTATAACAGTTGCACAAAACTTAAAAAGTACAATACCATAAAATTTCAATCTTCTTCAGTGATATGCTTTTTTCCTTGAGTAGCGGAACAATTGCTTCTGCATGCCAGGAGGAGATTTTGACCACCACTTCAAGTCCCAGCCTCCGAACAGAAGGCACAACTCTTGAGACTTTTGGAGCTTAAAGTTCAACCTGAAGATGAAGTTCTGAGCCACAACTGTCCATTTGTATGGACATAAACTTCAGAAACTCGACGATTTCTTCATCAATTAATTTTTAGGCTTAGGTATAAGTTGCAGCAACCATAAAAGGGAGATCGATATCTTCATTCCATTGACTAGCACCAACGTTTGAGAGCAGAATAGTGAGAATAGAAAAAATGGACACTTAATATCTTAAAAATTTCACTACTGATAAATTTCATCGTTTAAAAAGACGGTTACACGGAGTCAAGGGAGGGTACCAATGACATGAATATCGGCACTTAAAAAAATACACAATTATTCTTAAACAACGGTAAGATGGAATTAAGCAATGTGCAAAAGCTTTCAGAATCCTTTCCAAAAATATAGCTCGTAGTTTTGCTGATCGGCAGTTAACTTGTTCAACACAATCAATAATTTGGGGCGACTGTGGGGCTTTGCCCTTCTATCTATAAGAAGCATGTGTACAGGCTGCTGAATCTGAATATTTACAGTAGGTACTGTAAAGGGTTGTAGATTGAACAGAGGACTAAGGGTTGAAAACGTAGGAAATTTTGGTAACTTTGGCATATGTACATTTTCTCTTACTATTAAAACTAAAAACATTCCTTTTTTTCGCTGAACTGAGAAGACTTTGGAAACTTGATGAAATACGGCCCATTTCAGGATTTTTAGAGGGCTGAGCTATCATTTGATTTGGAATGTTCAGAAAGATTTCTCTTGGTTTTCAAAAAATTTTAACCTCTCGTTTCGATCTTTTGCTTAAAAGAAACTTGTACCGGTGAGAGAAAAAGAAGACTATCTGAAACTACTTGTCAGACCTTTTGTATAGTTCGAAAGATACTTTTCCTAAAAATTACCAAGAGATACACCCATAACTAGAAAATAGTCGACTACGGTTCCAATATTAACTAAAGACAGAACTATTTTCAAGGTTTAGAAAACTTGTGTTATCCTAGCTCAGTAATGCTAGTTCTTCTAATGTCCTTTGTTTTATGTGAGTAGCTTGCTAAGTAATCACTTGATAGAGATTTGCCAGCTGGTAAGTTAATATCAAACCAGGACTAGTTTCCTTAATTCTATAGAGTTACCGTTTACGTGCTTCGAGAACTCTTCTTCGTGACAATCTAATACTAGTTTTTAACCTAACTGGACACTGGATTAATGTTGCTATCGATGGTATCGCATTCCAAGTTAAGACTTTTGCCAAATTGCAATGATTTACCAGTTTTTAAGTAGAATTTTTTCCTTAAAACATTAAGGGCAAGGATAAATTTGACTAAAAGAATTTGTTCCTAACAGGACGGACATATTAAAATAAACAATTACACTTAAGAGCTGATAATGTCATATATAAAAATAAAAGAGCGGCACAGCGATAGTTATTATGAAACACACTTATTCCCAGTGGTAGTTTACAAGACACTCACCAAGTAGTAAAAAATTTCTCAGTAAGAAATCAACATACCTACATGGAAACAAACAATTATCCTGGCGCTTTCTTAACAATGACTAACGTCTTTCCTAACCTCTTTGTTGGTACCTCTTGAACAGTTCACATATCCTATAAAAATTGGATCCGGTTAAAGAACTTGTGACACACAAAAACAATCAATTAATCAAAGATGAGAATCCTCATTTTTTTATTCATTACAGCAATGCAGGGGGTTCTTGAGGTGAAGTACTGTTAAAATCAGGGTTGCCATTCGGTGCAGAAAACTTGGGAATTGAGATTAAACTTTGGAAGAGATTAAAATGATGATAAAGCTCATTTAAATCACCCGCTATAATCCTAACTACTGTGGTAAGGAGAAACAATGTGCTAGCATTCAAACTGTGCCACATTGTTCTCACTAAAGTATTCATCCCGGAATATTATTTGTAATTGTGATTAAATTAAAAATAAAAGTTTTTCAAGAGTTGAAAGGAAAAAAATCCGATCAAATTTCCAGAGAATTTGTACTTTCTCCAAATTTTTCCTTCCAAAAGAGGGTAACACAACAATCTAGGAGAGGGTCCTCAGTGAAACTAAACCTTCAACGCATTGAATGTGAATTAGGATGAAAATTGTTTTCACTTCTACAGGATAGCAGCAATTCTTTATGTCAAGCAAGGGCTTGGTTCAGCATTAGCTGAGGTACAATGTGCTGAATACTGAGGCTCAATTAATCTAAAGGACATGGTTAAAGGTATTCAAAGAACTGGTGGCTCAGGGAAATTAAGCAAACCTTAAGGATTTCCAAAAACAATTTCTTGTTCCTTTGAAAATCTACATTTTTTTAAACTTTTCCTGCTTTATTTCTGATATTTTTTAGACCCTCTCGGAATTAAACTTGACTATGTTGTCCACCTAGAAATTTTGAATGCTTGCCTTTTTATCAAGGTTGCCAGGTTATGCAAAAAAATGTGCATATTGTGCCTGGGATGAATAGGGAAAAAGTGCTGATTTTCCAGCACTATCTAATAGCAATGCTTCTTTGTTCGCAGATAAGGTGCTTCTTATTCAAAGCCTGAGTATCAGGTATATGAAACATTAAATTTTAAAGAGAAACAAATTTATATTTTTTTTGTATCTTTATTATTTCACTAATCAAAAAATTTGAAGAGCTTTTGGCATTAACAGTAACACAGGCACAAAACACCGTTGTAATATCAAAATATTTGAGAAATTTTGATCAGTTCACTGCATTTATTGGCAACTCTGATTTGAACTAGTTGACGATATGCACTTAAATCACAGTGCATAGCTGGCATTAGATTAAACATTACCCATAGCTTTGACTCAGAATAAATATGAACGAGAGATAAAGTCAAGCATTCAGATCATAGATTATGTTGGCGAATGCTCAAGCAAATAAGCACTTAATATGCTACTTTTTTAGTGTATTTTTTTAATTCACTTGTGACTGAGGTCAAGATGAGAAGGTGCTTGAGAAAAACTCTTCCCCACATAAAACTGCAAGGGAAATGCAGAGAGCACATCACTTGTAAAAAATTCTGAGTCTCAAAATCGTTGCTCTATCTTTGAACGAGGATCGATAAAAGAAAAAAATTATTGAACAGATACCCTCATAAAATCAAGGCTTTTGGGAGAAGCTCTAAAAATCTAACGATTAAATTTTCCGTTTCCAAAGCTAGGATAAACTGATTATATATGAGTGAGTTTGGCAACAAAGAGGCAGTAAGGGTGAGAACAGAAAAGAGTGTACGTCTATAATACTGGTGATTGAGATTCATGAGATATTTAATAACGAGAATATGCGACCATGTGAGAGCAAAAAATAACTTCACGTGTACATTTTAGCGAACAAGTTATGACTAGAGAGGAGGTATACCTTTGATTGGCAAAATATTGCAAGCAGAGAAAAAAAAACGCAGATAAAATTTTTTCAACAACTAAGAGTGAAATTCGACCAATTCATAGTTCATCGCGAGAATTTGCAGAGAACAAGCTCCTAATGCACGATGTAGAGCATTGCAGCAGGGTTCATGATTATTCTTACAAACCGAGAAAACAATTCTCATCAATTGGAGGACACAATGTATATTTTTTGAACCTCTCTTCATAAGGTTGCCGAAGATCGCAGAAGCTACTTTACATTCATGTGCAAAATACAAGGGTCGACTATTTTGATAGCCAAAAAATCATTGATCAAATCTGCAGAACTGTGCTTTTGCTACCTTTGCTGCTCCCAAACTGCTATTGAGCTCTGATACATTGCAGGCCTAATGCAGCAGAGCAAAATGTTGATTTTCTGGTTTTTTTCTTTTTTTTTGTGACGTTAATTTTTGAAGATAATTAAAACGGTATGATACTACCCTGGGGACTTAAATGCAGGGCCAAAACACGGACAAGGCAGTGAACGTGTTATAAAAATAATTGAAGTTTATAGAGCCTTAAATTGGACAAGCTCTATGTACAAAACCAAAGAAATCAAGTTTCCTCAGAAACTTTATAAAAGAGCTTTCTTTTTAAACTGAAAGAGCAGCAAAAATGTCAAGCTCTTCGTGTTAGATTAGGAGAATTTGTCACCTTCTGGCCAAAATATCACGAGCACCACATATGTGCACTTAGACTTGAATTATTTTATCTGTGCAGTGTGGCACTTCCTCTAAAATTCCTATTAAGAGTGAAAGAGGGAATCTGCGGTGAGTCACAGATCAGAGAAATGTTTGTAAAGATTAGATCCACTGGAGCTGAGAGTTAGGTTAGGTTGCTGCTGAATCTACTGAGTGCATACGTTCTGACAGAAAGACTAACCTGCTTACCAAAAGCAATAGTATGAGTTGACAGAACATCCTTCTAAACTTCAAGAGGGCAGTTCTTCAAAATGATCTTTAAACTTTCAGAATCCAATAATGGATTAGGAAAAGACCATTTTACAAAACCTTTACTCACACCTTTATTTTTAATTGTTTCATCTATTGGGTTCATTGCCAAATTCGATTTCAATTCTGTTTCACAGTTTGTTCAAAACTTGATACCCGATTGACAAATTCAATATTAGTGTCCTATAAAAATGCTTTTCATGAACCATCTGACTTCTGGATCTGTGGCAACCTCTTACAGACAACCATGCAGCCTGCGCATATGTACAAATTGAACTTAGCAAAAAGTATATACAACTGAAACTTACCTTCCAACAGACACTACTAGTCGAGGGAATATAGGAACAATCTATTCCTCAAGTACAACTAGGGCAAGAGCCTCAGACTCGAGATTATCACGGAAACTTGCTTGGCAAAGTGTCCCTATCATGCGTTGTTCATGCTGCGGTAAGAGTCCATGGCTTTGGACGAGCAGGGCTGCGAATCTGTGTGATGCATCTTGTTGCCATGTTGCGAGGAGTAACCAGGGGAGGGAGAGAAGTGTCGCTCTTGTAAATTTATACTACTGGGGTCCTCACCTACAGGATGGTACTGCTCCTCGTCACAGCGCGTGAAAAGCGATAAGAGCAAAGCTTCGAGTGCACACAGGTAACCAAGAAGCTGCAATCAAAATGGAACACCAAGTTCAATGATTAAGCAAACTAGACTGTCAAACATTATTATCTAATAACGTCAAGAACCAAAAATAACTGAGGTGAAAAAGTGTGAGTTCAAAACTGAAAAAAATCATGTAAAAAAAAAGTTTAAAATTCTTTGAAAGGGTACAGATTCTTGCTTACAATTATATATGCTATCTAATGCTTATCTGTTAAATTCTGTTCAATGCAAATTTTTTTTTTTTTGTTTTTTTGTTCTTGGTCCTGATTTTTTAACTTCATGTCAATATGTAAAAAGGAATGTGCACAAAGGTAAGCACCACCATCCATTGGAGAAGGGGCCTTGGTACAAATTAATTCAAAATTGAAAAGTTGGTACAACTACTTAAATGAGTATCTCTGATGTTCTGAACTCACATTTGAGTTTCAGGAGCCATTTGGCTCATTGGACTCAATTTTTAGGGGCCGTTGAAGATCTTTTTTGGTCAAGTTTCAATGAATCACAATAATTGAGGTAGCACGCAGTTATTGCCTAGGGTTATTGCCAAATCACAACCTTTGGTAAGCGAATAATTCTTGTCTCTAACTATTAAGACAAGAACGATCATATTAAGGGGAAGGATGTACAATTTTCCGGAGTAAATGAAAGGCCGATCACCTTGAGAAAGTTACCTTGAAAAGATTTTAGATGTTTATATTGTATTTCTCTTAAAAAAATATTTTTCTTTCTTTAAATAGCACATACTGATTCACTCTGGATTAGAGGTTTCATTAAACAATGGATTTGCAAAGAGAGGTGAGTGCAAAAATTTCGTGTTACTAATGTGATTAGCACTTCTACAAAATAGAACCACATTAATGGCAAAAAAAGTGATATGCTTGAGTTGTTTTACAGTTATAAAGATCAAAGTGGTTTTTGTCAGACTGATAGCATTGCCTGAAGCTTGTTGGATGCAGGTCCAACCATAAAAAAACTTCTTGGTCGGGCCCCATTACATGCATCATTCATCCATTGACAGATGCAGGTTCTTCCTTTTACAGTGATTGGTCAGTTTTATTAGCAAAAACCTGCTTACAGATTTCTCCCTGAGGGAAAACATTTTTTGCCACTAGAGCGACCTCCAAAATTGCAGCTAATAATGTGGTGCTGGGCCCAGCCGCTTGACTTTTCCTTTGCGAGCGAGCTGGAAAATCTTTCACCCTTCCCTCTAAAAATTGTCATTTCAGCCTGAATGGTGAAAGTTTGCAAAAAACAAAAACAAAATCAAAGTCAAACACTCACCCCTGCTATTATTAACCTATGTATAGTAGACTCAGGTATCCAAGCATAGTTTTCATTGTAGTAGTGTGAAAGGTGAATAATAAGTGATGAACTTAATAGGTAGAGTGTGCTAATACTGACATACAGGAACGCATTCTGAAAATGAAAAATAGTTCAAGTCAGGTGTGCCATGCAATATGACATAAGGGTAGTTTAAAATATCTCTAGCTCTTCATGTTAAACGCAAAGTGTCCCTTGCTAATTTTTATTAACAGCCGGACTTATTTCTAAAGGCAAACAGCTTTATACTGATTTTTAACGCACATTGGCTAAAAAAAATTCAACTTTCTGTCTTTATTTCTACAGTAGTCAGGACTTAGAGTTAGAGTATGAGAGAAAATGTACGCAGAATATTGTATGCAGAAGAATGTATTCTGAAGTAACAACCTGCACATGTTCTTAAGTTTCATGTATGGAAGATCCTCTATTCTTATCACACTGAGAATTTCATTAAAAGTCTATCAATTTTAGGCTGTAAAATTACTTGTGATCCTCTACCTCCTATTCATGAAATAATTTCAACAAATTCAGTAGAGAGGATCAAACCCACGTCGATTTGAGAGTGAAAAATTTGAAGTTGAAGGTTGGATTCATTCGTTGGAGTCAGTGTAAAAAATAAATTTTGATCCTTACTTTCACAAAGTGAAAATGTTTCTCCCAATGTTTGCAAGGGGAAAACAGTTTTTGGCCAGTTACTTTTTTGGAAGACAACCAAGTGATATCAGCTGTTGCCAGATTTAACTGAGGAAATTGATTTTTTCCGGGGAAACAAGTTGAACAGATTTCTAACAATGTACAAAATTTTCGAATTTTATATTCTTTTTGCTGTAAATCACAGGGAAATTTCTTTAAAACTTTCAAAAAAACAAAAAAAAATGGAATGATTGTTTTTTGTGAACAAAAAAATTGTGCAATGAAATTTGGCAACAGCTGCTGAAATTTAGTTTTCCACAGAAAAACGTCATTAAGTTAAACTTAAACTACCCTTGACTATTTTCCAGAAATGCCGATTGCACCCTTTCTGATGAACTTAGTCCAATTCTTTTATTTTCCCGAGACCATCCCTAAATTACACAATTTACCAGAAGGAATGGGGGTCTTACCAGTGATAGAGGGATGGGACTGGGTAGGGGAGAGTACCAAGCAAAGTGCTACGTGTTGATTTTGCGTAGATTTTCCAGGGTTTTCAAAGTAATTTTTTCTGTTGTTTTCAGTAGTTTTGATGAAGTGGGTACTAAAAATGGTAGTCTTGGTAGCAAAATAGTTGCATATTCCACCCTTTGGTTCTAGAAAGTTCAATTGTCTCTGGGAAAATAGATAACGCGCAAGTCACATGACAAAGGAACAGGCAAGCTGGATGCTGCAAAGGGCACTAAAATATCGGAGAGGAGAGGTCTGGGACAGCATTGCACTTTGTTTTGATCTGTAAGATTTGGAAAAGTGTTCAGGAGTTTTACAGAGGGAGCAAATTTGGCATTATGTAGTTTAGGAATGACCAATACGAGGAAAAAGGGGCAGTGCAAAAAATAAACGTTACAATATGTACTTAGTTATGTTATTGACCCTGCAAAAAAAAAAAAAAAATGCTAAGAGTTAAGAGAATAGGAAACTACTATTTTACATACCAATTTACTCATGTTGAATGGGAACAGATGGACAATATGCGACACATCGAGAAACAAGACTAAAGATACGACTAGGAAACTAAAAATTGTAACGAAGACCATCAACCGTATACGTCCGATCATAGGCAGCATAAAAAGGCTTACTTTTGCCGTGCCTGCTGTGATCAGACATAGAAGACAGGCAACGGAGGTACACTGAAAAAGAGATCAAGAGACGAAAAATTAGTAGGAGAACTGGATTATTTAAGAAGGTTTGATCTTTAAAAACCTGCTGCTTTTATTGCTCTCATTTATTTTGAGCCAAAATATTGAGTAAACTCCTTTTTTTCCGGTTGAGGTACAGTCACTCTATTTTTAGCTTTTCAATGATAAAGCCTCCAAACAAAAAGTCTCAAATAATGAATCAAAAGAAAAATCAAACAATTCGGTCAAAATTTATCACCTCTTTTTGAACCAATCTGAGATTATCCTCTTGTTTTCTGCATTATCAACCAGAGAAAGGCATACACACTTTTTCACAGCCTTGCAGGATGAGAATTCAACAACTGCCTACTTAGTTAACATTTCTATTGATTCCAATTTTCATCTACTGTCACAGGAGAGTAGGAACTTCCCAGTGTACTCAGATTTATGGCCAAACTCTACGTCATGAAGGGTAGCAACTGATATTTCCACTTCCTCATTGGTTACTCATCACACTGTAGTCAAGTCTGATATTTGAAAATTCAAAGAAATTACTTGTAATTTTTAACCAAAAATACGAGGAATTTAACCGAGTTTGAATTGTTTAGAAGAGGCAGAGAGCATTGGTGTATTTTGATTTAGCAAGACTGAACAACTCCCTTTAGCACTTTTTCATTGGCAATGATGAATACAAGGAGATTATTCAGAATATTTTCTGAAGAACTGAATGAGTTATCCTGGAAAGGAATGGATTTTTCACGGAATATAGTAAGTGAGTAGGAGTTTTTAATTTCATATTTCCTACTTCTATCTTGCTCCTGTCTCAGAACAGAAAAATAACTTACCACTAATGAAATTCTCATGAACCCTTTGGTTCCTTTGAGATAAGAGTCATCAAAATAGACAACGACATCAGACATAATTGAAGGGGATGGGGATCCATCATGTTCTGGGTGCGTGTAGTTGGCGTGCGAGTCCCAGGAACAAACCGTCTTAACATCGCCTGGCGTGTCAAGCTCGGCTAGACTACCAGTGGTGCGGCCCCCACTGGCCCCTGTCTGACTCCCCGCAATCTCGAAGTCTTGGATATCCTCGGTCCGGCACGCTGCCGGTTCTAACTCACGAATTTCCTCTAGGAGAACAGAGATTTCGTCACCAGCGTACAAGTCAGATACTGAGCTGACGTGCCGCCCGGACTGCATCACGCGCACAGTCCAGAGTTCATTGTGCCACCATTATCACCTGAGAAAAATTAGAATAAACAAGGATGTACCATTAAAGAAAAATTCACATGAACATAGTGTAAAAACTAAAGGGAAGTATACAGAGTAAAATAAGTGAGCAAGGCTGAAAACTGAACCAACACCTGGACTTTTCAGAATAGTCATGATTCCTTCACTTGGTGACATCACAAAATGATGCCTAAAGCTGGGTTCAGCCGATCAGGAAATGCCATTTCCCCAGCTTGGTTAGGTCATCAGAGTTTGCCAAAAGTATTGTTTGAACAGGTCTCATTTTTGGTATTTTCAAAACTGGGTGTCTCTGCTTTCTAGCATTAAAAAAATCTACAAAAATTCCTAAAAGTTTAGTTGGTTTTGTGTTTTCAGAAACTGAGTGCCACTGACTTACTGGTGATGAATTTTTTTGGTAAATTTTTTCCAAATATCTTGAGACTACAATTTATGACTTAAATATTTTGCTCACAACGTGCTTGAAATACTAGACAATTTGATCTAGAACCGAGAGAAATTTACATAGAATACGTGTAAAAATAACATTGTGAAGTAGAGTACTTTGGTATTCACTGTCAAGAAAGATCCATAGTCCATTTTTGACTTTGAAGGCCTCTCCCCTTTTTGGTAAGCTTATCAAGAACTGCAAGTTTATACAAAAAATAGGGTCATTCAATTTCTTGTATGTGTTTTCACTGAATATAATGAAAAAGGGACTGTTATTGTTACAAACTACCAAACAATTGGGCTATTCCTTAAGTTTGAAAGTGAGCTTACATCAAATATACCTAACTTAAGAGACAATGATTTACTCAGAAACCCGCACACTTAGGCAAGTAAGAAAAAAATTTGAACAGAACAGCCAAAAATACTTACTTTAAGTAGCTAGGAGATAATTGAGAGTGAATTGAAATATTCAAGTTTCAGTAGACACATATCAAATGCCGAAGATCCAAAACTGAGGCTGCAATATGACTGCCTGCAAAAAGGTAAATTTTAAGCATTACTCCTCATTACTATTAGCTAAATTTTACAATTACAAAATGTAAGTTTTGTGGGCTATAAAGGTATGTTACTCTTAAATCTTTGAGAAATGAAATGATGTAAAATTACAGCGTTAATTGGGAGGCAATATATACTTTCCTTTAAGTTTTTTTGAAATCAGTAGGTATAAGCACTACCCCTCCTGATATACTGCTTACTATTAAAACAGGGTGGTTTTTTTCTTAGAATTATTCTCAATACCTACATTGAATTCAAATTACAGTAAGATCCTGGTTATCCGATATAGTTAAGATAAAGTGTATGGTCAAATACAAAGTAGCTGACGGGACTAAAACCGGCTTTTTCCTGCAAAAACTGAGAATATATGTGGTTTTTCTGTCCTTTCCCCCCCCTTCCCCCTCCATTATACAGCTATGTTTTGCAAGTAGGTATCTACAGTAGAATATTGTCCAAGCGTGTGCTTTTAGATACAAATAGAGCCTAAAATGGTTCAATTTCAGTCTATATTTTCTTAGTGGTTTCAATATCTGACGTGGCCCTCGCCACAATTTGTCGGGTAGTTAATGCACCACTGTACTGATTAATTTTCAAGAAAAAAATAATTACTTTTAAATAAGCTGTACTGATAAATATACTTCTTCTGTATAGAGGAGTTCAGCAGCAATGAGAATGAGTAGGTAAAGCATTCAAAAAAATTGACAATGATAGGTATAATTGAGAGTAAGAGCTCGCACATGAAAAGATCTGCAATCTTGGCTCTTGTATTTACTTTCAATGCTAAGCTGAAGATAGCTGCTTGATTCTCTGTTGCACTATATAGGTTGTGCCTTAAGTTAGAAGTGTCTTCAGCTAAGTTGGCACTTGCTTGCATTCCGTTTGCGAGCGACCGCAATGGAGTCGTCCATTATGTATCAAGGATTGACTACGTTCATGATCAGGCTATTGTCAATCCTTGATCAATTGCGAGCGGAATGTTAACAAGAGATGTCGCCAGGTAAGTGACATCTCTATTTGGTATGGACGCTGTTCAAGATGAAAAAAAGATTTGGCAAGTGGAAATATTTCTGACAAGACAGGAATTATTTATTGCTACAAAGATTCCAATCTGTTTCTATAGACACTTGTCCAAGTTATAACTCCTTCAATTAAGACGACGGAGGATTTATTCCCTTTCTCATGGGATCTTACAGAATCAGCGCTCAAGGGCATCATATTTATTGGACAAAAGTCTAACAGAGAAAACCTATCTGGAAGTTGTCAGAGAATACATCTTGGTTCAGTTGTGTCCAAAAAAACACATTTGGTGTCCTCACTAAAGAGAAGAACACGCAGAGTTCACTAAAAGCACTTGCTGTTTCAGACGATAAAAAATTATACAGTCCCTCGTGAACATCGGCTGGAAAGTTGTAAAGTGACCACAAGTTGACACTCAAATGCATCGAAGGAGCAATTATGTGCTTTTGATGGATTTCAAAAGGAAATATAAAAGTTAAAAAGTGAGAGGATATTGTGGCGCAAGCAAGCTATACTCGTTTTACCACTATAAAAATAAACTTGTACCGAGAATGTAGTGGGGATCATGAAGTGAGGTCAGGCTAAAAAGGAGTCATCTGACAGAAAAACTCATGACCAAGATTTTCCTGAAGTACTTACAAAGCTGTGTCATCTCAATACAGGTCAAAAACTTGCTAACCTATTATACTACTTAAACTTGATACATGATAAGACTTCGCGAGCCCTCGCCCATAAAGGGTTGATACAGGAGTGCTGAATATTGATTATGAATATTCTCAGTTCCCAGCACAGAAACTGATGTAATTAGTAATCTAGTTGCAGATATTCAGGGCAAGGATCTTGAAATTTCTGTCATCAACCCTTGAACTTTCAAGATAGGTTAGAGAGACTATCACAACAATCTTACACCAGAGCTTATTTATTACAGATACTTACGTGCCGAAATCACGTCGAATACATTTTCTTACGAAATGAACAATTCCGTGGATCGCAAATATTAGTCAATATATCAAACAGCACTAGCGGCAAACTTGCAACTTATCGGTATCGGACGCTGGCAGCCGCCATAGCAACTTTCACAACCCTCCCCTTTCGGAACGGGCCGATTTTCATCCCTGAAATCCTGAAAAGCATCCCAGCTTTCCGGAGAACAAAATTTCCCCACTCCAGTTTCGGCTACCCTTCTGCCCACCCCTCACTCGATTCCAGGCTCCCTGATCCCCGCCTTCTCTGCCTATATTCTCAGTTTTGCAACCCCCACACCCTTCGCCTGCAAATCCTAACTCTGCAATAAGCACAGCACAGTGGGAAAATATACCCCACCCCCACCCATGGCTCTATACCCCTCTTTTCTCGTTAACCATTTCCCCTCCTCCTCCTCTCCAAAGCTCCAAGCCAATGTATGACAGCTTTTCTGAATTCCTCTTCTCTCAATTCCTTATATCGAAAGTTCTTTTCATTCCTCGTTGAACTTAGGACTTTCAGTCACGTGATGTTTTTGTTTACTAAGTGGATGCATGAATCACCCTTTTCCCGCGTAATTTCATGTTATCAGATATGAATGATAAGATGAAATAAAACGAATGAAATGAGAAGTTAAAAATAAGTTCAGTTCGCGTTTTAGTATCTGTTTTGCACCTTGTTTTTTGCTTCTGAAGCAAACAATTACGTGAAGTCGACATTCAACATCTGCTTCTTGGGACACACCACTTATCTGCCGTCAGTCATGAGTACCTGTCAGTTATCATGTGGGTGAATATGTGATTTTTTTACCTTTAATCATTGAACCAATCCTCATTGTTTAGTTGTTTAGTCTCTGCTGAAATCTCCATTAGCTTATCGGAGTCATCCAACGTGAGCCTGAATTTTTTCTCGTGAAAATATAATTTTCTATTGAGGAAGGTTACGCGCTTTGCCATGCAGTCATCTTTTGTTTCTCCCACGGTAAATCTCTTCACTGGAAGTAAAAAATCATCAAGATATTGTGAAGATTTCACTGACATACTGCTTACACTCTCAAATATGACTTTCAAATGGAACGATTATCTCTGGAAGAATTTATATTTGCTGACAAAGAGTGGTTGTGATACGGCCAAAATTAACGTGACTGCATCGTTGTTTTAACGTCATTTTTGGCAGATGCCAGTTGAGTAAGCCGATCCTATATTTCTGCTGAGAGTTTTCAACTGCGGTTTTGTACCCTGCAGTATGATTAAAGAAACGAGTTATTTCATCATGTTATGCGTTCAGATACTTTCTGCTTTAGTTTTAGACCTTCAGGAGAGATGTTTTAGGGTAGTTGGCTGATATTTGCTGCTAGGCATAGGCATTCAGTTGTTCCACTTTGGTAAAAGGAAGAAGTAAAACCAGTATTTTGGTTTTTGAACAATATCTGTACATTTGTTGACTGTTGGTGAAGGTTATACGTGATACGGTTGTGTGATCATCAGAACATCCTTGGCACATGCCTCCGTAATAAATGTATTTTGTCATTTTGATGATATTGAATGACCTATCCTTAGAATAAAATGACGTTGAGAATCAACAAATGGACATCAAAATCTGCCTGGAGCAGACGTGGAAAACCAAATGGTTGATGGTTGCATAGACCGCAAATATTAAGAGTCGTCGCCATATAAGTTTATGCACTTTTAAACTGTAACAGAGGATCTGATGGTGTTAGCTTAGCATCAAGATTAAATGCAATTTACTCTCAATTTAATTAATAATTCTGTGAAAATTACGAAGAACGATGTTGATTGTTTTCTTTTAAAACCATAATAAGAGTGCAGACTTTAAAATATCACAAATGAGATACATGTTTTAGAAGTTTCACTGTCGTTATGTAATTTATGGATTAGTCTTTAATACATAATCTCCTCTTTTGTTGATTCCAGATGCTGATTCCATCCTCTTAGAGCTTCTTGAAGTAGCAATTCATCAAGTTTTATATCAGAAGAGTATCTATCCAGAAACTATATTTGTCCTTAAAAAAAAGTACGGAGCGCCTGTCCATGTAAGGATCTCTCCTTCCTTTTCATTCTCATTTTTTTTTCATGTTACGTCAATGTTGCTGTAGTCCCCAAGTACCAGTAATCCCAATGAATAACAATTTTATCGGTCGGTTATTGTGATTGTACTGCTGCCAATTTATCGCGATATCATTGAATGAAAAATTCTAATGTATCATGATTAAATCGCCGTACAATGCCATTTTTGGTTCAATAAAATCGCAACCTACATTTGACGATAAAATCAAGATCAAATCACCATATAATGCAATTTTTATCTTGATAACATGATAAATTGCTAGGCAATGAAATTGATGATAATCGCTCAGATGTTGATGATCCTAACGATTTTATCGCCGATAAACTCGCAATAAATGGTGATTTTTTCGTTGAAAAATGCTACTTGGGTCAAATGAGGAGTGTCGATGATGTCACACCAAGAAGATTAAAGACGCTCCATTAGCATCCTGGCAATGCTAGAAATTTTTACTTTCAGGGACTCTTTATTTCTTCATGGGCAGCAGTTGTTATCCTACCTTATCTTTGGCTGTCAAGCTTTTGGTTAAGCAGAGCATAGTACTTAGTAACAAATTAAGCATATTATAAGTCAGAAATTTCAAATTAGTGTGATTTTTGGTGACATTTTGATCAAAATAGGTTGTTTTGATTTGAGTTACCTATCAAAAATACAATAATAATTTGATTTTCCTATGAACTATGGCAGAAGCCTGAGTGGAATACTGGAAATGCTTGATAATTCAAAATTCATTGAAACACACAAAACCACAAAAAATATGTATGGACGAAATGAAGAAAACTTTTAAAAGTGAAAAGCCAAATGACTTACCCGCTTGCAGGAAAAGCAATGAGATGATAATCCAGGTATTATACGGTATTCTAAATAGATAAACCAATTTTCAAAATTTGAAAAGGATCAAATAATCATACTTGACAGTTTGTGTGCCAAACTTTATCTCCTAGAAATATATAGTGAAATTGGACCAGAGTCTGCAAATATGAATTAAAATTTCTAGCTCAGTTTAGTAATGACGTATGTATCATTTATTTCCCTATGTACATAAGTATTTTTACATATGAGTCATATATTGTAGGTCCTAATTTTGAAATTTAATCCAATCAATAGCATCTTTCTATGAGGGAGGACCTAATATTTTAGTTGTAGATTTTCTAGAAACTTCCTAAATTATGAATGGAATCATATTCTAACTTAAAAAGCACAAAAACCACACCAACTCTGAAAAGTCTGACTCCTCCAAAAATCGTTTAAGGTGATTCGATGGACGCCATATTTTGTGTCAGAACGGCATGCGATTTATCGCATCAATTGGTTCCATATTTTCAGCTACTCGTCATTTTTCTCCTATTTTGAGATCGCGCTTCTGTTGTCAGGAGTCTAAAGCACTCACTTACCAATTTTAACAAAGAAATTCAACTTAATAAAGGCATGGTTTTTTCAGAGAGAAAACATCGCATTCGATACTGATATCGAAACTGCACTCGAATGCGATATTTTCTCTCTGAAAAAACCACGCCTTTATTACGTTGAATTTCTTTGTTAAAATTGGTAAGTGAGTGCTTTAGACTCCTGACAACAGAATTGCGATCTCAAAATTGGGGAAAAATGACGAGTAGCTGAAAATATGGAACCAATTGATGCGATATATCGCATGCCGTTCTGACACAAAATATGGCGTCCATCGAATCACCTTAAAGTCTTATTTTCCATGAATTCTCGTGCCTTTGCATTTTTCAAGTATTGCACTTATCATTTTTCTTTTGCATGATATAAGTATTTCAAATCTATTGTGCTTTGTTTTGCAGGTATCGCGATACCCACCTCTGAATTCATATATTAATGATTCATTGATGGCCATCAAAGACCTATTACTGCGAAAGCAGCTGAAGAGCGTTCATGTTTGCTTCTTTAACAACAATTATTCTAAACTATTAGAAAGGCTAGTCTTCAACGTGCAGAACGTTTTTAGTGAACTGGATCCAGAAAAAGCTGAGTAAGTAAGAATTCCCCCCCCCCTTTTCTATAGTTTATTTCTATTAGCATAGCATGAATGGAACATTAGACAAGGTAAGAATTAAAACATTCCGATATATGCTTTCCGTTTAAAATTGTACTTACTTAGATCATAATACACACAACATAATTACTGAAATTGTCTCCTAACTAAGATACTAACGTTTTCATTCAGAACTGGTTACTAAAAATTTGAGCTTCCCTCTCATTAAAGAAACCCAAGTCTCAAATTGCCCAGTACAACAGTTCCAGCAGGTTTCTTTATCTAGCAGTTTTTTCTCCCCATTTTGTGTTGTTCAAAGTGTTAAGAACATGTAACAGCTGAGCTGATGCAATGAGATTGAGATTGGCCCTAATTTTACACCGCAGAGACTGTTACGGTAATGTTTTGCCTGTTTTAACTCATGTAGATTATGGTTTTTTTAATGAGCAGGAATTTAGATTTATGCATCAAAAAACGTTAATATCTGGGTTAGGAGTTTCTTTAAATAATTTTGTCAAACAAGTTGTGTTCTTTGCAAAATTTAAATAAGAAAATATATCATAATGCCTAAATTTGCATATTGTCAACTGTCAAGTGGCTCATTCTATCTACTTAACATTGGGATCACCCAAGCGAAAAGAAATCTTTGTTGTTTGAGGGAAGTCTTTCAGTAGAGCAAATCTTTCTAAGTTGGGTGAAAAAGTGGGAATTTAAGTTCAAGACAAGTAGATTTTTACAATTCAATTCATTTTCAAATTGAATATTCAAGGAAAATGCTTTAATGCACTTGGGAGCTCTTGAATTTTACATCACTTTGTTATTTTATTAGCGACTGCCCAGCAGATTAGCCAGTATTTCTCTTGCTGTATGTAGCAGCTTTTGAAATGTTATTAAGAGTTGGCTGCCCATCTTTCTTCTGCTCAGTAATGTATATGTAGCAGGAGGTAAATGAGTAGGGAGAGGTAACCTCCATTTTAAGCATTCTTAGATGTCTTTAACATGTTCTACATCCTTGAGAGTCTATAAGTTTAGTCTTAAAATGCTGTCATGAACCCTGTTTCTAATCCTGTGTCTGTTCCATTATGCAGTCAAATGTCTGATCCTTATCTCACAAAACTGCAAGAATCCATACGTGCAGTTTGTTTGAGGCTGACAACCATCAGTGCTCACACAAAACCTCTCGGTGAGGAAGCAGCTTTTCAAATTCAAATTGAAACAACAGAATCTGCGGCAGCTTCCCTTGCAGATGATCCTGATCATGATGTATGTTTGAATTCAATTTATTATGCTTTTTATTATATTGCTTCATGGTTTCCAATTAGCCTTCAAAGATATTGCAATTAATTTTCTTGTAGAATGCTGCGTTTTAAACAAGATAGTTTATTCAAACTGATATAGCTTTTAATAATCATACATACTTAAATGGCAGAAAATTGACCTTAGCTTATCCTATATTGTTCAAGAACTCAAATAGCCAATTTCTCGATAGTCTGAATTTGTCTAAATTTTGCTTTATCTTTTCGAGGCACATGATTAACTTATTTGATGCTATTTATTTTATTATATTAAGACTCTGCATGATATATATATGATATTTGTGTAATTCACCCTTAAAAGTAATTTAATGCTTTTTTTTGCAAATACTTTTTTGTTTACCATGTAATGTCAATGTACCATGCAGTTGAAACCACTCATTATGCACACAGTTCATCTCTTATCGGTCGATTGCTTCTTCTCAAAAGAAACGCATTCAAGCACTTGTTTTCATTCTCGGTTACCTTACTTTTGACTAAAACCAGGAAGAAGTCAACTGGTACCAAATTGAAACTAAAAACTGAAGTAGTTTGACGTTGTGCTCCTCTTGAAACTTGATGAAAAACGTACAGTTTCAACCTCAATTACCACAAACTAAATGTTCTCCGCTAAATGTGTAAATGTGTTTGATTTTGGACTGTTGAAAATAAGTCTTTACTAAATAAAATGCTCTCAATTCAATTTTCTCTAAAGCACAGGGGTTCTTTCTAGCTAAGCTGGGAATATTTTAAAGGTTCAGAGCTGTAGGGCAAGCGGCTCAAGCCAATATGTTGCAATGTTATGAAGTTCATTTTGAGAATTTATTTATTAATGCCAGAACAATTGAAAATTTTGTTTTGCAATTCTAATTTCAATTAAATTGTATCTTGCAAAAACCACTTGTGTCTATTTTTTCAGGTTTTAATTTTTTTGGTTGATAAAACTTTATCAAGATTAGATACACAACTATGAAAGAGGTGTAAAGACTAGTATTAGGGTTATCAAATCTTCTTATGAATTTTTACACCACTTGCATGATATTATTGACTCTTGAAAAGTATTATTGATACAAGAAAACTTTAAGCTTAAAAAATGGAATTCTTGCGTGACATGATTCAATTCTCTTTGTGATGCGCACAGAAATTTGCCGGAATTTTCCATTTAAAATATGCACCCATCAACAAATAAAGAAGTAAGTTGCCTTGTAAAATCTTGCAATGTTGCAATCAATTGAAACGGTTAGTTTTGACCCTTTCATAAATTTATCAGAAATCAACCTTTGTGTTGTATGAGGATGCAAAACACTATTTATTTTGAAAGTTTGAAGATCTGTGAAGTTTATGTTTTCTTTCTGTTTTGTTTTGTTTTGCTGTGTTTATTTCAAAATCAAATGTTTATAATTTTTCAGCATTTCCCTTGGATTGAAATCGAGGATTGTAAATTGTCTCAAGATCCCACCAGCGTAGAGTTATTGCCAATCAGGAACATCAAATCTGACTTGTTTGAGGTGGAAATGTTTTACCAAAAAATGGAATGATTCTCGCTATCTGTCTGTAAGTGGTGAACATCAATGATTCTTTTTGTCCTCTGTATTCTATCAATATGTCCCTAATTCCCAAATTCTCAATTCAGTGGACCTGTCAAAATATGTTTTCTTTTTTTTTAATCTTTCTCTTCTTCATATACACTTTATAACTTGATTTGTCACAAGGGGGCTGATTATAACTGAAAAATGTGTGTGTTAAATTAGTTAGCGTTGATTGAACCTTCTGTTCAAATTAATTTTAAGGTTTTATTGGGTTTTTGTACAAAATGTTAACATCACTTTTTAAATACAAGTATTTACAGAATACACACAATAACAAAATTACTTATTCAAGTAATAACATAAATATCAACCATGAAGTAAAGTTTGCTGAGACTTTTTCTATTTATGGGAACTTTCAGTCTTGCTTCCAAGAGGAACTTGAATTTTTTGTTCCCATTCTACCTCGTTATCTACAATACTTTAAATTGTTTTCTACATTTCATTTTATTCCCCTCCCAAGCAATTTTTCTTTGATCATGGGGTCCATAAATTGTTATATTTTCCTTTTTCTTACCATCTGGAAGAAATTCTCAAATAGTTTACGAACAACAAGGAAGCTGATTTTTGAGAATTACTTTCTAAAGTCGTTGAATTCCTGTTTTTGTTGGTACAGTAATGCCTCGATTATCCGCTCATCAATTATCCGGTGTGACAATGAGACATATTAATCTGATATGTTTCTTGTTTTTACTTCATATTTTTCTAGTTTTTTTCATTTTTTCTGTACGCACTTAGTGTGCTTTTATACAGTATCAATTTTAAGACGTTTTTGGTCTCCAGCTTGGGCTTCTGTCACAATTCATTCAACAGTTGAGGTATTACTGCACTTCTCATGATAAGAAATAAGAGGAGAGAGCTTACGTTTTCAGGATCATTGAAACATGCAGAACAATTTTATTATATGTTTTTTTTTCTGATCGGTTTATTTTAAAATTATCTTCATTCTGCTGGTACAGTCTCTTAAAGTCTCTACGGTATTCAATTGGCAGAACATAAAATCCAATTATCAGAACTTTGAGTTCTTTTAAGTTTGTAGTGCATTTATTACAGGCTATGAAGTAGCTCGAAGAAAACTAGCAGGCCAATCATTACAACTTCATTGGTAACAAAATGAGCCACATTGATTGATAAATTACTCAATCTTCAGGTCTGGCCACTGGTATTGAACTCCTGTTTTTGTTTTGTTTTAAGAGATACCAAAGTCAATGAGATATCAGGACATGAGAAAAATTAACAAAAAGCCAATCAATAATCCTAATATATTTTGGCTGGAACCAGGAGCGCTAGATCCTTTGTGTGGTCCAATTTGTGCTGCGTAGGAAATCACATGAGCTACAAAGGTTTGTTCGTGAACGCCATGGAATAAATGTGCCATCGGCCCTGCAATAAAAAATACAAATTTGGTTAATCTTCTTTGCAATGAAAACTTTTAGTCCGTGAAATTGTTGTGATTTATCCTTCTTATATACCCATTCAATTAATCTAATTTTTATTTCCTTACCAGTTGCGTAGACTGCTACATCACCACCTCCATGATGTGCCTCGTCATCAGGCACCGCTGCAATGTGCGAGTAGTCCCAGGCGGTTGTATCAACTGTCGTTGGATCTTTCCTTGTAAATCCAGAACCTTTCCGCTCATATTGGAAATTATTCATTCCACCGGTCGCGTACATTAGTGTTGTGTATGGAATTTTATCCTCCCGAGAAGTCTGAGCAACACCTGCAAAGACACATTCAAAATCCACAACTTAAGGTATGTTCCAAAATTTTTTTGCATGGAGTTTGAGGTTGATCGGCTCAAGTTTTTTTTGAAGAGGGGACTCTCAACACATGACAACATGACATCTTCAAGAGGATCCCTTCTACTCTCAAATGAAACTCAACATGATACTTCAACGGATCAGAAAGCTTCATTCACAAATGTCCCATCAGCTTCAATCTCGAGGTCTCGCTTTGCTGCATGAGCATTTTGAGCATGTAATGATTTTTTTATCTATTTTTTCATTGAGGTATTGAAAGTGAAAACTCCTTGTAATATTTGTCAGGTTTCGCCTTTCCTCAATAATTTTCACTCTTTTATACCACAGTACTTTCTCCACAACGAATTGGCAACAGACTGAACTATGTTTTGCTTATGAAAAACTTTAGTCAAAACAAGCGGCACTGGGAATAAAAAGGGAAGTTCAAGGGGCCAGATTATTCCTCCACTATGGCGAACTTTTCCTTATAATGCGTCATATTATTGAAAGAGATTATTGTATTACATGTGCAAATTTTTAAAAGAATTTTAACAGCCAATACGTGTCTGATTACATTTTTGGAAACTTTGTGTCCTTCACGGCAAGAGGAAATTAAGTGAAGATGTTTCCTAATTCGTATCCCTGTCGAATTATGATTCTCTTATCCGTGGCCAGTATCTTATCAAATTTTTTATAGAAAAACTAATGAACAAAGTTACTTTAACTTGTCACCTAATAATATTTTTGTCCGCAAAATTAATCACTGAAATTTCCTTGAAATGAAGTGCAAAACTTTTGAAGAAAACATCAAAACAATGTTGAGATGTTAAGCAACATAGCGTCTTAGCCTGAATGGCGCTTGTGATACTTTGGCAGGAGAGGAGGGTAACGGTATATCGATAGCCGAAGTGCAAAACTTGTATCTCCACTGCGGTGTTCCAAAATTTTTGCCTCTGTTTTATTTTTTCCAAAGAAAACAAACCAACTTTATAGCTTGAAATTTATGCAGAATATTCTGCTAACAGGTAAGAAAAATCGAGGAAGTTCCCTAGACATTTTGTTGACTAGTTTTCCGAAGAAAAAATAAAGTACAACAGGAAGTTAGCAACGTCGGAAACGGAGATACGTGGTTCCGTATTTTGGCCATCGATATGCACTCATATCGGTGAATGGAAGAATTGAGCAATCCAAATTAAAAAAATTGTACATCCCAATCATAGCTACCTAAAATATTCCCTCCTCGCTCTGGATACCCATTAATTGTCAAGGAGTGTGTATGATCACTCGTCACAATTACGAGTGTGTCATCAATCGCTTTCATTTCATGCAGCAGCGTCAGTGTCTTTTCAATGGCTTGATTAAACTGGATAGTTTCTTCCAATGCTTGTCGCGCATGACCTCGGTGATGAGCAAAATCAATCATACCTCCCTCTACCTTAGAAAAAACGAAGACTTATGAAACATGAAGTACCTAATGGTTGAAACTTCAGAACATAAAATTTTTTTAAAGGACGGTCTGGACTTAAAAAATGCTGAACAGCTGAATAATTTGTCGTTAGATTGAAGGTGAACAAAATTACGGGGGTATGCTGATAAATAACATTTAATAACGTTATTTGTAATTTTCTATTTTTTCCGATTTTTTAGAGGAGTTTCTGCCGAAGAAAATCATGCAATTATCATTTTTTTTCCTTTGATCGGATATCCCCTATAAAATTCTTTGAACTTGACCAAATGGCCCTTACAAAAGGCCTGATTTTCCTTCCAAAAGCCGGTATTCTAGGAAAGTTAGCCTCCGTTCTTTTTAAATCTCCTGGCATTTCTTGAGTGCTATTTAAGTTCCAAGACCGCCACTTTTCTGTTTTTAAAAATGACTAACTTTTTATCCTTTAAGACTTGTCAGAGGGAATCTATGATGTACAGGTTAGTTTGTTTTATCTACTTCGAAAATAAAACAGAAAGGTTAAAAGCAACAAAAAAATAATGCATTTTGTCGGGTCATCAAGAAAAAGGGGCTATTTTGAACAGGAGGATTGCCTGAAAGAGATGTTCAAAGTTTCATAGTGGAATCTGTTCCTGAAAGATGCACATGTGATGATTGATAAGCAAAAAAGGCATCATTTGCACATGAGAATTGATTAGCATATAAAGTATCATTTGTAGAGGAATTCGAGGGATTTTGCATCTCCATAATACCATCTTTTAGTTGGTTTTCGAAGGAAATACAGTATTGCGTTCTTCCTCATGATGGAATCTAGACCGAGGACCATGTGAAGAGCACCGATCTTCAGGCGTAGATAAAAAATATACATGCCATTCATTTTTTTTTTTTTTTTTTTTTTTTTTTTTTTTTTTTTTGTATCAAAAGCAAGAAGCATAGAAAAGAGGTTTTATGTATACAGCCTCAAGGGCACCAAGAGTATTTATTTTGTTTACACTTGTTTCTCAGTCCCTCCTTTCAATCTGCTTTCTCGTTTAATTAAGCTCTCTCATCATTTTTGAAATTTTCTTATCTCTTTTTTTCATACCAATCAAGAGACACCATTATCTCTGGATTATTCTTTTTATTGTTTGATCATACCACTGATATCTCTCGTGACATCATCAAACGTACATAGGCACTGTTGATAGATGTATACTCTGTCTTTTCCACTATGTGATTCCCTATCACATGTTTCAATGTCTTTCTCCCACATCAATGTGCAGTGCCCCTCTTACTTTTTAGTGCTTATTTCATATTTTGTTTCTCATGTTTTCATGTAATGACATTTTATAAGTCATTGCATTGATTCTTCTTGATTTCTGTACCTATTTCTCCTCAATTAGCTCGTTTAAAACTACGTAGTACATTTATATCTGACAGGACCTGACATTAGGCCTTCATCCGCCCACATGCAGACCTGATAGGAGTATTCTGGAAAATACATTAAGTGGAGTGAAATAAAAAATCTATTAAATAGTGACATTATGAATATGGTGTCTTAAATTGACCTACCCTGAGAAAGTTTACTGTGGCTTAAGTGAAATCTATTGATCCCTGATTTTTCTGTTGAAGAAAGTTTTGGAAAGACAGATGATAAATTCATCTATGAAGATAAAAGATGTGCCAGTCCTGTGCTAATCAGGATGCAATAGTTCACTTGGATGAAGAGAAATTTTCTTGCAATGATAAATGTTGTTTTGCTCGCTCGCTGGTTGTTTGCTTGTGTGGCTAGAATTAATTGAGGAATGATTCTCATAGTTGAATATCCTTGAAACTTACCACAAGAACAAATCCTCTTTCATTTTTGCGTAACATTCGAATAGCAGTTTCAGTCATCTTTGAAAGAGATGGCATTCCATTTCTCGATTTATCCCTTTCGTTTTCCATCTTTAAGTGTCCATTAGCAAAAATTCCTGGAAAAAGGGGCTGAATATCAAACAAATTTATATTTAAGCTGAGCTGTTACTTGATTAGGGGTTGAGGGGTTAGATCATGAATATCCTACAATACACACTGAGGATGCATCTATTACAAAGTACAAAGTACAAAGTACATCAAGAAACGCCGGTATCTGAAACATGAGTTATAGCTTCGGCTGGAGAAAAAAGGGAGAAACAGGACTTACAGTAACTAATGAAGGACAGAATTTAGATAATTTACATTGTAAATTAGGAAGAAAGGGCTGAAAGATAAAATTTAGGTCTGATTAGTAGAAAAAACTGAAAGATTAACAAAAGGGGCAGACAGGTAAGAAAAGGGCTGAAAGAATTATAAATTGGAGAAAGGGCTGAAAGTTAGAGATAGGTAGAGGTCTGAATAGAGGATATAAGGACTGATAGATAAAGAAAAAGGGCAGATAGAGAAAAAATAGGGCAAAAGTAAAAAAGGTCTGAAAGTGAGAAAGAGAGAGTTGATCGAGTAAAGTGATAATGGATGCTTCTGTCGTCACAGTAGTGTTGTCATCGGTGAATCTGAGGAGTGAGACTTGTGTAAAGTAATGCGCGGTAGGACTTCTGTAATCTCTGTTACCATCGGATGCTTAGATTGAATCTCTTCCAAGAATATAACCATAGTTTATATTATAAATTGTTATTGGATGTAATATCTAATGAAACTTGAACTTGATGGATTTACATCTTGGATCTGTCACTCAATGTCTTTGGGAATATTGACCTGAATGACCTGAACCTACTCTTTACTATCTGTCAGTTTTATGTGTTAGTAAACAGATTATTGGGACCCAAGATACATAATAAATGTAGGTATTAGTATAGAATGGTTGTGGACTATTATTATGTAGTGAAAATTCATATGTTTGTGTATTCATCCTACTTTTCAACATGGTATAACTTTTTGCTGCAATAAGTACCTACAAACTTTTGATAAGTAAAATAAGTTCAAATTCAACAAAAATTACTCTATTCAGAGTTTTAGTGAAACTTCTTGTCTCATTGATGAAATGAAAGAGGTCGAAATGCTATCCTTTTTTGAGGAAATAAAAGACTCGCCACCCCTGGACCATTCTTCTTCATACTCTGTATTTTGAAGATCAACTAGTCCTCAATCAAAGGCTCCCACTGGCCGACTGAAAATCATATTGTTTTGTCCCATCAGAGTCAGGATGAGGAGTTAGGACACTGTCTCTAGATCCCTTGCTTGGACTTTCTACTAATTAGATCCCTGAACTGGGATTACTGGTCTAAGTAAAATTCAAAGATTTTAGCTAAACTGGCATGGACTGGAACTTAAGTTATTGAGTAGTGAAATGGCAGGGAACAGAATCATCTTTTTTGCTCACCCATGACGAAGCTGACATGATCGATATCAAGAGAGTCCAAGTCGCCACTTTGATTCAAGTATGCATAAGTAAACCCACGCCACTTTTTATCATTTTGCCACTGGTCGATAAGGTCCAGGCCATCGCGGCGACTGCATGCCCATGTGTCGATGGGGTCTTGCTCTGTGGGAGTGGAGTTTGTCATCAAGCATTGTCGCCCGCCACCGAAGATCACCTACAGCCACCAAGAAATGCTTAGTTACAAACATTTTTCACCTCACTAATTGAGATAAATTTCTGTTAACCATGGCTTGAAGTTAATCCTTTTGTAATATCTCAGTTGACTGTAACCAACATCAAAATAAAAACTTTCCCAGATTTAAAGAAGAAGTTTGTTTGATGTCAAGTAACCTAATGAATGAAATTTCTCATTTATCAGTTTCATCACAATTTTCATCTGATTTATATCCATGATCTGTTAGAATATCACCTTATCAGCATTATCAACAAGTGAATCGGTCTCACTCTCATTAACCTTAATTACTTGATCGACAAGATAACAGAATTGAAACGCTTGCTTGTACTTTTCAAACTTGTTCACTCTGTACTTCTCCTTGTAGTAACTCCTTTGTGGAAAGATGAATAAATAAGTCAATATTAAGTATGAAGTCGTTTTTAATAAGAACCAAGATCCTGAAGATTCTAACATGGTAGCAGAGCGTGGTTAATTAGTTCGTTGGTTCTTATGTGTGTGCATTTGTGGACTTGACGTTTTTTAATTTCGAATCTTAGTGGCGAACGCGAATTTCGGACCCTAGTGTCGGACCTTAGTGGCAAACTTTAAATTTTCGTGAAAAATCTTCGTGTGAACTTCGGACCTGGCAGTTTTGACGAACTTTGAGCTTTCGTGAAAAATCTTCGTGTGAATTTCGTATTTTCCAACCTTCGTGGACTTAAGTTTGATTTTGAACCTTTGTGGTATCTTACCGAAAAATCTTTGTGGTATTACGTATTTCCTGAATCTACACCTGTTCTTAGAATGAACAATCGCGTTCGCGTTATTTTTGAACTTTATTTCACTTCGTGTGAATTTAAACTTGACCTGCGGCAGTTGGTTTGGATGATTTTCCCGTGGCAGAAATATCCGGAATCATGAACAACAACATCAGTGGTATCTTCGTGAACCTCTACTTGACCTATGTGGCAGAAACATCCGGAATCTTGGAACAACATCAGTGATATCTTCGTGGCAAAATCTCTTTCGGATCTCCGGCAAGTGACAACTTCGTAACCTTTTTTTTTATCTTGTATTTAGCCTGTGTGGCAGATAACCTTCGTGGTAATTTTAGCCTGTGTGGCATAACCTTCGTGGTAACCTTCGTGGTAATTTTAGCCTGTGTGGCAGATAACCTTCGTGGTAATTTTATTTTTTTATTATTTCTAGATGATCTTCGTGGTATTTTTTTTATTTAGCCTGTGTGGCGAAACTTGAATTTCAAGATAACCTTCGTGGTATTTTTATTTTTTATTATTTCTAGATGATCTTCGTGGTACTTTTTATTTAGCCTGTGTGGCGAAACTTGAATTTCAAGATAACCTTCGTGGTATTTTTATTTTTTATTATTTCTAGATGATCTTCGTGGTACTTTTTTTATTTAGCCTGTGTGGCGAAACTTGAATTTCAAGATACCTAACCTTCGTGGTATTTTTATTTTTTATTATTTCTAGATGATCTTCGTGGTACTTTTTTTATGTAGCCTGTGTGGCGAAACTTGAAATTGATATTTCAAAATAACCTTCGTGGTAATTTTATTTTTTAATTTTTCTAGATAATCTTCGTGATATTTTTTTTGTATTTAGCCTGTGTGGCAGAGCCTGTGTGGCGTAACTTGAAACTGGTATTTCAAGATAATCTTCGTGGAATTTTGTATTTAGCCTGTGTGGCAAACGGAAAAACCTTAGTGGTATTTCGTAAAGCCTTTGTGGTGTTTAAAATAACCTTCGTGGTATTTTTTTATCTTGTATCGCACTATTGGCCTGTGTGGCAAATTAACAACTTAAAGATCATACCTTTTTTTAGATCTTTGTTTTTCAGCTTTTGCACTTGAACTTACGGATCAAGCTCAGTGGTACTCCGTAAAACCTTAGAGGTATCTCATATTTTTTCAACTTCGTGAGGTAGGTGAACTAAATTCTTATTTCGTGATTTTAATCTCCGTGTATTTGACCTGTATGGCTTTTCAACCTTTGTTGTATCTATCTAAATTTTTCTAAATTTTTCGTGATTGACCTTCGTGGCATCTTAAAATTTTTATTCTTGAAATCTGAAATCGTAATTTAAATTTCGTGATAATCTTTGGTATCTAAATTTTCGTAAGTATCTTAAATTTTAGTAATTTTAACCTTTTTAATTTTTCGTGAACTGAACTCTTACATCCGTGGTATTTCACTTAGTGAACCTAATTTTCTTTTCGAACTTAGACCTTCATGGCATTTAATTTGTTTTACGGTTTTTAAACCTTCATAGTATATTTTGAATATTCGGACTTGTAATTTTGATGAAAATCAAATTCAGCCTATGTGGCATTACCTATTACTCAAACCAACCTTTGTGATTTCTCATTTTAACCTCCGTGGTATTAGTAAACCCAATTTTTAAACTTTCGTAAACTTAATTCAACCTTCATGGTAAATTCTTTGCTAGACCTCTTGTGCAAATATTTTTTATTTAGATCTTCGTGGCAAATTTTTCTTTATGAAATGTAAAAATCAAGAGAGACAGGAGGCGATAATCAGGGTTACTATTAGTAAGGAGGCGCAAATCGAAATTCCCTTCTTTATAAAATTCAGCCTGTGCTTAATTTAAAGTGTGGCGTCGGTGTAATTTAAAACCTTTATAAATGATTTTGAATTTTAAATTCTGGCGGCTAAAATGATCTTGGACTTGTAATTTTGATACAGCTTAAAAATTTTTCTAATTTTTTTGTCTATGTGACATTTCTAATGAATTCAGCCTGTATGGCGCCATTATTCGTGTATTTGTATTTAAACAAGGAGGCGATAGTAAAGATTACTGAGGAGGCGTAAATCAAGGAAATAGATAGATTAAATATTTTGGATTTGTAATTTAAAATCTTTAGAGGTGATTTTGAATTTTAATTACATTATTAGTGAAATTCAGCATTTTGTGACATCAATTTAAATTTAAAATCAAGGAGGCGAGTCTGTTAAACTCCAGTAATTGACGATATTCTATTTCCAGTAATGTTAAACTCCAGTAATTGACGATATTCTATTTCCAGTAATTATTCTAATGTGTGCATATTTAAAATCAAGGAGGCGATGTGTGTAAGTAATCAATTCAAATTTTTGAGAAAGCAATTCAAATTTTTTTATTAATAAGGTACTAGCTTGTTTAATTGATTAAAGCAAGAATTGCGTCAAACATTCCAATTAAGGTTTCGTACTGTGTATATGTCAGCATTATAGACCTTACTGCTGGATCTTTTATTTCGGTTCGTACTGCAGCCTGGAATCGGTTTAGAACCTCATGCCATGATGCCTTATTGGAGCTCTCGATAAGCCAGGACTTGAAGCGTTTCATATTTGACGCAGTAAGTGTTGCCAACTTATCTTGAGCCTCTATGATTGGAGTTATGTCAACCCCAATAGCTGCAAAATCTTTCAGCTTGTCTGCACTTGTAATCTGGTTCATGTTTGACGGCATCTTAAAAGAGTCAAGTTTTGGACGAAGGTCCACTTCAGCCCGGTGTACTGGTAGTAATCAATTGAAGTAATCAATTCAAATTTTTGAGAAAGCAATTCAAATTTTTTTTATGTGGCATTTTTAAAATTTGTGGCATTTTTAAAATTCAAAATCAAGGAGGCGATGTTAGCGATATTCTATTGATCTCCAGTAATACTTTTGTATGTTGACGATCCTTTATTCCTTTATAGATTTCCAGTAATTTGATCTGTATGGTTCACATCCTCCAGAATTTACAAGACGGTTTGTACTAATTTCGGCCAAGAAATTAAGTGTATTTAAGCCACCTAAAGTAATTTTAGAAATGATTTTGAATTTTATTCTGCAAGTGTAAATAAGAAGAGTTTGAAAGTATAAAATAAAATGGTGCCCAGATTTCACTAATGGGTATGCAGAATCAAACCAGATAAAAAAGTAGTTAAGGGTTTTTCAAAGAGTGTGTGAGTAGGAATTTACAAGTTGGTAATGAAAATTTTTTATTTGTTCACGATATTCTAGAAGAGTAGGCAATAAAGTTTTGAATTTCGAAGTAAATGGCAAAATATTTAAAAGTTAATCGAAGAATGTTTTCTATGTGCCTGAGTTAAAGAAAAACTTACTTAGTGAAACAAATTTTTTAGATGATCAGTATAAATTTATTTTTCAAAATCAAAGTGCAATACTGCGAAATAACCATGGAAAAATCGTAGGTATTAAATTAATAAAACTCTATTTGATTTAAATGCTAAATTCAGTAGAAAAATGGCATAGAAAACTAATATAAATTTCCATGATTTACTGTGTTAAGATTCAAAAATTTGTTTTTAAAATTTGCAAATTCCGCTCCCTCCTAAGTAGGCAACTTCTTTCTTACCCGAGAGAAGATGAAATTTCAAATATTAGAAAAACTCAGGCAGTACAAAATTGATACCTCGCACACTGATGTAAATGGGCTCAGTAATCCTGTGGGATTTGTAACTTTTATAAATTGCAATAGTGTACTGTATAAAAAGAAAACGGAAGTCTTTGAAATTTACAAGTCTTATGGAACTCAATCAGGCATTTTGATTAGATTATATGATAATTTAATTTTTCTGAAAAAGAATATGTACTATGCTTTGGCAGATTGTGTTCAAGAATTTTAAAAGTTGGGGATAGATCTTTTCTGTTAGTGTTTTTGTGGACAATTCAGGAGCCGTTCAATTAGCTAGAAATGACGTAGCGTTAAAAAGATTGATTCAAGTAAAAATGTTGCAGACATATTAACAAGCACTAGGAAGCGTTAAATTTAAATACTTCAAATTGACTCATAATTGATAAAATCATACAATTTAATTCTTTATTTCCTTCCTTAATTTCTCATATCAAACTTGAACCTCATTCACTCTTCAGATTTTCAATTCGTATCTTATTGTGTTTTAACGTTTTTCACTTTCTGTAAAATGGGAGTCATAGGAAATGATATCTCAAATACCTTTTCTAGATCTGATACCATTATTTTTCCTGTTAATCATGACCTGTTACAGTATATATTTCTTTTTGTTTTTGCTATAAGCGTATTGATATACCTATTAGTGTCCTGGTGCTTGCAAAATCGTAAGCATAAGAAAAATTTGGCTAGAGAAATTTACAATTTAAAAAGCGTTCAAAATCAAACTCCTCCTTCTTGAATTTTTAAGTAAGTTTATTGTTTTTCCGATTCTATGTTCGTTTCTCCGTCATTATTCCTTTCATATATTGTAGTTTCATTGTCACTTACAAAGTGAGATTTTCTTTTTCAGATAAATTGGCATATATTGTTGTATCTCGTTTCTTAGTGATATTCTTTTTGGTAAATTTGTAAAGATACTTCAGATACTTCACAAATTTAAGGAGGCGTGTTAGAATATCACCTTATCAGCATTATCAACAAGTGAATCGGTCTCACTCTCATTAACCTTAATTACTTGATCGACAAGATAACAGAATTGAAACGCTTGCTTGTACTTTTCAAACTTGTTCACTCTGTACTTCTCCTTGTAGTAACTCCTTTGTGGAAAGATGAATAAATAAGTCAATATTAAGTATGAAGTCGTTTTTAATAAGAACCAAGATCCTGAAGATTCTAACATGATCTCCTAGCAACAAATTCAGTTTTCCATAGGTATGAAAATTAGACTTTTCTGGCAGTTTTATCAAGATACTCTCTCTGAGAATGGACTTACCTAATATCTTTCATAATCGCACTCATATGCAAAAATACGAGTGCTCCAAACATTATCCCTTAAGTTTGAAGTCTTTGTCTCTCTTCCATGTGAAGGGTTAGTAATTCGTATCTACTTTCTGTGATGAAAACATGAAACCGTGGCAAAGTTGATCATATTCTCGAAAGTCTTAAATTTTTAGTGGTTTTTGATTCCTGTTTTTCGGTTTAATAAAACTGGAGATAACTTTACCTTAATATTTCTTCCTGGCTCATCCTCAACTAGTTGCCTGGCAATATCTTTGCAGAGAGAAGAACTCCTTGGCATTTTGGCCTCACATTCCCACCGCCGGTTAGCTACATGGGCGTATAGAGCGCTGGGAGTCGCATGTGTTACCCGTGTTGTAGTTACAAATCCTGTCAACCATAAAATAAGTCAGTTACCACAGAGAGGATTGCATTGTTCAAAAATTTTATTTTTGTTTGAAAGCTAGTTGTACAATAGGCATCTGATCGATGTTTCTGCTATTCCAAATTTTGAACCCACTATGCCTTGGATTGTTTTACCTCTATCTCTCGCTCCCCTCTTCATTTATCTTTTTCTGGGAGCTCAACACTCTTTTATCATAACTTTCATGTATCAAGCTTCTTATTATCTCATAGTTGCACCAATACTATCCAGGATATTGTGCTGTGGTCAAGGCCGGATTTAGGGGGTGGCCATATGGGCCGCGGCCCATGGCGGAAAATTTTGCAATTTTCTTAAATGTAGGTTTAAGAAAAAATCGGATTCAGAAAAATATTACAAACTAGAAAAGGCGACAAAATCTCCAATTTCCTGAGAGTACAGTAATTTCTAATTTTATTGTCTATCGGTGATACAAGAGACATCACCTTTAATTAGTCGAGTTAAGAGAGAAACCAAACACGCAATTTAGTCTGGAGCGGCGCGGCGCAGAGAGCAATGATGACGAGGACTTGAGATAGATGAAAAGGAGAAACCCTCGGCTCAGCGGTCGGCATGAAACACGTATTAGTGCCTACAAGACTGCATGCATACTTCACGCATTGCATCAAACACAGTGAAGTCAGCAGCGGTCGGCATGAAACGCGTAGCGCCTACAAGACTGCATGAATACTTCACGCATTGCGCCAAACACAGTGCGGCAGCGCGGCGCGAGGGCGGAAGTTAAAATTCTTAAACCATATTTATAATTGTTCTTTCATACTTTTTTCGTTCATTTCTTACAAATTGAAGGCCTTGTCCACACAGAGATAGGTTTACGGAACTTAACTTTCGCGCAAAGTTCCGTGAACTTTTGCTAGTAGTGTTGACAGGACTTTCGCAAAAAAATGTGTCCAACACGAGTAAACACGTCTTATGCACCCCTCCCCTTCCGGCACGTTCACTTGATGGTTTTTATTTATGAATCAAAATGAATGATAAGGGGGCGGCAAAATACAGGCGGGTCTTGGGTGGCAAGCGGCAAGCACGTAAATGGCTGCAGCAGCCAGGCTGTGGAGGTGGGGAGGGGGTGATTTTTCTTTAATTTCTTCCTCAGGATAGAAAGTTTTTATCTCTAGTAGGTATTCTGTAACAAGTACCCTGATATTTTGTGGTCTTGAAAATATTGGTTTTTATCGACCTTTTTTTGCACTCCAAAATACCTGAAATCTACAGGATTGGAAAAAAAATACTTCATATTTTGATTTTTTTAAGTTTTTGTCGGGAAAATTATATTCATCTTAGAAAAAGTGTGAAAAAATAATCGAATTTTTCGTGAGTTACCTTGAGAAATTTTTTTCCAATACCTGCTTTGTCAGTGGCACATTTTTATCATAACTATAACTACGGGGCTACGCCTCCTGACCGCTTCGTAGTCGAACCCTCCGAGGCCCTATGCTCCGCAGGCGTTATGCGTTACGCGGAACTTTCATGTTTTTTCTCATATTATAGAGTAAGATATTAAATCTTCAAACGATTCGAAAGAAATTACTATTCTTTCTTTCATTACTCTAGTTTATTCAGAAACTGTTCAATTTTTCCTTGCAAAAGATGTTCTACTTAAACTGCAGGAACAGTAGTTTTTTCTTTTTGNGGGGGGGGTAGGGGGAGAGTTAGTGTTTTGATTATTTAATCGCCGAACAGAAGAATTAATTCCCATCCGAGGACGGTGTGCAAAGTCAAACTATGGCAAACCTGTGTCTTTGCCAGCTTGCTGGGCCCACTCCAGGATGGAAGAGACGCGGGCTTCTTCGTGGAGGGAACCAACGCAATCGTTGAGTTTGACGCGCGCGTCCACCCCGGCCGTCTCGTAGTTCGTTTTGACGCCGCTGAACAGCGCTGTTGCCGTGCACGCTGAATCAGGAACCTGCTTGTCAACGGCATAAGTCTGGAAATCAAAGGGTCGTCAGATAAAAATTCCATCTTCCCATACATTGACGGAACTAGGAACTATTTGGGCTAGGGTGGGGGGGGGGGCTCAGGAAAACACCTCGTTAAGTAGGGCACAAGGGACACTTCAGAAAAACACCTTGTTAAGGTAGATTCGAGGGGCTTGGAGGACCAGGCGCATTAGAGCAGTTTCTGAAAAAATTGAGAAATTCATGATTTCAAGTTTAATACATATTTTGTGAAAAATTCGCTCCCGAATTCCAATTGTTAAGCATCAAATAGTCAGTTTGAACTTGCTTACCGCCATAAGGACCCATTTAATTCCGAAACCTTAAACGCGTATTTCTCGAAATTGCAAAAACTGCACTCATGCGCCTTTGTCCTCCGAGTCACTCATTTGTAAGACGCTCAGCTCCAGATTGGGGTTTGGGGGAATTGGGGGATTTCTCCGCCCCTAAGTGGGGTGCGGAGGCTTCCCCCGAAAATATTAAAGATTGAGTCGTTCCAGGAGAAATTTTGAGCAGTTCTCACCAAAAACTTGATACCATTAAAATTACGAAGGTGATAAACAAGTCATACTCTCATTTCGCAAAATCTTTTATATTTCCTGGGAGGAGCCAATTCGATTTCTGGCTCCATACTATAAATAGATCCGCTCATGGTTCTAAGAAAAAATAACGGAGATTGACCCCAGTAGTCGCCAGATAGTTATTTGATTCGTGCCGAGTTATGCATAAAAAATCGCTGTCATTACCTTCACCAACATATTCAAGAATTTTTGAGCATTCTTCCTAAAATTATTCAAAATCCGTTTAAAATTAACGAACTTTCAGCATAAACTTATTTTTGTAAAAGTTTTCTTGTCGTCCCATTGACTCCAGTTAACAACATTCTTATAGCGTTCATTTTTCAAGTACTTTCGTGGAGAGTTCCCATCTCACACGAAGTACCTCAGTCAGCATATCTTTCAATGATCTTGTTTACGTTAGCGTTGTATGGTCTCCACCGAAGTCGAATTGAAACGTCTCAGAGTAGGAATAACAATCGGAGATGTTCAGCTCTCTCAACTATCCCGGTACTACACGCGATAAGGAACTAAAATTAGTCAGTTTAGAGAGGATGCGGCATGCAAGTGCTTAAGTTTGTAAGGTAACGGTACTTGATAATCCGATCGTCAAGTGTTTTCTGGAAGCAAGCCTCCCTTGTTTCTCTCCAAAAACTCGAGGAAAGCGTTGGAACAACTCTTATTTTTGCTCTGGCAAAAGTTTGCAACAGGCCCGTAGCTAAAAGCACCGCATGCCATAGCCATGTGGTACTTTTCCGCACGAATGGTGCCCTAAATAATGTAACTTAAGCGTTCTCTCAAATAGGAGCGTTCTCTGAACGAAGCGTTCTCTTAAAAACCCCCTCACCGCGTGAGGCAACTATTCGAACACGCCAGTCGTTGAGGTTGCATACTCCCAATTCTGAAGGCTTTTTTTGCCCACGGGCCAGATAGTCTATTGAACAGCCCTCCCATTCACGCTCCTCCTTTGTCTCAACGGAACGGCCATGGTGGCGTAATCATCGGAATAAATTTTTGACTTTCCCAGTTCTGGGCTACATCCTTTGACTGCTCCTCGGCCCAACCCCATCGACGATTTGCTCCGTTCGCACTATTTGAGCATTATTGTAGTTGGCAAAAAATTGACATTTCAAACCAATGCGATTTAGTCGTAACGAAATTGTAAGTAGCTGCTTGTTTCAAGCAAAGCACACGCAGAAAATGCTGTTTTTTCATTCAAAAGAGGGGAATTCATCGATCATTTTTCTTTTTTCCAGGCTGAATGGTATAAAAGTGACATTTTCTGACGATCGGTGCAAAGTTTTTACAGTTCGGTGTTCGTTTGAGCGTTCGTCATCAGCTTCTATTTCTTCTTTTCTACTCGTTTTCTTTTTCTTTTCTTTTTTTTTAATGCGTAGATTTTACTTTTAATCGTTTGCTTCATCAATTCCAAACTAAAATAATCCTCGATTTATCGCGACATGAGTGATTTTAATCAAAGTTTTATGTTTTACAGGCCAGGGCGCTGCGTTTCGTTGTACAGCCGAGTAATTTACCTGTGATGCTAGGCGCTGCGCTGCGATATTGCGCTGGTGTTAGCCGGAATGAATTATCAGCGCTAAACATCGTTGTGCGTAAGGTGATGACAATTCGATTTAAGGATGACAACTCAACATTATTTCGTGGCGCTGACATGCTGCGCTGCTAAACCATCCACGGGAAAAAGGACCTGCTTAAGTGCCGCATAGAAATTCAGCGAGTGAAGGGGCATTCCACAAATAATACTTTGACGCAAAGTCGTTCAAATATGTTAAATTAAACCGTAATTATAACCATGTCTAGTTCAAGAAACGTAGTTGTGGAAAAAGCATTGTGCGAAGGTTTAATACACTCTCTGTTGGCACAAAAATGAACTCAACCATTCGCAACTTATTCTTTTGGATACTGGAAAATGTGACACTCTTTGGTATCTTAACAAATTTGGGGGGATTTAACATCGTTTTTGTGCCATTGGACTAAAAAGTGTACGTTCCAATCCGAACATGAAAGATTGATCTTAAAGTAGCTTTTCTTCAAGATGTTTTCCTGCGCATTTATCGTTGCCAAAGATACCGGTTTAATTCTGGTTTGGTTGCTTCACGTGTCAAAATGCTCGCTAAAAATTTAATGAGTAATGGTGCCGAGCCTCACAATTTTAAGTTTCTCGGCACTTTTCCCGGTGAACAGCCAAAATTAACGGGTCTATATGTAATGTACTTTGCCGTGCTAAAGAAAAACGCCGTATGAACCTTCAGGCCCTGCCAAATTTCCTTTGATAAAACGCGAATTTCCTGGTAATCATATGAATATTTCTCTTCCAATTTTTCAGGCAATTTTATTCGCAATTTCTCCTGACGATCCTGAAAATATCAAGGACAAATATTAATATTTTTCCTCTAAAGTAGACATTTTATGGGAGGAGATTTGGCAACTCTCGAATGTTCATACGGCGTTCTTCCTTAGCACGGCAGTGCTCCTGTACACCTACGGCAGGACTAACCATCGGAAAGCGGATTCATAAAGAGCTTTAAAGGACTGATCTAAAGTTTGAGAAGAAAGAAAGAAAAGGAAGCTTCTCTCGAATGCACTCGTAGGTTGTCGAAGAACAATTTCCGGCGTATTATTCGTCTCAGCAATGCGTAACGGTAAGACAATAAGACAATAAGACATTTGATAGAATTAGGTCAGAGTCAAAAGAATTTTATTGCATTGCAACTTTGCAAGATTTCACTCGAAAATTGATTTCTACGTACATCGACGGGTGCGTGTTTTATAACGAAAAGTTGAAGGAAATGTTGTCAAATTCCTAGGGACAACCCTTAAAAAATTGTTAAAGAAAATTTGCAATCGTTGTTTGTTTAAAGAGATTTTGCCGCAAAATAGCAATGCAACTCATTGAAGGGTGTCTATAGCATCAGGATTTTCACGATTTTCCCAATTCTATCAGGATTTGAGGTCAAACAGGGTTTAATCCCGATTTCATCAGGATTTGAGGAAAAATCGGTCGTAAAATCAGGATTTGAGAAAAGTCGGCCGTTCGATCGGATTTTTTTATCGAGCTATATTTTTATTTTTAGAAATTTTAATTTTTCTCCGCAAATATCAAGATTTGATCAGGATTTGGAAAAATTATGAAATTAAGATTTAGCAGTTAAAGATCAGGATTTCCCATAGTGAAAAAAAACTAGACACCCTGTATTAGCTTATTAGCAGTTTATTAGCCCCGTGGCTCAGACCCCATCATCTGTCCATTCCGTATGTTAGTCGTTAAAAATAGCTGGTGTTATTGTTATTATTTTAGTTTTAATTCATTGAAACGTTAAATGTGTAAACAAAATCAAGTTTTACTCGCTCTTATGAAGACATGATTGATGATTGTTACGCACCTTTCAACGAAGATTGTTCACCACCTGAATCAGTTTCTGTTAGACGGTCGTAAGTCCAAAAACTCTTGAGCCCTAGCGTCCTGCGTGATCGATGAAAGTCAGGGTTCACGAGTTTTTCGACTTTCGGCCCGTCCAACAGAAACCGATGTAATTCCCAACAGACTGCAATTTTATTTTAAGTCACCCTTTACAATTAGCTCTAGGATCATTCGTATTCTCGCCCTCTATTTTTAAAAAAAAATTACTTTGATCAATAAATGAATTATAATAATCAGCTCATTTTTTTTCTTACGAAGTGGTCACAATTCCTAAAATCCGATAATGCATGACTAGGAAAATAGTTCGATTCGTTATATTTAGATTTATCTCTATGATGAGACGGATCGTTGTCCAGGGTGTCTATTGGCCCGGAAAATCCAAAATAGTGCTAAGTTTTTGAAGACAGTCTGAAAATACTGAAAAAAATGAGGAAACTCCACTAGACTGTCCAGAATTTTTCGCCTCATGCCATGCGTGTTTTTCCTTTTTTTTTTGAGGGGGGGAGGGAGAAACCTGCCAACCAAAACAGGTTCCTGCTCAATTACTCCGATGGAAATAGCAGGGTTGCCGGCGGCGGTCTGGAAAATCAGCGAAAGTCAGGAGAATTCAGGGAATTACTAACTATTACTAGAACATATCACTGATTTCCAACTTTTTACCCTTTCTGGACACTTTTATTGCTTAATTGTCATCTTTCAACGATCCATCGAATGCTTTTTTTCATAATTTGATCTCTTCATTAGGAAATAATGTCCGCAGTTTAGCGGAAGTCAGCGTATTTAAAAAAAAAAAAAAAAAAGTGAAAATTTTGTTCAAAGGTCAGGAAGTCAGGGAAAAGAAAAATTGTCGGGGAAAAATCAGGGAATTAGACAATTTTGGAATTATTGAGAAAAGCAAAAATAGTGAGGAAAAAAGCAGGGAAAGTGAGGGATTTGAAGATGAAGAAATCATGGCCACCCTGAAATAGATTTCTCTCGCATAAATGCATCCAGATTAGCAACGAATATGTACTGAAGATGCACTAAAAATGCTAATTTTGAAGACTTGATCCTACTAAGCATAGTCGGCTAATAGTACGCACCAGCGTAAGTGCCCGTAGAAATTGAAATTGTATAATAAAAAAACTGGTATCCTACCTTGAGTAAGCCGGTGTTGGGGAATTTTTCGAAACTGAGGCTGCCATCTTCACCGGCCTTATAAATGCGAGCAGCGGTGATAGTATTGGGTCCCATTCCGTCCCCCACGAATAAAATAACGTTCCGAGCTCTGCCCATGTTCCTGGTTATCCCCAGGGACGATTTCAAATCCTTCTCGCCTTGCGACATCCAGAAATCTTTGTCTGAAAATCAGGATTCAATCAGTCACACTCAAGTTTGCCGAGACTTATCTCATGATTCATCCTCTTGTTATCATTTTAACCATAAGATATCATTACTCTTGGAACTACTTACTCCAGTGGCGTGGCGTGCTTTGCGGTATATCGATTGATCTGCCATTTAAACCTATGGAAAAGTATCGATAAACAGGGTGTTCGCAGCGAACACCTTAATAATCGATTATTTACCACAGCTTCAAATGGGGGAATATCGATAGATCGAAAAGTACGCCACGCCACCGACTTATACTCACTTAAAAATTATCTCAAATTACCCTTATAGACATCTGCGGCCTGATTGTTTGTTGGAACTCAGCGCGACAAGACATCAAAAACCGCTACATTACACTACAGAGAGGGCTATTCTGCAGTGGGAAGGAAGAACGCCGTATAAGCCATCAGGCGTTGCCAAATTTCTCTCGACAAATCACGAATTTTCGGGACAAGTTGTGAATATTTCTCTTCCGATTTTTCAGAGAATTTCGCACGTAATTTGATACATAAGGTCCGATAATGTCAAGGAAAAAAATTCCATAACTGTTCTCAAAAGTAAATATTTTCTGAGAGGAAATTTGGCAATATTCGAACTCACATACGACGTTTTTACTTAGCACGGCAATATTGTGATTTGTCTTGCCTTCATCTTGCTGACAAAATCAAAATCAGACTTCTAATTTTTTCTTAGTCTGCTCCTCTAATCTCAGGTATGAAACCAGCACTAGAAAAGGAGCCAGGAGCCTTCGCTGCATTTTGACCTCTTCCTGTTGAAGGGAAAAATTATTACTAATACTGCATCGAATTCTTGTGCACATCTCTTGTCTATTAAGTGAACGGGCACCTCGTATTATTGAAAACTGCAGTAAAATTGAAGTGAGTTAAAATTTTTCCTTGCATTGGGAAATGCATATCTTTCTGATGCAAAGGATCTTATCCTATCGGTCATTTATTTAGTATCGGCATTTATCGGACCAAATAATGAAGGAATATTGCAATTAATTCATTATAAAGCAGCAATTTTATTGCATTCGATCGCAACTTTCACGGATGAAAAAGTTCAAGGGGTTATCCCCTAACACTTTTTTTCCCTTGAACTACTCAAAAATAATATCAGAGTACCCCTTCTACACAGCTTTTTTTCTCATTCAATGTCTTAACATCGGGTATGAAGCCATGGAATAGAAATGAGGCCCATAAAAATAAAAAAAATTCCTTTTTGAAGAGGCTCGCTAATATCATTTATGAACCGTCGAAAGTCCATCTACGTAATTCAACTCCAAAAATCCAGTCAAAACCCTAAGTAGAACATTGTCTTGATTTAGGATTGTGAACATGTCTCTTTATTGCTATTTTTTATAGTATATTTTGTACACGGGGCTGCATTTGAATCCTGTAAACTTTCCGGATTTTACTCTGATTAAGTACTTTTGAGGTCGTGCAAGAAGTGATGAAACAATAAGTTATTGTTAAATATAATTTTAAATGTGTGTTGGGCAGTACGAAAAAGAGAGAAATAATCATGTTTACCATTGTTTCCTGTTTATTGTTTTGAAAGGATGCATCTGATGACGACTGACTCATGTCTCCCAATGGGAATTCCCGATAATCGTACTTTCACTGTCAGATCACCACTTCGCGAAAGGAGCTTTATAATTTGGAGGAGGTCTTGTTTTAACATTAGGTCATCGGTGTCTGTTGATAAACAATTTTGGCCTCTTGGCATTCCTTTATCGGCACTTATCTTGCTGTGCTGCCTTGACAGGTTGATCGATGCGGATCGCGTTTATCTCATTTTTCGTCGCTATAAAAACTTGCTCTCTAAATGGGGGAGAGATTTTTTTTTATCACGAGGATTAGGAAAACGGTAAATAACCCGTGCGTTATTATTTTCTCTACAGGGGGTTTCAGTCTTAGCGTCAAAAAACATAGAAGGATCAAAATAAAACTATTCTTTTCTCTAAAAATAGGTTAAAATTCTCAAATCCCTCCGCACTTCAAGGGTATGCACTTTACAGGTGTGAACAAATCGGGTCATTCTCGAATTAAAGAGGCCTTTTTTTTGAGGGTTTTTTTTTAATGATTTTGGTACCGCAAGGGGATTTTTAATGCTGACTCTAAGTGTGTGCCAGAGAAAAAAATTATGGAATGAGAATTTCTGGAAATTTTGATGGGACATGCATCATTCAGATGCCAACTCTATTCCGCTGGAAAAAATTGCGCAAAAAACTCTTCCGAGAATTTGTCTCGGTGCAGATTTAGAAATGCTTCTGAATAGATACTCTAAAATTTCATCACGATCCGATTGTAAGAGGACTCTCAATTCAAGGAGAACTCGATTTTTGAGACCTCGGGTTCAAGGGGAGCCGAATATACAATCCCTTCCGGACCCAAAAAGTATCAGAAATACATGTCATCTCAACAATCCTAAATCAAGATTCCTCTCGTTCTAATCAAGTTATCGACTCGCAATGCGGATTTAATTATTCTAAGTAGACTAAAAAGGGTTCATAAACATGAATTGAGAGGCTCGGAGCCAACAAAGCGCATAAGTGCAGTTTTTGAACAAATTGAGGTATACTATTGATTTCAAGTAAAACTATAGCCTTAATGCATACTCTGTGACACTCAAATTCCAATTTCTAAGCATCAAGAAGTCAGTTTGAACTTCTTTTCCACCATACTGCCGTGGTAAGGAAGAACGTCATATGAACCTTCAGGTGTTGCCAAATTCCCATTGGTAAAACACACGTTTTCCGGTAAACTTATAAATATTTTCCCTCTAATTTCTCAGATAATTTTGTTCGAAATTTCACGTAAAGTTCCTGAAAATTTGAAGGGAAAATATTCATAACTTTCCTTTAAAAAAAAATAATTTTATCGGAGGAAATTTGCCAACCCTCGAATGTTCATACGGCGTTCTTCCTTGGCACGGCAGCATAAGTATCCCTGTTATTTCGAAACTTCAAACACGTGTTTCTCGATTTAGCAAAAACTGCACTTAAGCCCCTTGTCCTCCAAGCCCTTCAATTCAGCTTTGGTCCTGAGCGAGGGGGGGGGGGGGTCCTGATCCATCCCGGAAAGCTGTTGTGATGTATGTAGCTTCTCAATACCATCAGTCTCCTGTGAGGCGAGTAAACAGCCCCCCTCCCCCGCAAATAATGTTTACACACGCTAGCTTATGCGGTCCATTAAGTATGTAAAAAATCTCGATTACTTTAAAATATTTTGATTAAATTTTATTCCTCTGTGCGTGACTGACCTTCGAGGATCTCCGAGGCGAGGGCAGCGGCGAATGGTAGGAGGGCTGCGAGGCACAGGGCGCGAAGCATGATGACGTCACAGGACACGAAGCACAAACGACGTCACGCCGACGTCAGGGGGCACAATGATGATGATGCAACAGGACACAACCGAAACAACGTGATAGCTGACGGAAAGAGCGACCACGTGCGGGAACGAGCTAACGACGACGAAGCCGCCGGAACGCGAACAATGCGGCCGATGGCTGGAGACTGAGCGGCATTCGCCGTCCGCGGTCCGCGGGCCCCCGCCAAAAGCCCGGCACGTGAGCGCTAGCCCCAGCCCCATTCCCACGAGCCACCGCACACTGAGGTGCTTGACGTTGAAATCTGGCCAAAAGCACGCTGTACTCTAGTACCCCTGGTAAAAATTGGCGATAAGAGCTGCGTTTCAAAATACCATAGGAATTCTTATGGCCGGCTAAAGAAGGCTACAGAAAATCATATAGCTTGCTGTAGAATGCGGAGAAAATCATACGGCCGGGCTATACGAAGCGATAAAAAATTATACAGCCGGGCTATAGTTCCTATCGCCGGGCTTTACACTTTATCGCCTGGCTGTTGCTTCTTCGCCATCGATTATGAAAGGCTATAAGATATTGTGTAGAAATTCGTGCTATGGAAATCATCAAGTTTGATACGGAACCACCCTAATATTTACAAAACACACGTTATATTTTCCTTTAATACATATTTTTTTCATCAATTAAAACGAGAATAATCCATACAGGATGTGCAAACATTTCAAATCATGAGTTGAATAACGCTGACTCCGCTAGATTCAATATTAGAGCCTAACACAAAGGGGAGCGGCGACGCACTGGCGCCTACAAACCTAACAGGGATACTTCACGCATTGCGCAACGCGTGAAGTATCCCTGTTAGGTTTGTAGGCGCCAATGCGCGTTTCGCGCTGGCTGCCCGCCTGCCGCACCGCAGCGTGCCACGGCGGCGGCGCTTGAAGCAACTATTTCATACCAGAGGTATTGCACAGTATCATATGAAAATGAAGGCGCTCTAATATATTAGGAAAGGCAGGCATAAATCAAGATACTACGGCCCAAAAAGAGAGCAGTGGTCCAAACACTCACTAAGTCCTAACATTCGTAATTAGTGACGTTTAGAATAGGTACACTTTATCGCCTGGCATGTGAGTTGCTTAATCACCATCGGCTATAAAAGGCTATAAGAAATTGTGTAGCCGGCTATAGAAGCTATTGGAAATCTTACAGCCGGCCGTAGGTCTATGGTATTTTGGAACACAGATTCTACTGCCTATTTTTACCAGGGTACCTGTATACGGGAGAGTATTCCCATCTCAATCCTTTTACTATACGGAAAAATTGTGCCGCTCTCTGAATGGTCGGCTATTATGGAGCCCCGAAGTTGGATCAATGTAAACAAACTATAGCCCCTCCGCTCCTTAGCCCGTAACTTTATTCTCAATGCAGTAATCTCGTAAATTCAAAGATCAAAGCGCCGTGTGGCTGAATATGTCTGAAGAAAGACGCTTACAACCGTAATATACCTTCTTTGGAAAACAGTAAAACTTTGAACATTCACAGTGAGAAAAGGAGTGGATTTTAGACTTGTCCGATGTGTTCAACGTTATTTTCGAGGCATTTTTAACGCATGAATCACTGGGTGATGCAACTGTAGCTAAGGTTTGCAACAACCTGCGCAAAGATGGGGGGGGGGAGGGGTGANAGTGCGACATGTAGGTGGGGGAGGGAGGGGTCAAAAAGGCGGGAAAAATGGGTGACGTAATCTGTGGGGACAGCCCCGAAATGCTCTGTGTGGACAACTAGACGAGGTAAGAAGTAAATAGCGGTAAGCAAACTCGACGTATCTACATATCGACGCTGTAAGTCGGCAATCACGTAACTCGTTTGCGGTGTCTGAAAATCTCCGCCTCTATGTTATTTTTTAAAGGAGAACAAATTGACAGCATTCCTTGAAGTATTTGCAGAATTTTCTTCGCACATGGAAGAAAAATCGCGGCAGTTTTAGAGAATTGTCGTTGAGTGGTTTTCCGTTTAAAGAATAGAATATGACAGGAAGTCTGCGACGTCGCAAACCGAGTTATGTGATGGCCGACTTACACCCTCGATATACATTGCATTGCATTGTATTTACCTCCTCGCTCCGTATCGCTGAGTTTCCCTAATATGGTCGTACAACCAAATAATAACGGTTACACTAGTGGTGCTTCAAAACAGATCAAAATAACCGCTGCGGATCAGGTAACTTATGCCTCTTCACACCTGTTTGCAGGAAATCTAGCTGCCTTTTTTTCAGCGTATTGGTGTCCTCTAATGAGAACCCAGCGTGAATTACGAAATTTGTACATGGGTTTTTCTCGAGAATTTGTTTTTGAACTTGGAGTCATAGCTCAGTTTTTAGGTCAAATACTTTAATGTGCGCCGAGCCGCTACTGCGATGAGCGCTAATTATCCGACGGAGTTGCCGCCTCTCGTTGCAAAAATCATTGCAGTGCCATTAAAACTGTATTCACTACTACATTTTTTTCTGTTTCATTTTGCAACAACTCCCAAAATTATTTCAGCAACATTTCTCAGTTGATAAATATATTTTCTGAAATAAATAGTCTGCATACCTACATGTCTAAGAAAGAAACGGAACCCAATTTAATTTTTCAGCTTTAAAGTTGCCATTTGACCGGAGAAGGTTACGATTTTACTGCTAGGAGCAAAACATTTCTTGGTATCATCGATGTATGAAATTCGCCATTTTCTCATCGATTCTGTTGCTGATGTTCGAAATTGATGAAGTAGCGATTTTATAGCCGATTCATCGCAATTGTTTGGGTCTGTAGAGAAATGATTTCGAATAAATTGCAATTAGGTACTTACCGATCGAACCGTAACTTTTTGTTGCAAAGGAAAGAATGAAAGTCACTGAGTAAGCGCTTGCTGATAGTACCCTGGTAAAAATTGGCAGTAGAATCTGTGTTCCAAAATACCATAGACCTAAAGCCGGCTGTAAGATTTCCAATAGCTTCTGTAGCCGGCTGTACAATTTCTTATAGCCTTTTACAGCCGATGGCGATTAAGCAACAGCCAGACGATAAAGTTTATACTAAACGTTACTAAATACGGATACCAGGACTTAGTTAGTTTTTGGACAACCGCTCTCTTTTTGTGCCGTAGTATCTTGATTTATTTTGCGAGGAAAGCTCCGTACTTTTGAAGGATGCCTGTCATTGTTAATATGTTGGAACGCCTTCAATTTCTTATGATACTGTGCAATACCTCTGGTATGAAATAGTTGCTTCAGACGCCGTGTGGCACGCTGCGGCGCGGCGGGCGGGCAGAGAGCGCGAAACGCGGATTGGCGCAATGCGTGAAGTATCCCTGTTAGGTTTGTAGGCGCCAGTGCGTCGCCGCTCCGCTTTGTGTTAGGCTCTCATATTTAATCTCGCGGAGTCAGCGTTTTTCAACTCATGATTTTGAAATGTTTGTACACTCTGTATGGATTATTCTCATTTTAATTGATGAAAAAAAATATGTTTTAAAGGAAAATATAACGTGTTTTATTAAGGTAGTTCCATATCAAACTTAATGATTTCCAAAGCACACGAATTTCTATACAATTTCTTGTAGCCTTTAAAAGCCAATGGCGATAAAGTGTAAAGCCTGACGATAGGAACTATACCCCGACTGTATACTTTTTTATAGCTTCGTATAGCCCGGGTATATGATTTGCTCCGCTTTCTACAGGCAGCTATATGATTTTCAATAGCCTTCTTTAGTTGGCTATAAGAACTCCTATGGTATTTTGAAACGCAGCTCCTATCGCCAATTTTTATCAGGGTAGGGAGGGGGAGGGCTTGGCGACGGGGAGTTTAAAATGAAATGAGTAAGTGCTAACCTTCTGTAGAGCTTCGGGAGGACAAAACGCTGTGGCGATTAGGCGTCGCAGAACGCCAGAGAGCGCACTAAAAGCGGCTTTTTTGTATGTTTGATAATTAATAGGTTGACGAAATTCTAGCTTCCGACATTCTTTGAAGCTTTTGTATTTTTACAGAAGCCATCGTATTCTAATGTTCGATCTACACTCAATGGAGTAAACAACTATAAATTAGAATTCTCATTGATTTTTGTTAAGTCCAACGCCAAAAATAAAAATTATATTCAAGCATCCGACATATTAGCTGACTCTAGATTGTACATCCGGCATAGGGTCTTGTTACAATTTTTTTGAAGTAATAACTATATCGTCGGGGCGGCAAAGATTTTATTTCTGGAGTAAAATTAACATCTTGAAATGCAACGGATTGCAAGTCTCGTAGGCACCCCAAACACCGCATGGTATATGTATCGTTCCTCCATGTAAACGCACCAAATGCAGTATGGCCACATCCTCCCTCTCAGTGGTGAGGCGTAAATGATCGATGCTCGATATTTCCCCATTTGAATCAATGGTAAAGAATCTATTATTACAGTGGTCGTTACAAACACCCTGTTTATCGATCCTTTCTCATACTGCCGTGCTAAGGAAGAACGCCGTATGAGTCTTCAGACGTCGCCACGTTTCCTCCAATATAAACCTAATTCACTGGGAAACTTGTGAATATTTTTCTTCAATTTTTTCAGACAATTTATTTCGCTATTCGATCTAAAACATCTAAAAATTCCAAGGAAAAATGGACCGCGTTAAACAGAAAGGAACCAAGCCACATCAGCTATCGTCAAATTTAATCAGGCAGTTTAATTTTTTCCATAAAAACGGTTGCGCGGATTATAGTGCAAATTTCAGTGAATTTTCTCCATAGTACGAGGCAAATTCCTTAAAATTTTCAAGGGAATCCGCACAAACGTGCACTCGTAAAAAATTAAATTGCCCCCTCAAATTTGGCAATAGCTGATGTGGCTTGGTTCCTTTCTGTTAAACGCGGTCCAAATATGCATTACTTTTCTCTAAAATACATGTTTTATTCAGGGAAAGGCAACTTCAAATTTTCATTTTTTGCCAAATTTTCATACGGCGTCTTTCCTTAGCACGGCAGCATAGGTTTGAATGGCAGATCAATCGGACGTATTTCTACCTGACAGACCTATGTGGAGGTGAGAAATATGGGGTGTGCTCGTTAGTTCTCTGGCCGTAAGAGTGAATGAGAATAATAAAGCGCCAGTGACGTCAGCGGCAACGAAGCCGCCCGCCTCCGCCGCCGCGATCCGCCCGCCTCCGCATAAACTCATGAGCCCTCTCCACAATGATCTCTTGCCATGCCCGCGGCTCATGAGTTCCGCATTCAGTTGGCACATAGGTCTGTTTGGTAGAATGTAAAATCCCGCTTTGCCAATTCTTCAAAAGGAATCACGTCCAGTTTTACATTGCTTCTTATGCAGCTTCGACGAGCACACCCCATATTTCTCACCTCCACATAGGTCTGTTTGATAGAAATACGTCCAATCGATGTATCGCAAAGCACGCCACGCCACGCCATTGCTCCCTCTTTTACCCGACATCATCCCCTCAAATACCCGCCAGCGCCGGTAGCGCTCTCATTGGTCAGCACAGCGCCTGCCTTCGGCCGAAGTCTCAAAGCGCCGTCATAGATGACGTCACCCTCCAGATGCTCGCAGTTGAGGCTGGAGGCGTAGACGCGCCACTTGGCGGCCGGGAGGAGGGCGTAGAGGTCGACGGTCGTCTCGAAGTCGCCGATGTTGGCCAAGGTCAGGAACTCGACTTGTTCGCGCCCTGCGCGGGTGATGACGAGGACCTCGCCGTGGGCCCACACCTGGAGGACGCCCTCCTGGACGACCGGGAGGAGCTTGAGGGGTATGAGGGACTTGTAGACGCTCAGGTGGGACTTGGTCTGCCCCGACTGGGCCGCCTCGTTGAAGGAGTAGTACTCGGGGTTCACCGGCAACCACGTCGTCCGGTTCGTCGAGAACCCGGCCGAGGTGGACGAGTTCCACTGCAACGGGGACCGCTCCGGGTCACGGGATTTTTCCTGCGGGATAAACAAGGTAACGGAGATGTTGCATGTGTGAGGAATTTGCGATTTGACTGTTGATTCTTTTGTGAAAGTTTGCGAGTTGTTTTGACAAGACAACAACAAGTTTTTTTGATAGGCAAAATGTTATTCTACGGGTCTGGGTGTTTCCATGGAAATTTTAAAACCACCTATTGCGACACACACAAAGAAAAAAACATGTCACGGAGCGGGCTTCAACAAACTCCCCTCCTCTCCCTCACCTTTAGGGATTCGTATTTTGGGCTGGGATAGGTCAATGGTTGATTTTTCTTGTGCATTCCCGAGCGTCTTTATTTTGATCAAATTATCTTAAAAATGTGACGAGAATTCAATCGAATATCAAGCGCAGTAGTATCCCCATGAAGGTTTCGAAATTCCTGAATTTTGGTTCCTTGGGCCGATTCACTGATTATGGAGATGTTGCACGTGTGAGGGATTTGCAATTTGACTGTTGTTTAGAAACACGATGGTGCCACTGGTTTTCTCTGAAATCAACTCCCAAGCTCAAAAAAAGCTCTCAAGTTGAGGCCAAAATGGAGGGGGTATCCCACCCTACCCTGAGAGTCCACGTCTACATCAAGACAAACTCTCCATGCAAAGATAGGGAGCAAATACATTACCAGGGTTGCCGTGTTTTCAGTTTTGGAGTCCCCAAATAAAGTGGCAACCCTGCTAATGTATTTGCTCCCTATCTTTGCATGGAGAGTTTGTCTTGATGTAGACGTGGACTCTCAGGGTAGGGTGGGATATCCCCTCCATTTGGCCTCAACTTGAGAGCTTTTTTTGAGTTTGGGAGTTGATTTCAGAGAAAACCAGTGGCACCATCGAGTTTCTCGCGAACTTTTACTTAAGAATCAACAGTCAAATCGCAAATTCCTCACACATGCAACATCTCCATTCAATGGGTCAGTTTCGCTGGTCACAAAATTAGGTTTTGATGTTTGATACTTGTAGATTAGGTAGCAAAGAAAAATAAGATCTGCCAAACCGCAACTTTCTACGTTGAGTACCTATTAACCGAGATATCGCCCTTTTAAAAGTCGGGTTTTTTACGTCATCCACCGCGGTAGTGACACCCTTGGTTTCAAAAAGAAACAAAGAGTATTCCAATAACGCCAAGATTGTGCTACTATTTTTACCTCGCAAGTATAAACTGGACTATACATTTTGCAATTTGGAACTATAAATTCTAGCCCGGTTTAAAAACAACGTATGTGCCATTAGTTTCCCTATGCACATAAGTGTTTTTCCAGAGGAGCCAAAATTTATAGTTCCAAATTGCAAAATGCAGTCCAACTGCTCATCTGAACAGGTTTTATATTTACTCCTAATAAACCATAAATTTACGACGAAAATTACTTTGGTAAATTTATTTTATGCATGCTTTCAGTAATTTTATTGCAAAGAATGTAAGTTGGACAATCCTAGCAACATTGGAATGCTCTTGGTCCTATTTTGCAAAATGCAATGCATGAATAGATCATTGTTTTTTCTGTAAGCTGAACGTGTGAATCTGTGCTTCGGAAAACTTCAGCTACTTGTGTTACTGTAAAATTCAGGAGTTACTGTCAGTAATTTTCGTTGTACAAGTCGTTTTTTGCCCCTGCGTGAAATTTTGATGAGGAAACATTTGTTACAATTCTTAAATTCTCACCTTGTCTAGGGGTCCATTATTAAAAATAGATGACATCATCGATCTCCCCATCTAGAGTCACATGCAGTCATTTTTTAGGTTCTTAAAGGTCTCTGTTGGAACTAGTATCCATATATACTCCAGATAAGATTGTCATTTTGAATCAACATACTTGGAAGTCATTAAGACTAACCTCAAAACGGTCGATTCCAGCCCCTATAGCCTGGGGATCCAGCGTCTCGGACCAACGGACGTAGGTGTCCTCCATGGCGAATTCATCGCCGTTGTACGTGATGCAGGTGCCCGGAAGTAGGAACTGGATGAAGTGCAGGCAGTCCAGGAACACTCGTCCGAATCGAGTCGCCGGCCTGTGAGTATCGTGGTTACCTGCAGTCAACAAAAGAATTGGATCAACGTGCGGTTTCACGCAAAAAAGTGTTAACTTGTTGACAATTTTATATAAAAATACTAGTATTGATAGGTCGAACTCGCAACCTGCAAACGTTCGACATACCATGAAGGCACCTCTCGAATATTCTCCGAGATTATTCTTTGAATATAATTGTTTAAAATATTCACAAAATATGTTCCAAAGAGTAAGTATGCAAGTATCGGGATGTACGCATTCTCTAGTAGGAATTTGAGTAGACGTACTTTAAACTGAAGTAACGCAACTGAACCTGTAATGTAACTGAGTAACGTAACAGGCGCTATTATCAACGCGGTGCGCCCGCTGGTCAAGATAGGCTGCCTGGAACATGCTTCGAGCCGTTGCGAATTGCGGCCGCTGGTCGACGCGAAAAGCATTAGCGCCTACAAGAGTGCAGGAATACTTCACGCATTGCGCCAAACACACTACACACACAGTGCGCTCGCTGATCGGCGCGAAAAGCATTAGCGCCTACAGGAGTGCAGGAATACTTCACGCATTGCGCAAAACGCAGTGTGCTCGCTGGTCGGCCCGAAGAGCACCTACTGTATATTAGCGCCTGCTGATTCATTTTGCGTAAATCTGCCCTCATTTCCTGTTCAAACTTTTCGGTGCAATTCTTTACAGGCATAAAAACGCTGTCTCTTAACGTCAAAATTTTCCTCGGGTGTCTCTTTTTCACGGATGAAAATTTTCTCGCATTAACTTCTGCTTTTTGTTTTCATTTAATTTGCGATAGACTTTTTATTCGAATATTTTTGTCTACACTCTGCATGAACTGTTTCATCAACTTTACTCAGCCATTCCTTAAACTTATGCATAATTCACCTTCATTACGCAACGAAACTACGAAAGCTCATCACGGTGCGGTGCGGTACGGCACTTATTGAGGTACCTTACCTTACCTTACCTTATACACGAAGGTCGCACTAAGGGACGTTCACAAAGGAATTTAGCCCCAATCTAATCTCGAAACCAAACGGAAATTTTTGCAACGCGTGAATGTCCTAGGCCTGGGATGGCAAATGTCAAAATTGAGAATCACTGTTTCTAGACGTTCCAATAATATCAATTCAACCAGCTGGTAACAGGCTAATTTTCACATTAATATTACCAACACGTTTCGGCTAGAAACTCAACTTTCCTCAGTTGGATAGCAACAGTAAAAAAATTCAAAAATCTAAAAACTTAGTACTGGGCTGTACCTTTCAAAGCGAGAAAATTGTTGTTATGTGTTGTTGTATAACAACAATTTTTAACAACAAATGTCGTTGTATAACAACAATTATGTGTTGTTGTATAACAACAATTATGTGTTGTTGTATAACAACAATTCTCTCGCTTTGAGACGTACAGCCAAGTACTAGGTTTTTAGATTTTTAACTTTTATTACTGTTTCTTTTTTAAACTATCTGAGGAAGACTGAGTTTTCAGCCGAAAAGTTTAGGTAGTTTTTATGTGAAAATTAGCCTTGTTACCCGCTGTTTAAAATGTTATTATTGTATATCTTGTCACGGACTTTGGAGTATCGAACATATTTCTAGGCGTTTCTTGGCCACCTGAATGCATCCCCAAGATGTTACGAAAAATTCCATGAAATATCACGCGAGTAAATTTCATAAAATTTTCCACCTCTGTCCCTTAGTCTACCGTGCTAAGCAAGAACGCCGTAGATCCATCAAGATTTTCTCTCGTTTTCTGGAACTTAAAACTTTATAAAATAAAAATTGTTCTACTCATGCACCTCAAATTTTCAGGTTAAGTTCTTGATAGTGTTTGCGAAAGAATTCTGTACAAACATTGTCCCGCGGTGGCGGTACACAAGTTTTTCTGCTATGATACATGAAAATGGGGTTTACGGCTTCTTGCGTTGCACGGCAGAAGTGCAGGAAAAGCTCTGCTCACCGATGACCCAGTTGGGCCAGGCTCCCTCGGGGAGGGCGTCGTAGTATTCGTTGATGACGTGGGCCCAGTCGGCGGCCGTGGAGCTCTGGTTCACGTCCGAGAGGAAGAGGAAGTTGAAGGGGAAGTGGGAGCCGGGCACGGTGGCGTTCCCGTACCAGAGGTTGTTGAAGAAGATGGAGGTGTGGGCCTCCGTCGTCAGGAATTTCGTCGAGTTGGTCTTCCGGGTGTACTCGTCCAGGAGGGCCCGGAACGCGAACGCCACCTCGTACGAGCCCCATTGGTCCTGCGTGTAGATGTGCACCAGGGAGTCCACGTCGTCCAGGGGAACCCCCGATTTGTTCGACCGCGGCTCGTCCAACCACCTGTCACGAAAATTTCAGGAAAATCACGGAAAATCTGAACACTGAAAAAATGATATGCTGTTTTAGCACCTAGGATGTCAAAAATGTGTCTGGTGATCCTAAGATGCTGCCTTAATTGCCCACGCAGTTGACTTTGCATTCACAGGATGTAAAATTAACTGTGGGGGCAGTAAAGGCAGCATCTTGGGATCACCAGACACATTTTTGACATATCAGGTGCTAAAATAACATATTATTTTTTTCAGTGAAGGCTCGGAATTTCATAGTGTGTTTCAGAAAAAAATCGGTCTCAAAGTGAAGAATTTGTAGGGGTCTGAAGTTTTGTGAACTTCAGACGTTCATAAATTTCCGAAATTCACAAAATTTTAGACACGTGCAAATTCTTTACATAGGGACGAATTTTTTTTGTTGAAACGATCCCTGATTTTTTTTTTTTTAATCGGCCCCAAAGTGAAGAATTTGAAGGGGTCTGAAATTTTGTGAACTTACGACGTTCAGAAATTTCTGAAATTCACAAAATTTCAGACACCTGCAAATTCTTTACATAGGGACGATTTTTTTTTTTTGAAACGATCCCTGATTTTTTTTTTTTTTAAACGATCCCTGATTTTTTTTAAAATCTGTCTCAAAGTGAAGAATTTGCAGGGGTCTGAAATTTTGTGAACTTACGACGTTCAGACATTTCTGAAATTCACAGAACTTCGAACACCTGCCAATTCTTTGTCCGGGGACCGATTTTTTTTTAACAAGCCCAATTGGAGGCGGCACTGTAAGTTCGCCTTGTGAGCGACGAGCATGAGAATCATAATTCTTTCCTTTTTTTTAACTGGATGTGTAGGTTTTAACCTTTTACGGTTGCTCGTAGGAAAAGAAGTTGACTATGACACCAAAAAGACAACGTGATGCCTGAAAAACATCACTTAGCTATTCGTAACCAAATTAAACTTTTACGAATCAATATTATTTTTTTCCTCTAAAATGTGCGCCGAGCTAATGAAATGTATACTTTATATGTTGCAGGTAAGCCTGAGTTCTAAGTTGTTCCTTGTTCCTCAGCTGTATTGAAACTTCCATGTGAGTTTTTTCTTTTGCTTCTCTTTCTTCTACAGCAAAGCGTTACATTTAAAGTATGTTATCAAAATTTAGAAAGCATGCTGTTCTACTTGTTGTATCCGATTTTTATTATTTTTTCATGCCTTCTTTGTTGGATATTCTAAATATTCTCTTTGAATGGCCCATCATATTTTGTAAATCATGTTCGTATAATTTTGAAAACAGAAATTTTTCTTTACGTCGGATTCTGGTAAAAATTGCATCAGGATTCCAAAAACACCGTTCTGAAAAAGCCAACTCATGCTTTTTCAAGTTAAACGAATTTGATCGCGGTTGAACGGAACCATTCAAGTCATTCAAGCTGTATTCGAATTTCCCAAGTGGCATTTTTCAACAGAAATATCGCGATATTATGAAATCGATTCGCGATTTTTTTTTACTATTTTTTGGCGATGAAATCGCTAAGATCATCTACACTTGAGCGATTATATATATCTCTCGATCTTGTGCAATTTTATCTCTCTTAAATCGCGTTCGATAATCTTCGAAATTTTTTCTCAATTTATCGCGATATTTTCTTGGATAATATTGCGATAAATCGCCGTCCATGAAATCGCGATTTTATTTGAAATTATGTGATGATATCGCAATTTTTCCTCCGATAATATTTCAATAAATTGACGCCGATAAAATCGCGATACTTTCTCCGATCGAAGCGGAACTTATCGCGACCATTGCTACTCGAGAATTTGGAGAATATGCGGTCAGGGCTACCGATTCGATTACCCATTCTGCTAACCACGACTTACCACCGAATTAAGTTTTCCACACAGATTATCCACCGGTTCTAATTTTACCCAATTTTTACCCACCGGCTCTAATTTTACCCACTTTTTACTCACCGGCTCCAGCTGTACCTACGCTTACCCACCAGCTTCAACTTTACCCACTGCATACCCACTGTTCACCCACCGTTGACTGCACAATTTGAATTTTGCAAAGGTTATTTCTTCGGATTTTAGTGAAGAGGAAACTTGCCCACAGCTTACCCACCGTTGCCTAGATAACCGACGAATTACCCATTACCCACCGTTGCCTGGATTACCCAAGAATTACCCACCCATTACCCACCGAAGTTCAAAATACCCCTTAAACGGGTAATTGCCCACGAATCGGCAGCTCTGCACGCGGTTTTGAATGACTGTTCACAGCGGTAATATTGCAGTTCTGTCCGCGTTTTCTTAAAGGTCACACACCTGTTATCCTCGACGAAAGTCCAGGCGGTGTCGACGCGGAAGCCATCGACACCCTTGTCGAGCCAGAAGCGGATGACGTCGAGGATTTCGTCGAGGACTTTGGGGTTGCGGTAGTCGAGGTCCGGCTGCTTGACTTGGTACTGGTGGAGGTAGTACTTCCCCCGCTTCTCGTTCCAGGTCCAAGCGGAGCCCGAGAAGGTGGAGAGCCAGTTGGAGGGCGGCTCCCGGGTCCCGTTGGCCCCCTTCTTGGCCTCCACCCAGACGTAGTAGTCCGTGTACGGGTCTATGCCTGCTACCGATTTCTGAAACCACGGATGCTCGTCCGAGGTGTGGTTCGGCACCAGGTCCAACAACACCTGAAAATCCAAGTAGGAAGGAGGTGGGTTGAGGACAGAGGAATGTGTGCTGATTTTTTAAGGTGTTTCGATGGACGCCATATTTTGTGTCAGAACGGCATACGATATATCGCATCAATTGGTTCCATTTTTTCAGCTACTCGTCATTTTTCTCCCATTTTGAGATCGCAATTCTGTTGTCAGGAGACTAAAGCACTCACTTATCAATTTTAACAAAGAAACTCAACATAATAAAGGCGTGATTTTTTTTTAGAGAGAAAACATCGCATTCGATACTGATATCAAAACTGCACTCGAATGCGATGTTTTCTCTCTAAATAAACCACTCCTTTATTAGTTGAATTGCTTTGTTAAAATTGGTAAGTGAGTGCTTTAGTCTCCTGACAACAGAATTGTGATCTCGAAATTGGAGAAAAATGACGAGTAGCTGAAAAAATGGAACCAATTGATGCGATAAATCGCATACCGTTCTGACACAAAATATGGCGTCCATCGAATCACCTTTTAGGCGGTCCGGGACAGTGTTCGAAACTCACCTTGGAGTTTCAGGAGCCATGTGGCGCTTCAAGCTCGATTTTTAGGGGCCAAATTCAGTTTTTGCCTATGTATCACGGCTCATTTATTGACAAGTTAGACGCAAAAAGCTGTAGTTACAGAACTAGTAGCTGTCACTTGGGGGGAAATTTCGAAAAATCACCAAACAGAAAAACTAGGATTTTTTTAATTTTTTTTTTTTTTTTTTTTTTTTTTTTTTTTGGGGGGGGGGGCCATTTTTAGGGGTCACGATGGCGCAGAGCCGTCATTCTTTGGGCGCCATGACAGATTTCTTCGGCGCATTTGGCGCGTTGGCGCCTGTGAGTTTCGGACACTGGTCCGGAAGTACTGAAAAAGTACGGAAGTTTCATAAGAAGGTTCGGAATTGTTTGCTTCACACTACGCGGTTTTTTTAAAGGCAGCCTGGGACAGATACAATCCCTAGCACACAATGAAGAATCTGCAGGTGTTTTACCACCATAGTACTTTTGTTTTGGGGCTACTCTAAAAATGAACATGCTTCCTTTTAGAAACAACTCGTTCAAAGAAATTATATAGCTTCGAACGGTAGATTCGGTTAATTTTCTTGTTCCGTATCGAACACTGTATCTTACTCTTATATTCATTACTTTTCATTAATTCATTTAATTTGTTTGCTAACTACACCTTGCACGAGGAAACACTGAATGAAATTTAATTCGGGTGGTGACCAACGAAGACTCCTTGGCGCGCGTCGCGTCGAGTAGTTGCAACCGCGAGGAGAAGGAATTTCAAAGTGCCTTCAGTTTTTCGGTATGCAATACGCCCATCCCGAGGACACGAATAGTTGTATTCAGGCTCTATTACTCACGCGGTACGGGCGATGATCGGTATCCCTGTTAAAATTGGAGATCAAAACTCGGTGTTCGCACGAAATCGTTTGATTACATTTGACATTCATACAATTGACAGGTTCGGAAATAAATGTCTGACGGTGTATAGACCCGCTTGGAAATAAATTTCTTATGCGGTAAATGAAAAGAACCTCTCAATGACGTAGTTTAGTTGTGGAATAGAAAAAATAAGCAATACTGAGACTTAATACGTTTCCGTCTATTTTTTTTTTCAAACATAGGAAAAACTTACCGAAAGTTTATTACGCTTTGTAGTCTATTTCTGTATTGAAAATATAATACGAAAGAAAATTAGGTAACATGAAATGCAGTTAGACTGATTCTAATCGAATCCGGCCAAAGAATATTATAATTATTTTTGAACCTCGACTTGTTAAGTTCCCGTTTACACAGGAATCGACATTAATTATCATAGGAATGATAAAGGTGATAAATTAGTATTATATTGCCAGATATTCTACTCAGTTTATTTGCAGTCCTGGGTCCACACGCATCTGAAAGACGCGAAAACCCGGAAACGTAAAAATCAGGGAATCAGTAATAACTTCAAAACATCAGAAAGGGAATTCAGGGAATGGGTCTGTCGCACGAAAGAGATACAGTCCTGAATACACGTTTTAAGCGTAGATTTTCTCGAAAAATCACGTTAGGCACACCAACAAGGTCTGAAATCCACTCCTTAGCGCACAATTTGCGTACTTTGCAACACGCTTTTTCAAATTTACCGCGTATGCGGGCTGATTTTCTCGTTGGCCGGCAATCAGGTTTGCCCGGAGAGAGACCCGGTTGATCACATGAGGAGAATTTCAAGAGCCACTCACTATGGTCACTCACTATGGTCCAAAACTCAAGAATAGGAAGAAATAAGTCGGATAATGACTGAAACATCACGAAATTCTCGAAACAGATGATTTTTGAGTCGCTAATTTCGAATTTGATGTCAAATTGCCTACATTTTGACACCCTGGCCTATAAATTGTGGGCAAGTTTATGGCACGCTGAGGCGCGGCGCGCGGCGTGCTGCCAGCTCGAAACGCGTACTGACGCCTACAAACCTAACGGGATACTTCAAGCATTGCGCAATGCGTGAAGTATCCCCTTAGGTTTGTAGGCGTCAAAGCTTGTTTCGTACAGCACGTCACGGCGCTCCCGACGCGACGGGCGGGTGGTGAGCGATTTCTTGCGGGGAAAGCTCCCTTGCTCTCCAGCGGAGAAACTCGTATATCGTATAAATTTTTTTGTTTTAATTTTCGACTTTCAAAATTAAACACTGGTCATGTGAAGTAATTAGTGAACTCTCAACGCTAGATAAAGTATTATAATGAAAGGTGGGTCGTGCGCCATGCGCGCTGCGGACGGCGCGGCGCAAGGCGGCTCATGAAATTCTCCCCTGTGCTCTGTCGAGGGAGACCTAACCTACATAAGCAAACAAATTCGCTAACTGTTATACACTTTTCTCGCGTAAGATGTCAATTGATTTAAAACCCTTGTTTTTGAGAAATAAAGAAAGGAGAAAGAAGCAAACGCTTGATATATATTGAAAATGTGCAACATACAAAGTTAGTGAAATCGTTTGTTTACTCAGGTCGGTTTTTGTTACCATTCTACCCGTGCAAGCCTGGTAGGCGGTGACTGAGAAAAACTGCCCGCAGCTGCGGGAACTTGAAAAACCGTGTTACAAACTACGCTAATTGGACTGTATTTTACAATTTGGAACTATAAATTCTGGCTCTTCTGGAAAAACACTTATATGCATAGGGAAACTAATGGCACATACGTTGTTTTTAAACTGGGCTGGAATTTATGGTTCCGAATTGCAAAATGTAGTCCAATTATTGTGCGTTAAGGAATGAATTTCAGACTTTTTTGACGTGCTCGACGTGATTTTCCCTGCGATATTTTATCGGGAAAGAGCATATTTATTTTGCTGTATCTCTTGCAACAGACCCATTTTAAAACTTGGGACAGTGAATAAACCCTGCTGAGACGGGCCTAAACAGAAGAAGACTGACCTTGATTCCGAGCTCGTGGTAGACGTGGAGAAGCTCCTGGAAGTCCTCCATGGTGCCGAAGAGGGGGTCGATGGCCTTGTAGTCGGTGATGTCGTAGCCGAAGTCGACCATGGGGGACTTGAATATCGGTGACATCCAGATGCAGCCCACCCCGACGCTCCGAATGTAGTCCGCCCTGTGAATGATGCCCCGCAGATCGCCCACCCCGTCGCCGTCCGAGTCCTGGAAGGAGCGCGGGTAGATCTGGTAGATCACCGTCTTCTGCCACCAGTCCAGCTCCGTCGACCCGATCGGGCACCATTGCCAAAGGATCGTCGCCAATAGGAGCCACAGCTTCGTCTTTATTGTAAGCATTTTCCCGGCACTGGCTCTGTTAAGGCAAAGAGTACATAGAGTCGTAATGTAAGTGGGTGCACTGAGAAAAAAAGTTCGGTAAATCGGAACTACTTTGGATCATATGGAGCCACGATTTTGTTAGGTACACACAACCGAATTATTCGGTCTGTTCAACCGAATTGTTCCGTTTGTGCAACCGAACCATAATAAATTCTTACAGTTCGGTTCAGTGGACCGAAAAGTTCGGCTGAGCAGACCAGATAATTCGGTCGTGTGTACCGAACAAAATCTTGGTTCCATATGAACCAAACTAGTTCGGATTTACCGAACTTTTTTTCTCAGTGTGAGCTGGCGCCACTTTTAAGCATTTTCTAGGTCCCGAATCCCGAGACTCCTGTGTGACGCCGGGACACTTTTTCGATACATAATCGATTGTTTGCGATACACGGGTACCCGGCCATCCGATGTAAACAAAGGAGATAGGGATCATCACGTATTCCGCACCGCCATCTTGGATCGAACTTGTATCGAAAAAGTGACCCGAACTCGGCGCACACCGGGCTCGGAACTCGTCGAGCAGAACATGGCGCCAGCTCTCCCATTTACATTACGACTCTATATACTCTATGTGTTAAGGTGATTCGTCAAGCTCAAGTGACGTGGTCGAACTGGCATGCGATATGTCGCATCGATCAGGTCAAAAATCTCGGTCGATTTTGAATTTTTAGCGAAAAAAAGGTCGATAGCCCAGCGCATGAGCCTAAAGAATCATTCTAAACCCAAAAATCAACAAAATTCCGAGAAATGAATGCAGAATAGTTTGGAAAAAAACCTCGCATTCGATACAGAAATCGATGGCTGAATCGAATGCGAGGTTTTTTTCCAAACGCACTATTCTGCTTTCATTTCTCTGAATTTTGCTGATTTTTGGGTTTAGAATGATTCTTCAGGCTCATGCGCAGGGGTTATCGACCTTTTTTTCGCTAAAAATTCAAAATCTGCCGAGATTTTTGACCTAATCGATGCTATATATCGCACTCCAGACTCCACTTCGACCTTGTCATTTGAGCTTGACGAATCACCTTAATAATGTAGTCAGGGAAGAGGGGACTTGAGCTGATAAACTGAAAATAAGTAAATGCACTGAAGAAAAAACTGCGACTGTGGAAGCCGTACTTACGGGCTATATAGACATACCGTCCGCGATCCGGGCTCAGAGGCCGGAAGTCCCGGGCGTATCACCCGGAGCAATCGAGGCTACGGCTCCAACACCCGGAACTTTCGACCTCTGAGCCCGGAACGTGCGATATGTCTACGTAGCCTGTAACTTCTTTTTCAGCGGGCGTTCATAACTGGATCGTATTCGATACATCAAAGAGGTAAGATCGTAGCGATATCGATCGGTTCAATATGTAAGCATAGCCTCAAAAGTCAATCGAGTAATCTGCATGTGGGAACGGGTTATTTTGATAGATTTTTTATTCCTATGAGTACATGAGTACCACATGGCAACGGAAAATGAAATTGTCAGAAAATCTCTTTTTCAGCTTTTCTAACTTATATCCTAAAACTTTTGTTTGAAGTTATGTTCCATTGTTTTGAAGCAAACGATACCATCGAACCACTATCGAATACGATCCATCACGTAACGCTCTTAGGGAGAGGGACGGAAGTGGATCACGAGCGTTACTCAGTTTTGTTTTTACGTGTTAAAGGATAGGAACCCAAGTCACGAAAGCGTTACGAGGGAGGATGGAAGGGGGTCAAAAATGCCGGAAAAGTGCGTTACCTAATTTATGAACGCTCCCGAATGAGATTGCTCCCCTTATGCATAAAGGGGTTGACTCCACAATTTTTGGTATTGAGAATACCCCGAAAGTCCAAGAATTGATCATTCGAGTAAATTTTATAGTTTGACAGTGAGAAATTATCGTTGTTTTCAAACAAAAATATTAAGATTTCACTGTATTATCCTCCTTCCCTTCAAAGACAAATTTGCTTTAGAAAATTTCACCAAATGCGAGACGTCATTACCTGTACCTTGGTCCTGGTGGATTTGACTTTTTACTAAGATGTTTTCAGTGGAAAAAAAAGTTTATAAATAATCAAACAGATAACTGAAACAATTGCACTGCCTTCCTTTGAAACGTCCGCCACAGGAAAATTTTTGGCTTTTGATGGTGTTGCTGGTTAAGACCTAACTAATAGATTTCACCATAGAGAAGGAGGAACTCATAAATCTAGACCTTGGATAAGTTTCGATAGCATATTTTGGAAACAGCAGTGCCCAAAATATTCTGCTCGAATATCTTGTCTGGCGGAAATACAAACGCCAAATTTTCCAGCATGTGATCAGTATACATGCTTTACCAGTGTCATGCTTTCTCTTTTCGCTTTATTTTATCAACTGGACAGATTTATGGTTTAACTTGCAATTTTGTGGGTGCTTATCTCAAGCGATAAAGAAGTATAACAGTAAATACCAAAAATTAAAATTAGAGTCAAAAATAAATTTTAGGAACTCTAATGCGCACCAGTATGAAACTGAGGGGGGGGAGAGTGTTCAGCTCAGGCAGTTTGCAATGGAATATTAAGTTTGTTTCCCCGCGAAATGGTGTGGACCCAGCACTATTTCTCCACCTTGTTAAATACAGTTTCGGGCCACATTTTAGTGTTTAATTTTTTAATTTATAACAGTAAATTTTAAGACGTTGACCTCATCTGTTGTTCCTTTGTCCTGCGTTATCTTTGGTTCCAGAGCATGTATTGATAAGCTTTGGAGATGAAGTGCGCTAACTTTCGAAAGCTACCATGTTTTTTTCACCGAATAAAAAAACGATAAATTTGTCAAACTAGCCATTGTGTCTGAAATTCAGTGGATGCATAAAACTTAAACTTCCTATCCCGACAAGATTATTGTTGAAATTCTGAAGGGAGCTAATTTTTACCGTGCTACCCCAAAGTATTTTTTTTTGTAAAATTTTTTCTCCTCTCGAGAAAAAAGAAGTAAAAAAAATTTCTTCTCTTCATAATTAAAAAAAAAGTAACGCACTGATGTGTGTCTCCAATGTAGTTTTCAATTAGTTTCAGTCCCAGTTCCAGTTCAGTTTTTTTTCCCCCGGCGCACAATGGATCGAGTCAATAGGAGAGGTCGGACAAAATTTGGAAACTTCAAACGCTTATAACTCCGTTTATACAAAGCTTTGAGGTTCCAAAAGTGGTTTCATTGGTTTTCTCGTGAAATTTTCTACCTCAAGCACCCCTTGAAATGTACAATGTTACGAAATAAATACCAAAATTTGCTGTTTTAGTCAAAAATTTCATGTCTGACCTCTCTAATTGACTCGATCCACTATGCGGCGTTTGAAAGAAGGCGCGAACAGAACATTTGCCATTCCAGAAACCTTTATTATTGAATATTTGCGTGTGGAATTTATCTCTTTCTTTTGTATGCCCGACATTATGCGTAAATTTTTGAGAACCATTGAAACGACAAAGCGGTAAAGTTACGGAAATTGTAGGTCGAGAGCGTTCATGCGTGCGTTGCGATTAGTTGGCGCTAACGCCACTGAAAATTGGACGTATTTCTGTCAAAGGGAACTATGTGCATTAAGACATGAGCCCTGAGACCCATGAGAATAGATGCATAACAGGGCTCACGTCATAATGCACATAGTTCCGTTTGGCAGAAACACGTCCAATTGTCGGCAACGAACTCACTGAGCTCGGCGGAAAAACTGTCAAAGAGAGGAAAATAAAAACATCGTGTACGTCTTAAGAAAATCGTATTTATATTAATGATAAAAATGTTCTGCGAATGACCGAAAATCATGCTTACCAGAATAGATTTATATTAAGTAACTTATAAGCTATTGTATTTTAGTATGCGGTTTTGTCAAGTATTGATAATTTGAGATTGGGGGAGGTGGCGGGGCTTGATTTCTTCCTTCGTTCAGAAAGAAATTTTGCCGCTAATCACCAGAGATTACTCGGTTTTTGAAATTTCACCTATAATTCGATCAAAATAATTTACGCTAACATCGCCAGATTTTTTTCAAAGTCTCAAACATATAGAAGGCATCCAAAATGAATTTGAATCATTTTTAGAATTTATTCGAGTATCGTAAGTATGCGACTCGCTCAGAGGGTAGATATTTTTTTGTGATGAAGTGTCGCACCGGATGCCCTAAATGGGAGCAGCAGACGGAGTTTGAAATTGTCAAAATGTATACAAATTGCAAGGGTATCATATTTTAATAAATCGTCACAAAATGTTCATCTGTGCAAAGTGTATGACTGTCCTCAGAAAAAAGGAGCTAATAGGGTAGAAACATTCAGAATTGAGATACTGGTGTCAATGCTTACAGGAGCGTTCAACGAACACCCAGGTCATTGCTCTTCCAAAAAAATTGCCACTTTCCTAGTCCTTCTCTCTGCAGACTTCACATATACGCAATATATTTGACTACTTCAGAGAATAACACACTAGTAAATAGGGAAGAAAGAGAGCTTACGAAACTAAAAAATAGAAGAAGGAAAAGAATTACTTGTAAAGTTCAAGATAATACTTTTGGGTAATACTGAATAAAACTGGACCCACACTGAAAAAAATACTTCTGTTCACAGGGCTCCTGCACTTCTTTTGTAACAGTCACAGAAGCTTCCGTTATGAGGACAGACTACTCTGTTCCCACGACCGAAGTTCTGTTCTCACAACAGAAAAATTCTGTAAGTGTAACAAAGAAACTGCAGGAGCCCTGTGAACAGAAGGTTCTGTCGTCAGCACCATCTATTTTTTCCTGTGCAACCATACATTATAATTCCAGCTGATAAACATAAATTACACCGACGATTTTCCTTGAAACCAACTCTCTCCTTCGAGAATTCGTATAACATGAAAAACTTCTCCCTCGCATGCAGTGTCCACTGCCATAATCGCGCTCTCAACAGCCATATACATACAAGTCGTTTTCCAAAATATCCTACTAGCGACAACTGTTCGATAACGGTTGTAGTACATTTTGCATACTCA